CAAATTGGCAGTGACATGAATTTAAAGTATGTCGGCCAATTTAAGCCAACAGCTACTCGCTCTGACGTGCTCGTTTTCCTCTCTTCGTAGGGGACATGTTGACAGGTTTGAGTTCTCGTCCAAGAACCTGGGAGATATCGCTGGTATCTGCCTGGGCCACACACCCAAGGATGGGAAGAAAGTGAAGGGGGAGGTGTTCTGGCATGCGGAGGAGGTCGTTGTCACTGAAAGGGAACTGGGAAACAAGTAAGACATCAGTTACTGCTCAGTGAGCCAAAACTACATCCATGCGGAAGTCAGTCATTCAACTTTGTTGATAACAAATCATATTCTGTATAATCACCTCCAGGTACATCTTCAGTTGCAATGCCCGTATCCCTCTCTCTCCTAAGAGGGAGGATTTCTCCACCTTTGAGTGCACTAAGGCCATTGAGAGCTTTGCCAGTAAAGCTCGCAGCCTCGTGCCCGTCAAGTACGAAATCATCGTCATCACGGGTGACGAGAAGGGAGCGGGTACAGACGCCAACGTTTTCATCACCATCTACGGCTCCAATGGAGATTCAGGCCATCGGCAACTGCGGCAGAAGTTTCGTAACCTTTTCGAACGTGAGCAGACGGACCGCTTCCTGCTGGAAATGCTGGACATGGGCGAGCTGCAGAAAGTCCGGGTGGAGCACGACAACTCTGGTCTAAGCCCCGGCTGGCTGCTGGACCGCGTGGAAGTGACTAACACAGCCAATGGTGTCACCACCATCTTCCTGTGTGGGAAGTGGCTGGACACTAAGAAGGCTGACGGGCTGATCGCCAGGGTCTTCTACCCGAAATACTAGAACAACTATTTATTCATACAAACTCCCATTGCAGCAAATCTCTCCTCATGTTTCAAAGTAACGACCAAAGAGATTATGCTCTGGCAAGTTTTATATCTCAGGAACTGAGACAGATTTTTATATTCATAGTTTTTTATTTATTTATTGTATTATAGTTGGATATTTAATACTACCTGGGAATATAGCCTGCAAAGAAATACTGTGACAATATCTTCATAGGTCAGGAAACTGAATGTGCCATTCTTTTTAACTTTCATGAGTCAGGGATGGTTTGCTCAGTTGTTTTGTTATAATTTAGGTTTTAGAAGATATTAAACTCTTTTTGCACTACTCAATACAGCTTTCCACCTGTTTGACTCGCTGATGGGTTAATTCAAACATCCAAACCTACAGAGCTTTATTTCAACGCTGCACAAATCAATACTTTTATATCGACAATAGTTTTAAAGACTGCGCTTAATGTGGAGACGGGGACGAACCCACAGAGAATCATCAACTGGCTCTCACTTCATCGCAGCGCAACGGAGCGTTTCAGCAGCTTTTAACTCACAGAATTGTCAATCAATCCATTTTCAGCAGTAAATAGCTGTTATTAGGGGACAAGCCACAGTACACTACCTGCTAAGCACCAAATGGCAGACAGACACCGTTAACTACTCTGGTGGAAAAACTGGAGCATTTAGCAGCTAAAGAGACAAATATTTCCCTTTACAACTGAGATAATGGAATTAACTCCAAATTAATCCTAGTGGTGTTCTGTGTCTGTTTAGTGTTAAAACTGAAACTGATTCAAAACTATCAACGCATTTTCACTTTTCTTCTTATTTTACCTAATAATAGCTTCTTAAGTGTCAAAGTCAAATTAGAACTAATGAGATCACATTATAGCAGAATAGAAGACATAAAAAGCAGAACTTGTCCATTTTATCCAATTTATTACAAAAAGAGCACATACAAAAGGATAATATACAAGCCATGAAATAAAATTAAAATTAAAAAAACAGAACAGTTTGGGTTTAGCAATGCAACTTTTGAAATTATTATTATTATTAGTAGTACTTTTTTGTAATAAAGTACAAAATTCCACCACATGTGACTCTAACATTTACCCATAATATGCTCATCCATTTCTTCATCAACACACACATCACCATTAATGCGCTATTGCTTTAATATTAATGATAAATAGTTCTATTTTCAGATAAAATATCCTATATTGAAAAACATTGCGCAGTCACAGCTAAACAGCAGAGTTTCATACGAGGATGGCGGCAGCCCTTTCACTGGCACTTTTTGGGATATTTTCTCTTCAGTTTTGTTTTTCCGTTTCAAACAGCAACACAGTTATGTTTTTTTTCTGATATATTCTTTGTATATATTTTCACCATATACTATGAAACCATTGAGACTATATTGAAACCTGAGAAAACATGCATTTTTAGAAAAGGTTGTGCTTTAAAATCCTTGCCTTCCCTTTAGACTGTGGAAGGAAACGGAGGATAGATTCTGAGAGGAGAGATGGACGGTAAAATTAAAAAAAAATTGGAGAGTCGGAGATAGAAGACAAACAGAATTAAAGAAGGATCACTGAAGTATTTGTAAAGTCCACAGTGAAACCTCTTCAGAACTATTTCCACAATATGTACCGCTCCAGTTCTGCAGACCAACAGCTAGTTTGGACAGTTTGACTTCAATTTTGAGGACGATGGCTTTTGTAGATACAGTCAAATGTTATCTTAGCTCCTTCACGACTCTCTCTTATTGAATTATGCAACCAATAAGGCATGGTGGCTTCATGGATTGATTGTTATTAATGGTTTCAGTCATATGGAAATATCTCCGAACACTTAAAGCGAGGCACTTGTTATGCTTAAGTCTACGAACTGAAGAGAAACACCAGAGAGATGAAAATGAAAAGATCGATACAAAGAGTTAAAGCGAAGGAACATGCTTCACAGATGATCGTTATTAAGACCCATAGTGCATTTTTTTGCCAGTGAGAGGGTTCCCATATTTAAACAAGTGAGTGCAAAAACAAACCAAAACAAAAAAAAATCACTTAATTGCAGTTTGTCCACTACATCACAGCATGGGGGATCAGAGAAATTGCATTGAATGGAATGTAACCAAGATCCACAGCACCACATATGAGAGAGAGAGAGAGAGAGAGAGAGAGAGAGAGAGAGAGAGAGAGAGAGAGAGAGAGAGAGAGAGAGAGAGAGAGAGACTAAGAGAGACTAAGAGAGATTAAGAGAGAGAGAGGCGGAGAGCGGGCTCAGTAGCTCAGCCTTGGACAGTAAACATCGCACAGCCAGCTTGTGGAGATCAAACAGCGGGGCTCTTTTTTTTCTTTAACTTTAGTGTTCCAAAAAGTACAACTGCATGCAAAGCATTCCCATTTAAAACAATGCAAAAATGAGGTAATAGTTTTTTTTTCATAGCATTTTTGTGTTATTTCTAAATAAATAAATTATGATTCAATACCCAATCCAACCCCCCCCCCCCCCCCTCCCCCGAAAAACTATATAAAATTAAATACATACCCACAATATCTACAGTTAGTAATAAATTATGATTGTTAAATACTTAAGGCATCTCAACTGACAACACCCTGTGTAAACTATGAAAACTTCATCACGGATGACTCCACTACAGGAAGGAGGCAGTTTCGACACCGGCAGTGCACAAGACAAGGGGAGGAAATAATCCCAGTTAATTGATCCTTAACCCACGAGGCTAAAAAAAAAAAAAGGTCTCATAGTACGTAGGATAGTGAGGGTCCTAAAGGCATCCTGTAGAACTGAAAACACAAGAACAAAAAAAGAAAAAAAGAGAAGTGAAAACTGGTCAGGCCGAGTGTTACCAGCCTGAGTGTTTTCCTGCTGTTGTGTCTGTGTGCACTGCGAGAGGGAGGCTGCCTCCGTCGCATCACGTTCTACATGTTCTAGCAATACAGCATAGCAACCAGCATAGCAACCACGAGGGGAGGTCTGTCACACAAATACACAAAATCAATACACAAGCTCCTCTCTCTCTGCTCAAACACTGCATGAATCTATATCTAAATATAAACCAACGCAAATGCAATACCAAGGGGAAAAAAACCCTTTTTTGTTGCTATAACTATTGTCACATGTGCTTGTTCTTTAGGCAATAAGGTAAACATTAAACCCATCGTTGCCACCAAAGGGGGACAGGATGAACACACGCTACAAGTCAGGGGAGCAGCCACTGACACTGTTTTTTGTTGTTTTTTTGTTTGTTAGTGTTGAGAAGATAGTCACAGCTCAGATTAACTAAGTCATGCAAAGCCATCTCTGTACCTTTTTTTTTTTTTTAATTGAAGAAACGCTACCAAAGCTAACAGCCCAAGTCGACAACGAAACATGCATTTTTTTTTAAAGTACACACTGTTCAGATGAAGAAACAGGTACATGGGCAGCTCAGTCTCCCTCCCACCTCGCTCTGCAGTTCCATTTTTCATCCCTGTTTTTTTTTTTTTTTTTGGCTTTGTGTTGTGTCAGCGCTCCAGCGGCCATGCGGTTAACCTACAGTGAGTTAACGACTAGTTGTTGCCTCGAACCCCTTGAAACACACACATTTGCACTCTTTGAACAGCCACGCATTTGTTAGACACATTCTTTAAGTCACACACAGCAGGGCAGAGCACACACACACACACACGCGCACGCACGCACACACACACACACACGCACACACGCACGTGAACCTGCGCGCCAGGTTCAAGCTACACCGTGACAAAAATGCATTTTGGTAAAATTACTTTCTACCTATTTTGAAAATACAACAAACGACTCAATCACTGGGCTCTGTTTTCCACGGCAGTGAAAGAGACCTACTCACACGACACCAACCCAAAGTAAATGTACAACTGTATTGCAAAATGTCAAAGCTGCATGATAGAATTAAAACACTCAGCTAGCTGCTGCTTCCCCCCCAAAGAAGGCGACAGCGCATCAGATATCACTTGTTGGTTACTGCTACTCTACTACGACCACAAATGATCTTTAGGTAAACATGGCATCAGAGCATTTGTTAAGCTTTCGTGTGTGGCAGAATATTCATTTTGATTGAAGTGTGTTTGAAAAGAGAGAAATATATATTTGTATATATATATATATATATATATATATATATATATATAGAGAGAGAGAGAGAGAAAGAGAGAGATACAAAGAGAGAAAGTAGCCAGCTCAGTGTGGGGTTATGTGTTTTCCACTCTCAGGACATTAAGTCATGGCTTTGAGGACATGCTACACAGCCCAGGACTACCTACAGTACAACACCACAACAGCAACAACGACCCACTTACGACCAGCAAGCTACGAGTAAACCCTGTGTACATGAGTGTGTGTGTGTGTGTGTGTGTGTGTGTGTGTGTGTGTGTGTCAGTGTGTGTGTCTGCGTGTTTTTTGCCTCCGGAGGGATGTGCTTCTATATAAAAAGAGTTGGCTTCTCTTGCAGTTAGTTTTCCTGGCTTGGCTCAGTAAAGCGTGAGTCAGAAGGGTGGTGATGTCACATGAAGTCTGAAGACATTTGGCAAAGCACCCAACAGGGGAGGGGGAGGGGAGAGCGGGGGGGGTAGGCCGGTAAAGCCGAGGTGGAAGAAAGCAGGAACCACGCGAAGGTGATTGACAAGGAAGGGGGGGGTTGAAATCTCATCAGCTGTCGGGGTTCAGCTGTGTTTCGATGTCAACTCGACAGATCGGACACTTCCTGCTGGTGGCCAGCCATTGGTCCACGCAGCCCTGGTGGAAGAGGTGCATGCAGGGCAATCTCCTGGAGGTCAGAGAGAAAGAGAGAGACAAAGTCAATGTTGAGTCTGGTATGTGCTTGTAAAGAAACTTCTGAAACCAACAGGGAGTTAATTTTGTTCATTCAGGCACGCAGAGGCAACTTCTGTCGAGTCATCAATCCCACATGCCTCTCTGACAGCTGAGACTCCACATGCTGTCATCTGACCTCATCACGGGACACGGGTCTTATCCCCTGAATTTCTCACCCACAGCTTGGTTTTAAACACATGTGTAGGTGCAACAATTTGGAAAAGATTTGCTTTCAGGTGGAGATAAATGAAAAGGCCGACTTCTCTCGTATCTGTCTGTTAAATGGGAAGCGAGAGCCGGCACCCGGTTAGCTTAGCTTAGCACAAAGACTGGAAACAGGGGGTCTGTAACAAAATCTGGCTACTAATTGTCTTAACTATTGTTGTTACGACTGTTTCAAGCTGAGTCAGGCAGAACAAAGTTGGACGCGTTGTAATTTGGAGTGACCCTGTATGTCTAATGTGAGCAACAGGGAAGATCTAGCTACCAGTTAATGGTTTGTAATTTAGCATTTAGCAAATTTATTTCACAGCGAAAGGTTGACTGAGTCGAGAAGTCTGTAACATTTTTACTTAAATATAAAATCCCACAGCGTCCATCCATTTTTAATCATTACTTAATTTATTTAAAGAAGAAAGATGAGAAGATCAAAACCGCTCTCATACTCAACGTGGTATCAGTCTAACTCTCCGCCATCAAGCAAATGAGCGTAATTCCCAAATTGTTTTTGTGGGAAAAAAGTAGGATTGTGGGAGCTACGAAGCGTTTCTGACCTGACGTCCTCTGCGTCCTCCAGCATGGACAAACAGATGGTGCATTTCTCGTCCACATCTGTTTCCTCCTCCTCCCCAATCTTCAGCAGCAGAGGCTTTCTCTGTTAGCAGGTCAGATTACACAGAGACGAAAGGTAGGCTCAGAAAAGCGAATACAAAGAAATGTGAATGTATTTAAAAGTGTACGTCTCTGTGTGTTACGCCTTACCTTCTTGTATTTGTGTGGAAAGGTGAACCGCTCTATGGTTGTCTGAACCGCTCCTCTGCTGACACTCCCCAGACGGTCCTCCAGCTGCAACAACTCCTGGGGAGAATTGGACATCCAGTTGAGATTAGTATAAAGAAGAAGGAAACAAATAGTAATAATAACAATAAAACAGCTACTAAATGGACCTCCGGTGAGATGGTTTTCAGGGTTAAGAATGTAGGAACGGGTTTACCTCATAACTTTCTCGCACAGCGGTGGCGTGCCTCGAAGGATTCAGACTTTGCAGTGCCAACAGGTGCAGCTGGGGGTATGGGTAGTTTCTGATTTCATGCACAACCTAACAAAAGAGAACTCGTCATCACATTACAGGAATGTGATAGTCGTCAGACACCAGTTTTCTCCATTGTTTTAATGCATTCTTAGCAACAAAAGAAAGACTCATTTTTGAGAATACTGAAGATGAACAAACAACAAAACTGTGTTTCTCTTTTCGAGATGCAAAAAGCAGTTGGCAGAGGTGGATCAAATCGATGGAGCAAAACCTAAACTTACAGGTTGAGATATCTATGATGCACAGGACAACTTAATGATCAAACATACCACTTGTGCAGAGGATGTGTTCCTGGGGAAGTGGTGCATTCGAGGGGAGGCCAGGTAATGCTGATAGTGCTGTGGAAGCTGCTGGAGCTGGTACTGGTGGTGAGGGAGGCCGGCATCAACGCTGAGATCCCTGCAGGCAGACAGACAAGCGACTAAATCAACATCATCGCCCTCGCGAGGCACCGTGACAGACAGACGGGTGCAGAGATGACAGGGCGTGATCGTGTCTCTGCTCTGCAGGACTCTCGTTAACCTCCGACGGTGACCTACCAGTCGGTGCCCTCGGCCAGGTACCGCTGCTGCTGTGTCATTTGCTGGGGAACGTGGAGGGGAGGAGAGAACTCATAGCCTGAGCGCATTCGGTGAGGGTTCAGGGGAATACGCTCCTGGGTTCTTCTGCAATGAGATAAAGATAAGATTCAATGCTTGTCTTGGTGTTTCGTCTGTGTGAGTCTATACTTGCATGCAGGCGGCGGTGGTTCTACCTGGAGTGCGGGAGGATCCTGCGGTGCTGGGCTTCAAGGAGCTGCTGCTGGATGAGGTATTGCTGGTGTAAGGCCTGAGGTAGGAATGGAGGCCCCGGCACATCCTGGAACTGAGGGGGTGCAGACAGGGCAGTGAGGGGCGGGTGGTGTGCCGGCGGCAGGTGGGGGGCAAGGCCGGTCTGAGGCGGCTGGCTGCCGTGTCCCAGAGGGAACTCTGCTGAGATGGGCGCCTGGGGAGCACCCAGGTGAAAGTGTCGGCAGGAGGTAGCATGGCTGTGTTGATGCCTGGTGAAGTGCGCTCCTACGGGTAAATAAATGCAAGTGGTCAGGAATGAACCCGATAGGCCCAGGGTCACTTTCACTCAGACAGACAGACGCTACAGAGAAACCCAGACGAACCAGTGAAGAGTACGCACCGACGCAAGCGCTCTCTGGCTTCCTCACCCACACACACACACACACACACACACACACACAAACCAATCACACAGAGAGAACATGAAAATAGGAGAGCACTGACACAGGAAGGGACGGGACAAGACAAGACAGACAAAAGAGCAGATGGAGTACACAGACATTGAGGCCCCTGTGAAGCACCATCTAAACCCACACACAGATTGCGCCCAATGGACTGCCTCTCCACTTGCCATAGCTCAGCCGGCAGGACGGATGGATCCTCACTAACAGCCCGGTGTGCTCCTGAGAAGATCTACAGCACCGAGGGGTTGCCTCTGGCCCACTGCTAGTCAATTGAATGGATTCGGGCTGTGTATTATGTCTGCCGTTTGAAGGAACAAATCTTTAACTGATTTCTCATTAATAACCCTCCACAGCAACTGAGGCGGGTTCAAAGGATTCACCGCCTCCCTTTCTACCCCCCCCCCCCTATCAGAGGTGGAGACATGAGATTGTGTGCTAGTCCCACTGAATCACCTCGGTATCAAGTTGCACAAGACAATCAATACAAATTACTCCGAGCTCAGATAAAGGAGGGCCGGGAGGAGGGGGCGAGGTGGGGGCCAACAGTTACTACTCCAGCTGCCCATTACAGCGCTCTAGCTTTCTGGAACAGGAAGCAGACAGCAGGTTGGGGGGGGTAAGGTAATGAAGTACCGGAGCATTGTGTGTTTGCTTGGTTAGGAAGAAAGAATTGTCTCATCTACTGTTGTGTCAGCAGTCAGGCAGATTAAAGCAGGAGGTGTTAAACGGTAATATGGAGCGACAATCTACGTCTAATATGAAGAGGGGAGATCATTTAGCTATCAGTTGATGGTCTGGGATACATTCAGCAAGTGCTGACTAATCTATTTTACAGTCGACGGTTCACTGCTAATTATTAAGTCTATAACATTTTTGTGTAAACACAAAATCCAACATTTTGGGTATATGCATATTCACTTTCTCTCTCTAAGAGTTGAAGATCGATACTCTGATTACCAGATATGCCTACCACTCACTAATGGACTTGTTGTATTTTGGTTGTTTAATCTGTACAAATACTGAAGCACTGTTGTCGTTCTATGGGGCTTTAGATGGAGGACTATTTCTTGGCTTTAGTAAATTGCCTGCGGAGACGTTTCTGGTCCCAGCCGAGAAATAGTCACTTCAGTTATTGTATACATTAAAAACACGAGATGTAATGTGTTGATCAGGGAGCTTTCAATACTTTTGCAGAGCCAGACGAGCAGTTTCCTCCTAGTCTTTGTGCTGTAAACTAAGCTGCTCACCAGTGGCTGGATTTTGCCTTTATATTTTAAAATGAGAGTGGTATCAATCTCCACCAGAAGGCAAATAAGCATATTTACCAAAGTGTCAAACAATTCCTTTAATTGTTGCTTATACGACATGTTTGCATGGCTGTTGTTTTGCTCCGCTGCGTACAACCTTGGGACATGGGAAGCCGGTGAACCTTGAGAGCCTCGAGCAAACCGAAAACAATATTTGGCACGAGGAAGTAGAGCAGAAATGGCAGAATGCTGGTTTGGATTGGCAAAAGGGCGGAACATCACTTTTGTATGAAGCCCGTGACCCGGCAAGACTGGACTCAGAGTGAAGCTTCAAGTAAATATCAAATGATTTGTCTCTGGGCTCTTTCACAGCATGAACTGCTGACATTAATATTTGACATATTGCAGTGCTGCCAGCAACAAGCCCCCGATGTTGTTATTGTTACATCGCTGCTTCCGACTTTGACTTTCAGATACAACAGGCCTGATTGGTGCAGAACAGACCCCCCCCCCCCCCACACACACACACACACACACACTCATACACTCCCATCCACCTCTCCTCACCCCCGAGCTGCTGCACAGGCAGCCCCTCCCCCACGGCTTAGCTGCGGCATGGTGTCCCTACGTGAGCGACGGCCCGTAAGCCCTGCCCAGCCGCGACTGCAGCAGTCTGACATCAAACCTGTCTCTCCCCCCCGCTTCCATCACTGCAGCTTTATCATCGCACCTCCCCTCTAACATAATCCTGTCTTCTGCCTGGTGCGATGGTCCTCCATCATGTGACACTGTGAGCCCAGTGTATGCAGTTTTCACTGAAACCCCCCTCTCCCCCCTCATGGCCACACCAGCTGATGTCACTGATTGGCACCACTCCCAATCAGAGTGAGGGACTGATGAGTGGAATCAGCTTGCATGTTGCTCAGCTGGCCTGGAAAGCTGCACACAAATGGCAACATGACACACGCTGGCACACCACTTACTGACCTTGATGCTAAACATCAGGCGAATGGGGGGGCGAGGTAAGCGCACGGTGGAAGACAAAGCATTTGATATTAAAGTGGTCTGTAGCAAGGCAGCCACTGTGAAACAACTTGTGCGTTACAGCTGTTGAGTTATTTAAAAGTGTGTCGCTGTGGTCGCGGGAGAAACACGGCTGTGTCTCAGACGCTCCTTGCGTCGGCATGTAAATAACTCGGCTATTTCCGACACGGTGAACAGATGTAAGGCTCAAGTGGCTGGAGCGGGACGGCAAGAAGTCCCAGCCTTTAAAACTGAAAATTTATATTTAAAAATGCTGAATACGTTAAAATGAAGTGACACCAGAGTCTGCGCTGCATGTTGTTGACCAGTCTACCCACTTTTAAAGTGTTCACAGAAGGAAAGGCTTGTTAATGCATTGTTTAAAGTGAGAGCAGCTTTCAAACCAAATGCACACTCAAAAACTTAAAATGAGAATTTAAGGTCTAATATAGACATTTAGAACTTGTGTAATTAAAGACTCTTGGAAGACCACAAATTACATTACTATCTTATATTAACAAAAGGCCTTTACATGACTGACTTCCTGCAATAAATAATCTGAACTTGTGCTGTTATCACAAGCTACGAAGGCATTACTGTTTATAGGTATATATTTTCAAAACCAACTATATGCTTCTCTGTGATTGTATTTGTATAACTGTGTCAAGGTCTGTTCTACTATTACCATGAGCAGGACGAGACGAATGAGGCCAATATGTTACAACATTCCAAACATGCAAAGATGAAACGCTTCACAGATGAAATATTTCCTTATGGTTATTGAACTAAATTGATCTCTAATTATGCTACACATTTGGACACTATTGACAGTTGTACAGGTAGATGAGAAGATCTATACCGCTCTTGTTTAATCCATACAGCAATTATTGTTGGTAATGTGCACATAAACCCTCGTACAACATCATTTTACCCCTCGTTTTTGCATGAGTGACACAAACGGGATATAACGTGTTAATCAGTGAGCTTTAGAGGCACTGGTAGATGATCTTTGTTACCTTTAGACAGACCAGTCAAGCTGTTTCTCAGTCTTTATGCTAAGCTAACCAGCTGCTGGCCGAGCATCATCTAATTCTCTGCCAGAGAGCGAATAAGATTTCCCTAAGTGTTGACTTCTTCCTTTCATAACCAGTGTTTAATGTAATGAGACTTCAAAGTTATTTTTGTTCCAAGAAACCATGCGGTCAATACCTCGAGGTATAGCTGGGTGGTATCCAATACCATGAGATGATATTGTTTTTGTACCGTGGTGTACAAAAGTTTGTTTTAGACCATTTCAGAGAATGATGCGAATACATTTTGTATGATTTTTGCATGATTATCCCAAAAAAAAAAAAGCACTTTTAGTTGATTTTCACACAAAATTGACTGACCAAATATATTGACATCTAAAAACAAAATGATATATACCTAGACAGATGATTGTATCCATATCGCCCAAAGTTGTTCCAATGTTAACTCCTCACCAGTGATCACCAATGATATGAGGTTTAGGCTGCGCTTTGTTTTGTAAACAGTGTATGATTTAGGACGAAATGACAGCATGTAACATTAAAGATCAATGCCGTTGTGCTTCAGTTACATGCTTTTGTTATTCTTTTTTCTTTATAGAAAATGTGGCTGCCCCTACTCCGAAGTAAGCAGAGGATCGACTTGAAACTCTGTCAAAGACAGCTGAGAAATGAGAGCACATAGAGAGTGAAGGGACCGTCTCAGTGACAGCACAGTGTGGAGGGAGGAGGGGAGGAACACATGGAAATCAGCAAAAAGCACACTGAAGGTTAGAAAGAAAACTACAGTCTTTATTGGAAAATATTAGTATGTGTGGCACTGTGTGATAATAGTAATAAGAGTAATATATATATATATATATATAAAACCATAATAATACCATGCAAATAAAGACCAAAGGCAAGGCCCGACCATGCTCTCCGTAGGGTTAACGGAACAGAAGCAGCATCCAATGAGTAGATGTGTATGCTTACAGCACATTTCAGTATAGCAGGGACATCTCTACACAAAGTTTACATTGGAATCTGCTGTTCAATGTGGAAAAACAAAAAGTATAAAATGACCATGCATTAGGATCTAATACAAGAACATAAGGTAGAAAACCACAACCAAAGAATAAAAGACATTTTCATTCTAAAAAGGAGTTCTACAGCAGTGCAGGATATACACATCCCTGTAAAATGGATAGCATTCTGGAGGTGTCTGAGGAGGGGGTGGGGGGCTGTGATTGATAGTGGGGGATTTTCAAAATGGCAAGATGAGTTAGACTGGAGTCTAGTCAATTGATTGTTACTGACTAAATCAATTCAGCTAGCAGGAACAAAGGCTTTCACACACGGATAGGATTATGGTGAGCCGTTTGGACGCCGCTATAACAGGTGCAGTGGACCATCAGAGGTGAAACTCAAACTACACGTATCGGCCAATTGGGTGAATGTTAGGATAGCCAGATTATCGGTCAAAAAAAGTGATCATACAAGTGCTTTATTGACTACAAAAGCTGGTACAATGCACCTTTCGCTAATAGGGGATGGAGACAAAATTGGAGTTCGATCAAGCCTGGCTGTAATCGAATCTGGGAGGTGTGTGGGGTTGGGGGGAATCAAAATGTATCCACTTTACAGAAATTTACAGCAGAATGTAGTCTATCCACACTGAATGGGAGAATCACAATGACAGTTTGTAGTAAAATCTAACGCTACAATGGGTTATTCACTGAAGAGCAACATGACAGTTTTAAATAAAGACAAACTGCTTTCTACAGAAAAGGTGTTATTCTTTAGTCTGTTACACAGAAGGATACGGTATGAGTGGGAACTCTGGTGTTTGTTTTTTTTTGTTTTTTAATGCCAATGTCGTCTTCAGATGGAAAGAGGAAATGAGGAAGAAGGGGGTTCACAATACAGCTAGATGCAGAGAACAGGCAGAGGCTACGGCAGACAGCAGCAGATGATCGTTAGCTACACAATGGAGGGGGACAAAGGTCTGAGAAATGCGGAATGTAGAGCCAGCCTCGATACTATGGAACAGGAAAAAAGAACACAAATAAAAGCACAATGAAATCATTGGTGCTACTGCATGTAGTTTTAACAATGCACGTCAAACTATTACCACTACTATTATTATTACATAACACAGATAGCCTACCGCAATGGAGGATGATTAGAGCTAGTATGCCTAATTCAGTGATTACTCATATTTCTGTTTATTTTAGATTTTTACTGCACCTGCGCCGCAATTTGCAGGTTTTCATTTGACGCTTCTTTTTTTTTTTTTTAATCGCGCACACGTTTTGAGGTTTAAGACAAAATGCCACCATTTTATACCATTTTTAAAATAGCCATTAACATGAACTACGGCCATCACGCTACCTGTGTTTTATGGGAAGAGCACTTAATTGAAGCGAACTCTGGGTTAAAAAAAAATCAGCGCAGGAGATGAACACACTCCATGCATGTTGCACACAAAGGGACACGCATCCCTTGTCAGCTTCGATTCAGATACTTGCTTTGGGACCACATTAAAGACAAAAAGCTGTGGATGTTTATTACCTAAAGCTAGTATAATGTGTCTGTATATGAAGCTACTGGTAATTGTTCAGTAACGTTAGCTTAGCGGTGACTGCACACAAAAAAAAAATACCCCGCTGCAAACGCACGTAAACACCACGCAGTGGGAGATAAACCAGCTGAGGATAAAAGAGAAGCCATTTGACAGCTGCTGTCATTTTGGTGCATTTAACGAACCCTGAAACGTCCTAAAAAAACAAACGTCCATTTCCTCTTATATAACATTCAATGTCTTAAGTCACACTAACCACGCTTTAACGGTCTCTCATGCGACGCTACGGTTAGCACAACGGCTAATGTTGTCTACGCTCGACTGTCGCTATTATGCTGGCTTGCGTTTTTTAAATTTTTTTTTGTTGCTAGCAGGTGTCAGCTCTGTTTACATCATTTGAGGACATTTAAAAAGAAGGAAAAGCCGAGAGATTTGTTAGGGTTAGGATAAGAAGATATATCGAGATAGTCATACCTCTATTTCTAACTGAGCCGAAGACGGGGAGAACCAGATATCCAACATGTACTAACACCATCCTGGGTCCTTCTTTGTTGTGTGGGTAGCCAGTGAGACAGATGGTCCATGGAAATGATCCCCTCCAGTCCTCTGCACATTCAAACGGACAGACGCGAGCGGCCAATCACTGGAGCCCTCCGATCAGGACCCTCCGGCACTGACACCCCGCTCCACCAATGGGATGTCTGCGTTCTGGAAAGCCCCGCCCCCATGACTGAACCCATCAGCCCCAGATAAGGTACTGTAAACTTACTTGGTAGAGCTGCTTTCTTGTCGGCGACCCTCAAATAGACATCTGGTTAGATGTCACCCCAGCGAGCCACATTAACATTTATCTATAATTAATTATTAGTAAAGGAATTCAATGATAAACATTTCCCAGTAGCCTCATCTGTAACTTATTATTATTATTATTATTATTATCGAGCAACTTTCAATCATCTCAGTTTCAGAGGGAAATGTTAGACTTTTACTCCACTACATTTACCTTAAATTGTTATACAACACCTATGATTTAGGATTAAAGGCCGTGCATATACACATTGGTGTTTTTAAACTGTTGTGGGAAATTTGCAAAACTAAACTGGGATTTAGGCTACTTCTCACTGAGGAGTAGTTGGGTCAGATGATTCACTGGCTCCCAAAAGCAGGAACAATAACATGAAACTATGATTCAATATGCTGTAACCAAGAACATTTATCAGCCAAACTACCAGTTATCTTGATTTTACATGCAAAACAAGTGATACATTTATATAAGCTGATGCATGATGTATGATTGAAGGACTTGCGTACCCACACCGGTGTTGTCAAACTACAAACAAAGCAACATTAAAAGAAAATTCTATTAATTCATAAGACTTTAATGTTCTGCAAAGAAATAGCTTCACCAGTTTAATTCCTCTTCCCTGTAAGCACACTGAACATATGACGCTCCACATGACCAAAGACTACATAGCACGTTTGTAATAGAAATCTTTGAGTTTTTTTTAAGGACAAGAAAACTAGTTCGATTAAATGTAATTATAGTTTAATCGTATTATTGTTCACTTTGGGAGACAGTGGATTGGTTGTCCCAGCCAGGAAGGCTCAGTGAGACGTAACCAACAAATGTAGCTGAATAATCTGCAACAGAATAAATATTAAATTCTTTATAATTCTAACTCCTTTTGAAAAATAACCTCTCCCCACGTTGTACCATTTCCCTGTATAGCAGATATGCTTAAAACTGTCTGTGTCCTGAAAATGTCTCTGCCTTTAGTGTTAAGCCTGAAGGGTGAAGGAACAGATGGGCATGGGGAGGCTGAGGGGGTCACAAAACTCTTAGTCCCATATGTCCTCGTCTTCCAGTTCCCACCATCTCATTTTTAAGCCTGCGGTGCCACACAAAGAGCCTTTCACAATGCCTTACTATCGGTGCAGGTCGAACTACTGCAGTTTCCTTTACTCACACATAACAGGCCTTTTTAATACCGTCTAACTATCACTTCATACTGCAAAACTTTTATAATTCAGAACATGAAAACAGTGGCAAGTGTTTGATTTTCTTAAGACCTTTTTGACACGTTGCCTAATTTATATATGATCAGAGCTAACTAACGGTTATCATTATTATTGATTCCAAGAAATAGTTTAGTCGATGAAATCTAAAACTACAAAGATTGAAAAATAAAAATACAAATTAGACCCCAAGTTGAAATCTTCAAATGTTTTGTTTCATAAAAAGTCCAAAACCTAAAGACGTTATGTTAACACTGATATATGCTAAAGAGAAGCTTGAAAATATACTGAGTGATTAATCAATAGTAAAAGTTTATTTTTGTCGTTCAACGAATTAATTAAATATCTACATTTGCCCGTTAGAGCTTTTACTTTTCTTTTCATAAGAAATTACTTTAAATATTTTTTAGCAGAGCAAGCAAGTAAAAGTTAGTTTTCCTCACTAGTGATCAGTAGTCATGCGCAGCACTTATTAACAAGGGAGCTGTCATTTTGAATAAACCCGGAACAGCACTTGTAAAACCGAATCTAAAGCTGCAGCACTAAAAAGACATCTGCAGGAGGACGGATACTTATTTCTGGCTTTTGAGAGTGAGCCAGCACACTCGCTGCTCTGTGAGGCCACCGCTGCCCTGTAAAGATTAGCATACAGCTGATGTTCTGCCCCCTGAGGGTGAAAAGAGCCGGCTACAGGGCTTTGGTTTCAGGAGCAGGGCCCACGAAGACTGCATTGCTCCACTCCCTCAATGTCCTCTTAATGTGAACTCCATATGTCCCCCTAGCGGCAGGTGTCGCAGGATGACCTCTGACCCCGGCCTGCTACTCTTGTGGGCGAGGGTGACGATGTATTGTTCACGGCGAGGCATTTGTCTAGACTGTTAGGCAACAGGATAAAAGAAAAACAATGAGACACATCGTTAGGTTTTGTACCTATGATGGCAATTCTTCTAAACTTGTGAAGAACACTTTTTGATAGACACGACTTTGGGCTTTAGATTCATACATTAGAGAGCTGCCATTATTTAAGTTTCAGATGTTTTTAAAGTAGAATTTAAGTAACATTGTTTGCTGAAGTTGTAGTTAAAGTTGTCTCAAAGGAGGAAAAACACGCAACAAATGGCAATGTGTTCAGTTCAAAGACTTCAGTCCCAATTAGACTTCTTTTGAAAGCCACTTTAACAAGTAGACTACATGTCCTAAAATGAATGCATTTTCTAGAGACAAAGAAACAAACTGCTGGACAAGAGGCTCATTAAATAATGCTCTATTTATTTCGTTTTAAAATAGTTTCTTTTTGTTCTACAGACATAATTACAAGGAAGTCAAGGTCTTGCAGAAGCAACAAAATAAACCCCTTTTTATTAATTTAAAATACTGACAGTAAAATATAACAGAAGAGCAAAGCTAAATTACTGGTAATGAGGATAATATCTGACTTGAGGTTAAAGATGTGACCACACATGCGATGTGCAACCATAGTCGAGCACCACTGCCCCTTTTTCAACCAAACCTCCATCACTAGAGACATGACCAACATTTAGTAATAATCCTAAGGAACTATAGCAAAATGGGTTTTGCAAGCAGAAGTGGTCTGGTAAAAAGAATTGTCATTACAGTGGTAGCTGCATAGAGTGGAAAGAACTGGCCAAAGGAAAACAATATCACATTTGACTAAACTTGTATCTTGAGTTGGAAACAGAGTTCAAGTCATTTCACAACAAATGCATCGACTTCCAAATGAAAATATTTACTTACAGAGCAAATAAAAAATGGAAGCAAAATTAAAATCCAGAAAGAAAACAAACTGGAAAAAAAAAAAAAATCCATTTAGATTTTGGTTTAGTTCCTTTTTATATTTGGGATTTTCCCTTCTGTGACCAGCAGAAGGGAAAATAATTTGATTCTCAAACCTCACTTCGGAGAGTAGACATTGTTTGATATGAAATAAAACAAGTGTTACAACAGTGTGTGAAGTTGGATGGTGGATTAAAAGTGTACCAGTGTGGCTGCAGTACTGCATGAAGACAAAAATAAGACCACGAGGAAAGCGAGCAAGCAGGCTCTGAGGATCAGGGTAAAAACAGTTCATACAGTAAAAGGTTCTACTATTAACGCCCAAACATGTGGGTACAAACTCACCACTTAAAAGTATTTTTTTATGTATTTGTGTGCTAAATTCACATCTATTATTAAAATATTCATTGTTGATAGCAAAATCCACTGCTCTGTAAGGTAAAAGAATACGCTTTGTACGATTTCTAACAGAAAATAGTGCACTTTTCAAGGCATTCAGGCCATCTTGCTTTGTATTCAATGGAAGATGCATTTCCTCAGCTGTTGTAAAGGGGTCCCCAGAGGTTTAAAGGTGTCCGCTCTAGAAGACGAGCACGCAAACAATAAGTGCAGCCAGTCCGCACCGCAGGGTCACCTGGGACACTCTCAGACTCTGTGGCTTCCAAATCTAAAAACATAATTTAAACAAGAGACACAGCATTTCTATTGCTAATATACCCCAACATAGTGCTGTGGTAGAAATGAGTCATTGTGTAGTGTCTTTTTACTTCTAAACTGTGGAGTTTAACCAGTTGGTTTCTGTGTTTTCATAAAAAAACGTAATTTATTGTAAAATGGTAGAAGTAGAAAGAAAAGCTGTGGATTTAAATCAAGACATTTGGGGAAATAAACTTATTGTCTTTCTGGTGAGGAGAGGATGGATACCACTCATGTCTGGAGGTGGTATCAATCTACTAGTCTGACTCTCGGCAAGAAAGCAAATGAGCGTAATTCCCAAAATGTGAAACTATTCTTTCGAGAATCTCTTTCCACCATCAACAGAGCACGAGCTGTACCAACGCTGGACAAAGTATAGTGAAGCAAAGCCATCAATGCAGACTGGAGTAAATACGAAACCAGTGGTGAGACTTTGGAAAACAACCGTAGACCGGTAAAAAGCAGACTTTGTGCCCCACTGTACAACAGAGAGTGAACCAGCTGCCGTTTGTGCCTTGACCACCACAGGGGACTGCAGATAAAAAAATGCCGAATCTGATACTATGCCGTTCAGAGTCTGTAGTGAAGCAGGTCGACGGCCGTGACGCGATACCGACCTGCTCTTAAGCAGCAACTTGACGTTTTCACTAAACAGCTTGCAAGCGCACAACACGAAATGACCTAAATCTGTCAACGAGGGGTAATTGAGGTATTAAATGAAGGTAGGATATTGCTATCATTAACGGATAAATCAGCCGTACATACTTTTTCCACCTGCACTTGAAGTGCTGTGCCATTTTTTTTTATTACAACTAAACTGAGTTCGGGGGAATCACGTCAGTAGAATGGCTTTGATACATATGATTTGTTTAACAGTAAGTTAAAAACAAACGGTGCTCTGGAGCGGGAAGAGTCCACGAGCGGTTACAGGCGAGGCCACAACTATAGGAGGGGTTTCAGCCGTAACATGGCGGCGAGAGGGAGGAGGAGTGAGCGGGAGAAACGAGGAGTCTTCAGTGTACAAGTTGTCTAAAGTAGGTATTTGTGTCCGGCGTCCTCGTCCAGGGTAAGGTCCACCACTTCGGGTGGGGACACCCAGTTGGGCTGAGGGGAAACAGTAGTCCAGAGCTGTGGTTGATTTGTGCTGTTTAACTGCTCCACTGATTTCTCCTTCCAGGTGGACAGACTCTTTATTACTCCTCCGCATGGGTGAGCGCATCTGGAAGAATAATAATAATTTAAAAAAAAAAAGATTAATTCATACACTTTTATTCACAACTAAAAAGGAACATTTATTAAATTAAAGATAAGGTTTCCCCACTGAAAGTCTTTACCGTGCTTTCTCTTGCACTCCGACTATTTCCACCTCGCTGTCAGAGGAGGCGATGTTAATCTGGCCCTTGTTGTGGTGAGAACTTTCCTTGTGCGACAGCTCTGCCTCCACGTGGCCTGAAACAAATAAAAGGAACAGAGTCACACATTGTGAAGTGGACCGGAGCAAGTAGAGAGCTTCAGGCCTTGCTGACGCATTTAAAAAACAGTGCAGCTGCTTTTTTTGCAGACACGGACGAGAACGGAAACGATGAATCCGACACTTGTGTTGCTGAGAAGCTGACTGGATAGCATGGAGCGACACACAGACAGAACAGAAATTGTGGACATTATATTCATGTTTTGACAATGCCGGCTAGTCGGTTACAAAAGGTCAATTCTTCAGTCTTGAAGCAAGGAAGCGAGAGTATTTTTTTTTTCCCATAGCACCCAATGCAAAGCCAGTGGTGTGTGGGATGAAGGCAGCAATAATTCAAAGGCGTCTTGCTGACATTAATAAGACCATTTCCCCCACATAGCAAGTTGCTTATTGATGACACCCATGCCTCTAAATGTCCCGTCTTCACTGAGAGGAGTGGAAAGTATCAGTTTGGATTCAGCGGGTTTGTAACTGACCTGAGACAGAGCACAGAGCTCTTATACACCCAGAGTGAGCTGCCATATCCCGGCCTCTGTGTGTTTTTAGCTCATGCTTTATCACCGTGGGCCGGACTGTCTCCACACTCATACTCTCCTGGTTAGAATCAGTGTCTGAAATATCATAGTGACCCACTACTGGAAGCGCGTCTGCAGAGAACAAAGAAAACACTTCATTATTCAAATCATGCTTTGGAATCGTAGGACTGACACTGCGTCCGTAGTCCAGTAGTGAAATGAAACATTTTGGCCTTTTCACTTTTGACAGCACTAAAAGAAACGCTCCGAAAATGTGAATAATGTGATCACTTCTCAAAGCTACACGAGCGAGGCTTTTGTATTCGAGGAGTAAATAAGTAAACCCGCAGCATTTATTTTTCTCTGCATTTATTGCTTTTAAAATAACAGCCATTCACATAAAAACTACACAAGATTACAGTCATTACAAAACACTTCAAAATTGTCTTACTCAGTGAGTGAAATGTAGCGGGATAATAACTGCCAAACAACAGAAGAATAACTGTGGAAAAGAGGGAACATGTACTTTGTTCTACCCTGTAAAAGGAGTCCCTGGGAGAAACGCACACACACTATCATCCGGACGTGTGTGTGTGTGTGAGGGGGTTCGTCTGGACAGCATGTACTATGAGAGAACAATGCCTATGAATAGCTGATTGGGCTGCAATAGACAGGTACCGGAGAAAGAGAGGGCGTGCCGATGTAAAGGCCATGTATTAAAGATAGAAAAAGGATGAATGTAAACCAGGATAGTCTCTTTGGTAAACGGTGGACTGTCCTTAGTGTTGTTTTTAATGTACACAGTGTGTGATTGTATGAGGCTCCCTTTACCACGTTGACAAAACAGCCAATTTTAAAGGGTTACTTCAGTTTTAACAAATGGATGCAGTTGTTGGATCCATTTAAACCCAAATGCAAGTAAGTATGCACTACGGACCAAAAACACCAATATTCACACAATTTGAAAACAATTGGGCCAAGAGAAAACAACCAAATAGATAAAACGTTCAGTCAGTTACCATTTATCAGCAAAGCTACACCTTGCACACATGCTGCTGATAACCAGTTTGGCCTAGCACATTCTATATACTAATATAACCACATGCAAACAGGTGGGGAAACGAGGCCTCCAGCGTTTTGTAAAACTGACGTAGGGCTACATATACACGTACAGAAAATGTAACACTTTTTTTTTTAAAACATCCTAACTATAAATATGATTAGGCCAAAGATTCCTTCATAAATGCCAGTGATGGTTAGTGTTAAGAACTCTATCAGTAGAAGTAGTTCGAGGATTGTTTGCACCTCAAAGACCACAGGATCTGAACCAAAGAAGGCCACTTGATTGCTCAGATCAGTCCGTGTTTTTTTTTAAATTTTTTTTTTTTTTTAAGGAAATCCGTAAACATTGCCATGCACCACACTGCAGCTGTATTACTGCTGTATATCCGTTAGTTTGATGCCTGGGTTTTCAGCTTGAAGTCAAGCTGCGGTGACACGGGCCAAGCTGGCAGACCAGTGCAAATAGGAAACTAACTAGGCGGCTGTTGTATGAGTGAAGATTTGAGGCTCTTGACACTGCAGCTGATAGCCACAACATAGGAACCCATGCCTTATCTGATGTTCACAACCTATACACAGGCTACTAAAAATAAACAGTGGGAGTCGGTCCTCCCTCACTAGTTTCTTGTTACTGCACAAAGGCAGCAATAGCAGCAAATGTAACAGAAACGCAAACCGTAGAAAATGTAAACACTTCTAATCTAATTGTCATAGGATTTAAAAAAAGCAAGAATTGTGTGGGTTAGTATATTGTGTTTATAGTTTTAAGCAAATCTATATTGTTATGTAAATGTCAGTAAAGCTATACCACCAAAACAAAGGTTGTCCCAAGACCCTGAACCATTTATAAGCAGAGTGCAAACATAGTTCAGGAGAAAGGAGGCTAATGTAGAGTGTTGAACTGAATTTCTAAAGAGATGCTCTAGCTATCATTCCCAGCATGAAGTCAGAATGACAAGGCACATGCTGTTAAGCAGCCCCCCCCCCCCCATCTAGCACTGTCCTAATGGCTGCCCAGGTGCTGTAATGCACAGTCTGAATGAATGACAGTCAGCTTCTGTTTGTGTGCATGTGTGTACAGCTGGTACACAAAAACAAACGAGCCATATGAAGAGCAAAAGAATAAGAGCCCTGACTGGACAGTCCACTGAGATGCGCCCTGTGTCCGTGTCACAGATGCTACCGAAATCAAACGGGTGAGTTGAATTATTCTGAATGTCAAATCTCACAGTGATTCAGTGCCAGCAGATTAAAACGGGCCCTCGGGTCTGCACACAAGTTCAAATGACCAGCTCGAGCCCAGCTGCTGTTGATGGTGTATCCGTTCAGTGACCTCGCATCGTTAACCTATTAACACCTACTGCCGTGCTTTCAGCATCAACTAGTTCTACACTTGGTAACATCTAATTAAGTGAAATCTAAACATTCAAGAGGCCGGGGTCTGGAACACCTAGATTCCCGTTCTGAGTGACCACTTCAGGTAGGATGATGTTGTTGTTGTTTATGGGGGTGGAGGTGAGACTGTTGTTGTCTCGCGCCAACATGTAGGCAGCCATAGTCTCTGAAGACTCCGACGACGGCAAAAAGGAACTGGGCTGGGACGGGCGTACCCCCTGGGAGGGGCGCTGCTGCCCCTCTAGGGCGTCACTTGAGCGTTTGGACGAGTCGTTGTCTGAGTCGAGGTGTGCAAGCTTTTCCATCCAGACGCGGAAGCGCTCCTCGGTCTGACGCTGCATCACAGCAAATCGCGTCATGGCCTCCTCCAGAACACTGCCGATGCCGTTCCTGTCCCACGAACTGGTGTCCAGCAGCCCATGAATCTGGGCGCCCACTCTGGATCTCTCCGACGCACGTCTGAAGCCAGCTTTAAAGACATTGAGGCCAAAGCCATAAGAAAATACAGTAGCACTGTCATGCTTCGGAGGTGGACTTTTGTATTAAAGAGAAAAATGACAGTTTGTTTTTTTGGTTACGTGCAGATTGACCCTTTCATGCTGATGGACTACATCATGCAGTTGAAGCACTCAAATCTATGTGCGGGATGTAAAAATGGTTGAAAACATTTCATGTAGTACGGATCCCTAAAGAGAGATAACTGGATGTCTCGGACGACTGGTTTAGTGACCGTGGTTTGAAAAATGTGTTAGAGACTTTGAGGTAAAAACACCCATTTGAAGCAAATTCATTATGAAACTATGATGGACAAAAGATATGTTTAACTATATTTTCTGCTAAAATTTCTATCATCTTAAAATATACCGTAGGGTTAGTATCAGCCAAAAATAGGCACCGTGTAGTGCCCCTGGAAAAAAAACCTAATACTAGATAAACTAGTTCTATTCTGGAAACACACAAGTGAGCTAAACAATTAATTTAAACAAACCAAACCAAATATATTATATTCTAGGTAATGCAATCTCAGTGAAAAGATCAGCCTAAAGTAAGTGAAGAGACTTCAACACCAGCAGCAGGCCTGTAAATACCACCCAGCTAGTAGTTACTTATAGAACTCAACCCACTGAAGAGATTTCTACAATCGTCAGGAAACGTCAGTCAGAGCTGCATATCCATTCATATTTTCTAGACGATGACACAAGAGCTATACGACAGGTCAAAGGTGCTACAGAACTCACTATAGAGAAGAGAACCACCTGTTTGCAAGACAGAGTGACGAGTAGGATAGAGCTAAGGAATATTCAAAAGCAGGATATACTAATAGTAGTCTTAAGGTGCTACAGACGGTCACTAAATATAAATTGACTTTTAAGCAATCTGATAAAATGGCACATCCAATATGATTGAGTCTAAACTTGCAGGTGTAAGACTGTTTCTACCAGCACACCAACGCTTAACGGCAACTGCAGACTCTTGCAACTCGGACTAACACAGTGTGATCATACACCATTCACTGTCTATTTACAGCAAAGGCTGAGGATATAAATGGCCCATTGTTGAAATGCAGAGCTCGCAATGTAGGTTAGATTAACGCAACTCTGTTTCTACCATTCCACGAGTTGAAGAATGCCACTCGACTTCCACAGCATGCAAACGATGAGACAAAGTTCTAAAAGAACCATACATTGTATTACTAGAAGTGATGGCCCCCCTAAACAGACTATCCAAAAACAGGGTGAATGAAGAGATGGAGTGAGAAAATAACACCAAAAAATAAAGTGATTGGATAAAACAAACACAAAAAGCGGTGCTTGCACAGATCTGTTAAAGGCTCTCTACAGCCCCATTACATGTTCTTACTATATGTGGCAAGTGAACACTTTAATTTGGCTTGCCTGAATTTTTTACATCATGCAGGCAGCCTCATATTATAAATATCTGTGTCAGACTGATTGCTTAGTCATACACTGTAGGCCTATACATTTTTACATCATTATGTGATCGTGTTTTACAGTGGCTGCTACTGTTACCCTGTACTACTACACGATGGTAGAAGTACTTTGCTATAAGCACGTGTTGTGAACATCGGATGTTACCTGTAATATCTGTCTTGATTGTCTTGCTACCTCCTGAAGTGTCATCGTCCTCGTCCTCAGAGGAGCTGGTGCTGGAGTCGCACGTGAGCTCGCTGTCACTCGTACTGCTGTCCTGCAGCAGGTTGTACTTCTTCCGCGCCGCTGCCTCCCGCTTTTGCCTCAGCAAACGCATTCGCTCCTTGTGTTTCTGGCTACGGTGACCTTTCACTTTTGCCAGCTTTCCATTGGTTTGTTTTTCCTGCCCTCCAGCTGCTACCAAGGTGGGCTGGCAACGGTTTTTCTTTGCAGCCATCACGTTAGGCAGCATCTCGCTCTCTGAACGTAACCGCCGGGACTTCCTCCCCCCTGTAGATGACGACTGCCTTCCTGCTGTCTGCCCAGGATCATTCGAAGCTTCCATGTTGCCCTCTTCGTCTTTTCCAGTGGGAGGAGCAGCACCGTCTTCCCCTGAGGAGAGCGTGTCTGAGTCAGCGAGGTGGCCACTGGACGAGGGGGAGAGCATGCAGTTGTTCGAGGAGTCGCTCTCATAGATATGACGAGATACAGGCTTGTCGCTCCCTGTAGAGGCATGCTGGGACTCTGGGGAGTCTCGGCGGAGCTCCTTCATCAGGCATGGCATGGAGAGGAGACTCTGCTCACCCTCTGTAGTCAAGGGGCTGTCTCCCTCCTTTTCCCTCGGAGGTGAGCTGGTACTGGTGGTGGCCTCTGATTTTAGATGCTCGTCCTGAACAGAGCCTGTGGCTGACAGTGCTTCATCAAGGCACTCTGGGGGGCACTCAGCATCAACAAAATCCTCTGCCTTGTCTGAGTCAGCCATCTTCATGCTAGTTGAGCCCAAAGCCCAAAGGTCCAACAAACATGGACCAATGTGCCTGGACAGGAGCTCACCTGCTGGAGGAAAAACATATTACTAAGTACAGTCTAAATTATGTGCAAGAGGCTGGGTGTCTGACAGCATAGGCAATACATAAGGGCATTATTAAATAATGTGGACATACAGAAATATTATCACAATGGTCCCAAAATGAAACATTCCTTTTTAAACATGTAGATCTCCAGTTCAACTATATACGTAAACAATAAATCAATTTTTCCTCCTTTACAAACTCTTGAGTTAAGACATTCTGTGCATTTTGTACTGGGTTAACATGTTATATAACTACTGACTGTTCACATACAAAAAACAAATAATCTCTCGAAATTGTATGCAACAATTTGGTCAGAATTTCCCGTTAGCGATATTGCCGGTATGCAATTGACGTTAGCTAGCTTCTACTTTTACGTCTCAAACAGCCTGCGTAACGTTTACATAAAAGTCCGCTACACCTCCCCAGCCACGTTAAACACAATGTGTGGAGTACGAGACATTTATTTATGATTGAATTAATTACTTTAATATGAGTTAGTTGGGTCTGTGGCTAACTGGAGAGCTAACACAGGCTTGGATCCAGACGCTACTTTTAGCTGCGTAGTGAAGCTAACCTCGGTCATAACCTAACACCCAGCAGCAAATTTGGCGAGAAGAATACATGTCATTTGTAAATGTTCAGGTTGCAGGACAGCTGCCTCGCAAGATCCTAAAAATGGAATCCGTATCTAGCCACCCAGTGGCGTAACAAGCAGGATAATGTCAGCAGCTAACGGCTAACGCTATCTCAGTCAAAGCGGTAGCAGACTTAGCATTTCAGCTAAGCTAGTTATAACTTACCGCGGCGTTAGTTATATTCTTCTTTTCCCAGTGTCGGACTTCTCAACATCTTCGGTATTTTGTAGCCTCGTTGATTTACGATGCATGGACAATGCACTGCTAAATACACTTTAATTCTTTACAACTTGGAATAATTTGAACGTGTTTTTGGCGCAGTGCGCTCGCACCTTTCGCGAGCCCAGATAGCAATTAGCAGTTAGCTGTGTGTATATTTTAAAATGTCTCCATCAGCCGTACGTCTCTCACAAAGCTACATGCACCACTTCCGGTATTTTCCCAATGGTCGAGCGCCCCTATGGGTGGGATGTTAATTCTACAGGAAGGGGAAACTACCTCAGGAGAGGACTGGCATGGACAGCAGGGGGACAGAGCAGCTACATGTTGTGGCCCTGGGGCACAAGGGACAAGTTTGACTCTCCTTAGGTTTTGGCAAAACACACAACAACTTCTTGGTTAGGTTCAAGAAAAGACCATTGTTTGTATTAAGATGAACCTTCTCTGGCAGAAAGCCACACAGGTAATGTCTCTCTCACCATGTCCCTGGGTCCATGCAGAGGTCCCCCACATTACTGTAATAAATAAGTGAATGAGGGTTTGCTGACCATACATTTACTCAAGCACAGTATTTAACTACATATACTTCTGCTCCACTATATTTCAGGGGTAAATATCATACTCTTAAATCCACTGAGAATAATCAAGATATTAATATAACAAATCCCTTGTTAGATCTTGATCATCCTGATATCACACATTGTTTTTAGAAACGTGTTTCTACCATAAACCATAATCTATATTTTTGGTGCAACTTTAATTAAACATCATGCAAACGCATCTTAAACGACTGTGAAATAATATATTGTTTCTCGTAAAATGTTCAGAAGTAAAACAAAATATTTAAAACATGGACAGCAAGGTCTTAAACAAATATTTCTGATGATATAATTATAGCAATAAGTAAACACACAACTATTTATAAATATATCTTATTGAATTTAATTAATAGTTCAATTATTTGACTGTCTGCCTAATATTCAAATGTCTTAATGTTTCATTTAATGTTTCATTATTCAATACCTCATCAATATAATATACATTGAACTATTTATCGCTTATGTATATACTTGTTTTTAATTCAATGTCTTGAAGAAAAAATACAAGAAAGAGAAAAGGAACAAAAGAATACGGTAGTTTTATTTTGAATTACTTCCGGGTCACTGTGACCTTTCTACACGTCGATCGCCGTGTCCGCCATCCTTCTCTGTCCGCTCCGGGAGCAGGATCGACCCCACAGGACACGAACATGCTGTCAGTACGCGTCGCAGCGGCTCTTGCCCGCAGTCTGCCTCGACGGGCTGGATTTGTAAGCAACACTTAACTTATTTTATGTTCACCTTTGTGTCGACTTCCTTCAGAAAATCCCGTTTTTTTGGGTCAAATTCTAAAGAAATCAGTGGCGGTGTTGTGTGTATGCACACGTCTTTGCACCGGAGGGCAGCGGGCACTTCGCTGTTAACTTTTGTAGCTGACAGACGGCAAAAAACAAGATAGTACGGAACATTATTAACAGTGACTAGACTATCAAATAGACCTGTGAGCTATGTGTTAATGCATTATCAATGGACATGACTAAGCTAAAGCGCAGTAATCACGAATGTAATTTAGTATTGAAGGTCAGTTTTCATGCTAGCTTTCATTGCAAGTGCATTTGCCGGGCTAAGCTTTGCGTATGCGTTTATGTATATGTTGTGATACTACGTTGGACATTGTAATGTTCTGGAGGACTTGTCCTGTGACCCTGCAGACTGCGTGACCTGTGGCCCAACTCAATGTTGTAGAGATATACGAAACAAAACATTTGAGTCACAGCCAAGCTTATCTGTTTCTCTGAAAAACAGAAGAACACTGACTGCTGTTCTGAAGGGAAATCTTTAATGACTCTTCCAACAATCTAAGTTGCAGCTCTGTCTCCTATCAAGATTGTCAGCCATTATGTATGATTATTCTAGAGATGAAAATATGAAATAATATAAGTAGCATCAATACAGACAAATATCTGACAATAATACTTAACATGCAAACATTTTTAGTTATTGTTGTGTTAATAAAGCATTATTTAACTTTCTATTTTTGTTTGAATTTCATTGTGCAACAAACAAAAGCTTTGTCCATCCAGATTGTTAGAGGTTTGAGGATTTTGGAAATTTGTTGAGTACTGAGTGATAGACTGGTAATACTTGAGAGGCCCAAACTGTGGCTATAATTGGCTTAGCTTTCCTAGCACTAGCAAAGTCAATTAGTAATCTTAATTTAGTTTTATTTTCTCCTTATTGCTGTTTTGATATTTTTTCACATTGTGAATGTTGTGAGACACAACAAGGTCTGTGGATTCTGGAGATGATGAATAATCGAGTCATGATGTCTGGAAAGTGCTCTGAGCGCCACAGGCAGAGTGCACTCACTCTGATATTTAGAATGAGTCTATCCTCTGTGGACAGAATGTTGGAAACACCGCTCGTTAATAATGCAATTAAGTTCAACAGCAAAACTCACAACGACCTTAAAGTTGAATCAACAGCTCAAAACCTGAACATTTAAAAGCTTCTTGAAAGGAAGACTTATTGCCAGGCTGTTGCATTTGATTGCTTAATGAAATTAAAAATGCTAGACTTATTCGGTCAGTATAAAATGAATTTCTGTACTTGTTCCCATTGTCTTTAAAGGTATCCAAGAACGTTGCTGCAGCATGTGTAGGAGTCAAGAATCTACACACCACCCATCCAGGGTTTCAGAAAATGGGTCAGTGTTTCTGGAAACCCGTATTGGCCGAGTACTTAAGAAAGTGAATGAATTGTTACAGTTGTCCACAGTTGTTAATCAGCCGTGCCTTTACAAACATTACAGGCACAGCCGAGGTGTCGTCCATTCTGGAGGAGAAGATCCTCGGAGTTGACCACAGCGCTGAATTGCAGGAGACTGGTCGCGTGCTGTCCATCGGTGATGGTATCGCCAGAGTGTACGGCCTGAGGAACGTGCAGGCTGAGGAGATGGTGGAGTTCTCCTCCGGCCTGAAGGTAAGACCGATGATGTAACCTTGTAGACCGCCGACTTTTTCACGGAGTGTGTTGAGGATTTCATTTGCTTAACCAGGGGAGGCAATTGGTAAACAGCAATGCTCTCTACATAGCCACAGGGAGAACCCATGTGTAAATACACTGTATCAAAGACTAGAAAAAAGGAGTCTGCCCATTTTCGTAACTTGTTTTGTTTTTCTTCTCTTATCCAGGGCATGTCTTTGAACTTGGAGGCCGACAATGTTGGTGTTGTGGTGTTTGGTAACGACAAGCTGATCAAGGAAGGCGACGTTGTCAAGAGAACAGGTGCCATTGTGGATGTGCCCGTTGGTGTAGAGCTCCTGGGCCGTGTCGTCGATGCTCTGGGAAATGCTATTGATGGAAAGGTCAATGATGATAATAATACTCTGTATTTTTATAGCACAATGAATGCATAAGATGCATCACAGAGTGCTTTATATAAAAGCAAGTAATCATGTTATTTAGTTGACTCCTTTTTGTTCCACTATGTTCCCTCACAGGGCCCCCTCGGCTCCAACATCCGCAGACGTGTGGGTCTGAAGGCCCCGGGTATCATCCCCCGCATCTCTGTGAGGGAGCCGATGCAGACTGGCATCAAAGCTGTGGACAGTTTGGTCCCCATCGGCCGTGGTCAGCGTGAGCTCATCATTGGCGACAGGCAGACTGGGTAAGAGGATTCTGCTCAAAGGGAATACTTGAACACACGGCAGCATTTGATGTTATTCCCGGTGCTGTTGAAATGCAACCACAGCAGTGGAAGTGCTAATGCTGATAAGGGGTTGTCAAATACTGAGCAGTGCAATATATCATGTTAAACTAAAACCAGATCATGGCTGCTTTAAATTCCGAATATTAACACATGACATTCGCACATGATGGATCTGTTTTTCGGTGTATCCAGGGTGCTCAGTATTTAAAATTTGTGTTGCAGCAAAACCGCAATTGCCGTCGACACAATCATCAACCAGAGGCGCTTCAACGAAGGGACCGACGAGAAGAAGAAGCTGTACTGCATCTACGTCGCTATCGGCCAGAAGAGGTCCACAGTGGCTCAGCTTGTGAAGAGGCTGACCGACGCGGACGCGATGAAGTACACCATCGTGGTGTCTGCTACCGCATCTGATGCCGCTCCGCTGCAGTACCTGGCTCCCTACTCCGGCTGCTCCATGGGAGAGTACTTCAGAGACAACGGCAAGCACGCCCTCATCATCTATGACGATCTGTCCAAGCAGGTGAGTTTTGTTTAGTCGAATTGTTAGAACACAGTGAAAGTGAATAAATTGAACAAACTAGTTTGCAGATCAATATCGACCTTGCATGTTTCCTTTCTGCAGGCCGTCGCCTACCGTCAGATGTCCCTGCTTCTCCGTCGCCCCCCTGGTCGTGAGGCTTACCCAGGAGACGTCTTCTACTTGCATTCCCGTCTGCTGGAGAGAGCCGCCAAGATGAACGACAACTTTGGCGGCGGCTCCCTTACAGCCCTCCCCGTTATCGAGACCCAGGCCGGTGACGTGTCGGCCTACATTCCAACTAATGTCATCTCCATCACAGACGGACAGGTGAGTGCGTGACACGTCGACTCGCCCCCAAGTGAAATCCTGAACCCGGTTATTAAATGCTGTTTTCCCCACTCAGATCTTCTTGGAGACTGAGCTGTTCTACAAAGGTATCCGTCCAGCCATCAACGTCGGCCTGTCTGTGTCACGTGTTGGATCGGCTGCCCAGACCAAGGCCATGAAGCAGGTTAGCCTTTTCTTTGTAATCGCCCATCTCGCAGCTTTTTACCACAATCCATGTCATTGATTGTGATTTATTGATTTCTGTCCCATCACCAGGTGGCCGGTACCATGAAGCTAGAGCTGGCCCAGTACCGTGAGGTGGCTGCCTTCGCTCAGTTTGGTTCTGATCTGGACGCTGCCACTCAGCAGCTGCTGAGTCGTGGTGTTCGTCTTACCGAGCTCCTTAAACAGGGACAGTACTGTGAGTATTTACATTTGGTATTCAATTTCCCTTAAAAGGCATCTTTCATTCTACAGTTGTCTTATGTTTTGAGACTGTATGCGTTTATGTTTCAGGCCCAATGGCCATTGAGGAACAGGTAACGGTCATTTATGCTGGTGTGAGGGGACACCTGGACAAAATGGACCCGAGCAAGATCACCAAGTTCGAGAAGGGCTTCCTGCAGCACGTACTGAGCCAGCACCAAGACCTGCTGACAGCTATTAGGTGAGTGAAGGAGCTTCTGGGCATTTCAAATTTTACATTGTAGTTTATGTTCAATGCATTTTGTAACCAATCTGTACTTGATTGCAGGACTGAGGGCCAAATCTCTGAGGCATCCGATGCGAAACTCAAGCAAATTGTGTTGACTTTCCTCTCCACCTTCGAGTAAAGTGCTGCTTTTTGTTCTGGTGGTTTTCATGTTCGCTGTAGTGCAACAGTCAGTTATACTTTCTATGAATTAAAAAGAAGTGGCACTTGATCTTTAATGTACAGATATCTCGTTCAGAGAATAAAGTATTCCATTTAGTTGACTTGATCGCCTCTTTTTGTGTTTTCGGAACAAATGCTGATATAGTGCACAGCTACACCTGTAAACTATTTGTTTCTTAATATCCTGCCTCTCATTTGTGAGCATAACAATTAAGAAACAGTTTGCTGCGGTCTCTTTTGACGAAAGCAATTCAGATCATCAATCCTCCCCCTAAAAAAACAATTACTCTGAAAACGGCAAATGGGACTTTCATTTGAAAAGACAAGGTCACTGGCTGACGGTGAGCAATATGATTTTGAGATATATATATTATATACAATATATACAGTGGGGCAAAAAAGTATTTAGTCAGCCACCAATTGTGCAAGTTCTCCCACTTAAAAAGATAAGGCCTGTAATTTTCATCATAGGTACACTTCAACTATGAGAGACAAAATGAGAAAAAAATTTTTAGTCTGATTTTTAAAGAATTTATTTGCAAATTATGGTGGAAAATAAATATTTGGTCAATAATAAAAGTTCATCTCAATACTTTGTTATATACCCTTTGTTGGCAATGACAGAGGTCAAACGTTTTCTGTAAGTCTTCACAAGCTTTTCACACACTGTTGCTGGTATTTTGGCCCATTCCTCCATGCAGATCTCCTCTAGAGCAGTGATGTTTTGGGGCTGTCGCTGGGCAACACGGACTTTCAACTCCCTCCACAGATTTTCTATGGGGTTGAGATCTGGAGACTGGCTAGGCCACTCCAGGACCTTGAAATGCTTCTTACGAAGACACTCGTTCGTTGCCCGGGCGGTGTGTTTGGGATCATTGTCATACTGAAAGACCCAGCCACGTTTCATCTTCAATGCCCTTGCTGATGGAAGGAGGTTTCCACTCAAAATCTCACGATACATGGCCCCATTCATTCTTTCCTTTACACGGATCAGTCGTCCTGGTCCCCTTGCAGAAAAACAGCCCCAAAGCATGATGTTTCCACCCCCATGCTTCACAGTAGGTATGTTCTTTGGATGCAACTCGGCATTCTTTCTCCTCCAAACACAACGAGTTGAGTTTTTACCAAAAACTTCTATTTTGGTTTCATCTGACCATATGACATTCTCCCAGTCCTCTTCTGGATCATCCAAATGCTCTCTAGCAAACTTCAGACGGGCCTGGACATGTACTGGCTTAAGCAGGGGGACACGTCTGGCACTGCAGGATTTGAGTCCCTGGCGGCGTAGTGTGTTACTGATGGTAGCCTTTGTTACTTTGGTCCCAGCTCTCTGCAGGTCATTCACTAGGTCCCCCCTGTGTGGTTCTGGGATTTTTGTTCACCGTTCTTGTGATCATATTGACCCCACGGGGTGAGATCTTGCGTGGAGCCCCAGATGGAGGGAGACTATCAGTGGTCTTGTATGTCTTCCATTTTCTAATAATTGCTCCCACAGTTGATTTCTTCACACCAAGCTGCTTACCTATTGCAGATTCAGTCTTCGCAGCCTGGTGCAGGTCTACAATTTTGTTTCTGGTGTCCTTTGACAGCTCTTTGGTCTTGGCCATAGTGGAGTTTGGAGTGTGACTGTTTGAGGTTGTGGACAGGTGTCTTTTATACTGATAACGAGTTCAAACAGGTGCCATTAATACAGGTACCGAGTGGAGGACAGAGGAGCCTCTTAAAGAAGAAGTTACAGGTCTGAGAGCCAGAAATCTTGCTTGGTTGTAGGTGACCAAATACTTATTTTACCGAGGAATTTACCAATTAATTCATCAAAAATCCTACAATGTGATTTCTTGGATTCTTTCCCCCCATTCTGTCTCTCATAGTTGAAGTGTACCTATGATGAAAATTACAGGCATCTCTCATCTTTTTAAGTGGGAGAACTTGCACAATTGGTGGCTGACTAAATACTTTTTTGCCCCACTGTGTATATATAAAAATATCTATCTATATCTCTATCTATCTATCTCTATCTATCTATATATATATATCTATATATATCTATATCTCTATATCTATATCTGTCCATCTGTCTATATCTATATCTGTCTATATCTATATATCTATATACTATATATCTCTATCTATATAGATATCTATATCGATCGATCGGGACTAATAAGGGATTTAAAATAAAAAATTATAAAATCTTCACAACTTGTTTTTAAATGCAGTTTGAAAGTCTGCACAGCTCAAAGGTTGTGACTTTATATCTTAATATTTCAGAAATGAGAGGCTCATGATTTACACAATTGAATGAAAAGGATGGCATGGCCACGGTACTTCATGAATGCAGGAATGACACGCCTTTGTGTCATACTTGGCTAACCTGGGGCAGCCAATCTTACAACCAGAAATTCAACGGAAAGTTAAAAAAAAAAAAAAACGTACTCACCCTTTTTAAATGCTCTGAATTGTCTTGCAGCCCCTTTCTCAATATTCTCTGGAGGTTGAAGCTGCTTTTATGGTTCAAAAGTCTTCCAAGTTCCACTTTGAGTTGTAATGGTCAACAAATCAAAGGATCTGATGTGACTTTTGTTAATGACTGGGTCAAGGCATCCTGGTGCTCACCTTTTCTCATTTGTATTTAAGGTATCAGGTTCTCTTAATACACCAGTGTAGTATAACCCAACAGTAAAGGCACAGTGTTATCAGTTATCGACTTGCATCAGTCGAGGGGGTTAACATGTAATGCTCGGGGCAAAATCCCAAAACTACAGTGCCCTCTGCTGGTGAGGAGTGACACATTTCTAAATCACAAAAATCCTATTAAGATGTATTAACTTAAATGTTTGATGGTACAGGTAGTTTTAAATGGTAATATTGCTTTTTTCATTTCTGTAATTTGCATTGACATTGAGTTCCTGATGACTTGCATTGTGTGATAATGGTTTAATTGAAAAGATAATCAAGAAGCACTTACTTCTAAATTAGTCTTTATTACACAGAGTAAATGAAAACATTTAAATCAATAGAAGTGAGTATAAATAATGTGAATGGTTCGTGAAATTCAGAACCGACAGAACAGCCGTGTTAATAAGATGGTGACTAATTTAGATAAACTTAAGTGACCAAGTGCATATTTCACAATAACACAAGTGAAGGTGCCCAGTAAATATTTCACAAGTTGAACAAATTCAGTGGCGGAGTGCATTCTTATCAGCAAATGTGTCAATTTAATGTGTCAATTTCAAAATAGTGATTATAAGTGAGACAAAATAAATGAAAGACTAAAGCACACGTTATTTAAATATAAATAAATAAGTCATTAAAAATAAATTAACATTAAAAGATCACACTTGACAGCTGGAACATTTTACACCCAGTACTGTTTGGTGTGCACTGCGGGTCTGTGGTGTTTATGTTTGGGTAGATTATTCTGTTTGACATAGCAAGGGTCATAATAATCCCACTCCAGGGCTGAGGCCAGGACACCGTTGGACAGACCGTCACTATCTGCTGACAGAATCCGCAGGGAGACGCCTGAGAAGAAACCATGCGAGTATATCAGAACTTTTGCATAAATTGAATAATACCTAAATATACTACCCTAGTTATTTAGCATTCATCCAAGCAAGACAACAAAGTTTCTTTTTCGTCATACTGTTCCCTCGGTCTACTTGTTTTTGGTGCAGCATTAGCTTTAATGGCAGTCGTGTTGGCTACAGTGCAGCTAAGGGAGAATGAAGTTTACCTGCACTTGCACCAAAGTCGCTGTCCAGTCCAGGACCCACTGCAGATGTGTTCAGGTAGGAGGCCTCTGAAGGCGGGTCGGTGAACTCGCACTCCATGCCCACTTTGTCAAACATAACGCCTGGGTTCACATCTGTCAGCATCTGGAATGTACTGCTCCGACGAAGATGGCCCACATGTTCCGTCTCCTCCTGCGGACAAAGAAAAATATATAGACCTGACACTTTGAAGTTTGTGCTTCATGCTGGAGGTTGGATCTTGGGTGGACATTCATTTTTGTTACTCTAAAGTAATGAACTGACAGTTTTTGGTCTTCACTTCTGTGTATGTCAATTGGTTTGTGGTAATTTTATAAACTCTCTTTGTTTGGTTGTATGGATAATATGCAGCTCTAAAGCAAATATCAACTAATAAGGGCCTAAAGGTGGCTCCTGCTTTATTAGGTGATCTAGTTGACCTTTACGGTTTCTCCTCCTGTTTGATCAAATTAAAAACAGGAAAACCAGGGCCAGATATTATTCCAGGAGTAATGACCACATTGAACAGAAAGGACATGGGGCCAAGTAATCTAATCTGGCCATGCTTCAGTACAATTAGTAGAATTTGGCATCACTGGCCTAAAATCCAGAACATTGTCAAAATTAAACTTAGTTTTTTATGTTTTTGGCTATGTTTCCTGCAGATGTTCCTGAATGGATATCCACTAATTGGTCAATCTTCAATACTCATTAACACCTTCACAGTGGCCCTTGACTCATCAGGCCTCTTCCTGGTTATTTTAAAGTTATTAAAACCGAAAGTGTACCACTCACCGTGGGAGTGTTTGGCGGAACAAGGTTCAGTCTGGTTTCAGCCTCTGAACCACTGGACTGCGGTAAAACTGGCGCGCTTTTACACCACCCCGCTTTACCGGTGCTGTACATCCGTGGTCCGGAGGGCAGGTCGAGTCTCGGGGTGAAAACAGCAGCAGAGGAGGTGGCCCGGATGGTGCTCGGTGCCCTCATCGACCCCGAGCCGGTGGCGCCATCTGGCACCAGGAGCCGGATCCTGTGATCCCCTCCGGCCCTCTCCCTGGAGGAAGCCCTGGAAGAGGTGACGGGATGCGGCAAGACGGGCTCCGACAGAGACATGTAGGCTCTCCTCTGCAGCGAGGGGAAAGCCACATCCGACACTCTTCTGACTCTCTGCAGGGTGGACTGCAGAAGCATCTCCTCTGCGTCCTCTCGCTTGCGCCTGTGCTTCTTCTCCGACAGGTTCAGCAACTTGTAACCCAGGAACAGGCAGTTCAGCAGGAGCAGAATGACCACACAAGGTATGAGCAAAAGAACCACTAAAGTCAGGTTTGTCACAGGGTAAACCTCCGTCCCGTTTGATTGTGTGGTCAGACTTATCTGCGACATTTCATCCCAGAGGACATGAAGGCGGAATTTTGTAGAATTGATGATCTCAACTGAGACCCACGTTGCCTCTGAACGCACAGGTGGTTTGGTGTGTCAATCAATGTGGATTACTTTGCGTTTGAAAGTATTTCGTTTATGTTTTATCTAACAGCAACATTAAAGTCCGCTTCTCAAATGCACAAAGTCTCCAAACGGGACTGGTGTCTTTCACCCCTCTTGTCTTCATCATTGTAGACCAACACTGTCAGTGTTAACAAAGCAAAGGCTCAATCTGAGGCGACCATGCAACGCGCGCTCAGTTGGCAGCCACATAAATTACAGATCAACAGGTGTGTCCTATTATGTGCTGGACGTGATCACCGCTAGATGGCAGCAGGTGACCAGACTCCTGCAACGCTGCATCTAAAGTTCTGCAGTGTGGTATACCTGTGTGTGAGTGTGTGTGTGTATGTATGTGTATATATATGTATGTATGTGTATATATATATATATAGTCCATAAAATAAAGCATATATATGCTTTATTTTATGGACTTCAGTGTCTGATAGTTAGTTGGTCTTGTGTAGTCCACTTAAACACACGTTTTTCCCAAAGAACAGCGGAGAACAGAAGTCAAATTGTGTTTTTTTCTTTATTTTTCATGCTTTCCAAACATGTCTATGTCAGGTAATGATACATCAACTGCTGGCTTGTCGCAGAATATATATATATATATATATATACACAAACATTTCAAATAATTCAATAGAACATTTGACAGATGAATCTCTTAGAGACAACATTTTTTTTGCATTTTGTACACAAAGTAGATCCTTGTACACAAGTATATTTTGCTATTGTAATAAATCAATGCAAAAGATCAGTCATATGAGCACCATATAACCATAGTAAAGTATTTTTTTTGTTTCTACCACTCATGTTTAAAGAAGTCTATACAGACTTGAATAGCACACACACTGATATTCTGCTATAGGTCTGCAGGTATAACAGTGCAGCTAACCTTTTCATTCAAGAGCAAGGCTGTTGAGTCAATGGACGCCCTCAGATACCAAAGACCCCATTCGTCAGATCTAAACTCACTGCTCCTGTGGCATCGTAGTTGTTGTGTGTCTTGCCTGCAGAAAGTCGTCTCCTCGCTGAACGACAACTCACTTAAGCGCCGCTTGCCATTTCCAAACACAATAAGAGGTTGTGAGTGGTTGTGATACTATAGCACCTCGAGCAAGGCCGTGTTTGTGAATTGATAAGAGCAACAACACACACACATGGTGATGCTGTGTCAATCAGGTCACTGAATTAAAGCAGATTGGCACTAGCACTGGGCCAGGCTGTGCTTGATGATCTCGCGAGACTGCGGTGGGATCCTGTCGGGGAAGAGCACCTGGAACTCCACCACCAGGTCACCTCGCTGAGACGGGCTCTTGGGCAGGGGCAGACCCTCGCCCCGAAGCCGCCGGACGGCACCTGGTTTGATGACATCGCTGCATGGTAAAGGCATCATCCGGTTGTCAAGTGTTGGAACGTTAACTGTGCAGCCGCAGAGAGCCTGGAGAGAAACAAAAAGGAAGAAAAAAGTTAGTTTTGTAAACCTGGTATATATTTAGAACAAGTTTCATAATGCTTCCTTACTGGCCTCGAATGAAGCACACTTTGAACAAAAATCAATTAAATGCCTGATCTATAAAAGTGTCAAGTTACATAACGGATAAATATGGAGCGTCTTTCTAAAAGCTTGACGATTTTCTTGTGTTATGCAACAAATCGGTGCCACAGATGAGATAAACGCTGGCCCTATTTGCAGCTTCTGTGTGGGAGTTAAGTGCTTCGGTGACTGAAGGGAGCCATGGGAAGATGGAGGGAGCTCTTTGAAATGCCACTCACTGTGACTGCTATACCCTGCTAATCTGTGTGTGGGTTGGTAGAAGTGAGAGCCAGAGACTGGGCGAGCCAAAAAAAGCTGCCTCTCTGCCTGCCTTGTAGAGGCCGCGGAGTCTGCAGCACACATAGTGGCTGAGAGGGAGAGTGAAGTGTGATTCGTGGGGGCGGTCAACACCGAGGCTAAATTTAGCTCCTGCTCCCTCTCACTCTGCAGGGGCCAGTGAGGTAATGAAGGCAGGCTGCTGCTGTTCTGTTAGCAGGGGTCTGTCAGCCCATTGTAAGCTGGGGGGCCCAGATGCCTGAAACAGAACACCGTGTTCTGTCCTCCGACTCTAATCAAAAGATATCACCCTCTCTGAATTTGGCAGGGATCAAACCTTCTGGCTTAAGTCACATTGAGGCCTCTCGGTAATCGATTTCCTCTGGTATTTCAGCGAACGCATCATTCTGCAGTTATGTAAAGGATAAGAAGTGGTGGACGGATGTTCGCCTTTCTTTGAGTAGGTGTAGGTGGTTGGCAGTGACATAGTATATCTACTAATAGGCCCGTCATGTCTTTCATAATAAATCAAGAGTAATGGCCTTTTTTAGGAGTCAAACTCTAGACCTTTAAGCCTGACACAAATGCACCAAACTCACCTCCTTGAGGGTGATCTTGGCCATAAAGACGATGTTGGAGCCGTCTCTCTTGTACTGCGTGTGCTCCTTGTCCCTGAGAATGAAGGTGATGTCGGCAGGGGTGGTGTTGGGCGTCTCGTCTCCCTCCCTGGGGAAGGTGATCTTGGTCCCCGCTTTCCAGCCTTTTTTCACCACCACGTTCAGCACCTTTTCCTCCGAGCGCAGGCTGCGTCCGTCGGGGTTGAGGCGGCTGCGGGTGATCTTCACATGCTTGGTGCAGCCCTGCATCACCTCGTCCAGGGTCACCAGCAGATCGTGCACCACCTCATCGCCCTGCAGCCGCCGCTGGCCCCTTGGCAGGCCGCCGTCGCTGCCAGAGAACCCGCCCACGTGGCTGAAGGGGAACTGTCTGAAGGGGTTGAAGAGGTCCTCTTCAACCCCTTCGCCGTCCTTGTCGTTGCCAAAGAAGATGTCGAAGTGGTCGGAGCCGTGGAAGAAGGAGGAGAAGGTGGCGTGAGGATCGGTGTGGCAGTTATTGCGGAAAGCGTTGCCTTGGCCCGCCGTTGACATTCCATTTTTAAGACCTAAAAAACACAGAGAAAAGAGAAAGAGTTCATTTCAATCTGCAGCTTGACATGGCACTTAATTTCTATTATAATGTTGGTGCTTCTTCAATACAAATTCTGCATCTCCCTCTAGAAGGTTTACTAATCATCAGCTATTAGAAAAACTATTAAATTGCTGAATAATTTATCAGCTGCACATATTGAGCCGGTTTATTAGGGGTGGAAGTGGTTCAGTCCTCCCACTGCAGATCAGTATTTAGCCCTAATGAAGGCATGCATAGTTAATGCACCAGCCTATCCTACAGTAATTAGCCAGATGTCAGTTGCTATTTGAGCTATATTAAATCAAATCTCACTCTCACCTTCTTCTCCAAACTGGTCATAGATGCTTCTCTTCTTGGGGTCAGTCAGGATCTCGTAGGCCTCGGCGATCTCTTTGAACTTGTCCTCAGCATCCGCATCGCTGTTCTTGTCTGGGTGGAACTTGAGAGCCATCTTCCTGTAGGCCTTCTTGATCTCATCTTCATTGGATTCCGGGATGACACCCAGGACTTTGTAGAAGTCCTTGCCTGTGGGCTTGATGGCCAGGCAGGGCGTGTCCTGCTCAGACTTGGTGCTTTCCTGTTAAACACAAGAGCAATGAGGGTTTAGAACATTTATTTGTCAGAACTCCACTCATTTTGCATATGAATTTGAAATCTCATAATGACTATGGTGCATGCTGCAAAAAGGCTGAGGATGAATAACTACTACATTTCTATTTTCATCATCTAGAATACAAACAGGAGGGTTCATGTATTGGACTTCCTCCACATCAACTGCTGCACAGTATTAATATGCAGAGAAATGATCCCCCGGCATATAAACACTCTCTGGGAAAACACCCTTATCTCCGTGCTGCTGTGCAACTGCATATATCCATGAATGTTATAGGCTGGTGCACAACACAACGTGAGAGGGAAAAGATTTCCCCCAATTACCGAGATTCTCTGCAGCGATTGGCTGAATGGGAATCGCGACTCCACAGCAACAGAAATAAGTCAATGATGATCAAATACAAGAGAGAGATGCATCTACATGATGTTTTACAGCGGATTGACTAATATAATATACCTTGTAAAACATTTAAGAATTCGTTTTTTTAAATAGTGATTTAAAATACAGTCAAAACAGTTAAATGATCTCAAAAATGTACTTACCGCTGATGATGATGAGCCTGAGCTGTCACCTCTGTGCATAACTCGCACTTTGCACTTGACGTTGACATTTTTGTGCTTAACCCCGAACTGAGTCCAGATGAGAACCATGATGGCTGGTAGAAGTGGTTTGTTTGAGCTACGTGTCGCTGTCCTGGTGCTGAAATCGCTCCTGTTTGTCGGGCTACGTTTCGTCCTGTCTTGAGCTCTCCCCGGCTCTCTCTTAAATACCACCGCGGCAGCTCCGTTACTATACACTCACCCGCCCACGGAGCGTGACCGAGCTTTCCCCGGATCCGCCTATTTCCTACCGCGCGGCAGGGGATGCCGGTGTCCTCAGATTACTCGGTGGAAAGCCATTGGTGCTCCGGCGATGATCGCGCGGATGTTGCAGCCTCCCGCTCCTTCTTGAGGCTTGTTTCCGGAGTTCTTGAAGGCAGAGCCGAGCAGACAGTCACGACACGGAGTGTTTTTCTTTTTTTTGTTCAGTCTGTTCTTTCCACAGACTGAACAGAACAACCAGACATGCAGTTAAAAGATCCAGCTGTCTGTCCAGACAGCTGGACTCAAATGACTTTTCATGAGCCCACGCGTTTTAAATGTTAAGGCTATGTAACTTTGCTGTGGATGAAATATTAGTGGGATATTCAACTATTTTCTCCAATCGTGTGAAGGAGTAGGCAACTGCACACGATCAGTTAGGGCTTAAGTGTGACACAATAACCTACAGTTTAATGCAATTCAATGAAATAGCACCAGCAAAGGGAAGACATATTCAGATCTTTTAGGAAATACATTCACGTAAAAAATACCCAATTAGATAAAAGTCCTGCATTCAAAAAGCGCAGAAGTATTATCAACAAAATGTACTTAAAGTATCAAAATGAACATGTAGTGGAATAGAAGTATATAGAAACAAAAAAATGAAGTACTCAAGTTAGTACAAGTACCCAAACTTTGTATGTAAGCACTTCATTTAAGTAAATGTTCTTAGTTACTTTCCACCACTGAATAGCACAGCAAAGGACAAGACCTTGATGCATTTAAACATCTTTTTTGAGACCTCTTCTTTGTTGGGGTGTTGTATTGGATTGCATTGTATTTCCACCTCTAGATGTCAATAAGAGGTAGGGGAGGAAGAACATGTTCGCTCTATAATTAAGCAGAATTCAAAGTGTAGAAAATTACAACCTTGAAAGTTTACACTGACTGACACTAATTGTTTCCAGGTGTATTTCCTGAAGCTGAAAATTAACTTGGAGCCAATCTGTTCTGTTAATTGTGTTTCACTGAAAAGGTCAAAAAGCTTTACAGCGGCTGTATTTATTTAATGGTTCTTGTATCCATTCGATTGTGCAGCTGTGCATGTAAATACTTCCACCCACGTAGTTCTGCATAGCAATTATGTATAGTGCCACAGAAAATACATGCAAACCAATGCAAATTAGCCATTTAATAGCCAACAACTGTGGAGGGAGGGGGCAGCTGCAAGTTATGTAATTGAAATGTGTTAGACCTTGTGTTTTTTGGTGAGTGTTCACATATCTTGCTCCTGTGAAAATTCAAGATATCACCTCAAAATCTTGTTGACTGACGGAAGGATGCTGATTGCCTTGCCAGAAACAATCATGAACATTTTTTTAGAGTCCAATGAGTAATAATAATAATAATAATAATAATAAGTGGTTATATAAATATTATTGGGGTTGGGAGACAGGTTTAACCTCATATTTGAGTTTTAAAAGCCAGATCTTTCCCTCAAATGACTTATCTCAGTTTTTAAGTTCAATATGTTAATGGTACAGTATGTTTTACACAGTCCACATTTCACATTTGGGGTGGAATTAGCAATAGCCAAAAACTTAGCAAATGTGCTTCCTGTTAGCAGAGATTTTAAGCTGCTCTGTATCGTTTAACTAACGGCTAACAAATGAACGGTGTCAATGAATAAGTAAACAGGGCCTCATCCATTAGTAGAACAGGTTGGGTTACTATATTCCAAAATAGCTCTATATAGGATACAGTTGGGTAGTGAAAAGAAACGATACTGTATATAGATAATGTTTATTGTCTGTTAATAATAAAGATTGTTCTACTCCCAGTTGTTCAGTAAGATAGTTGTCCTCAAACGCTACTTTTATGAGTTTTGCAGTAAAACTCACAAGACAAATCAATTAAATAGAATATACATTTGGGGCAAGAAAAAAAGGACCTAAACACCATAACCTGCTCACCCCCAAAACAATCAGAACCCCCACCTTTAAGTAAAATAAAAATAAATAACCCCTCCCCCTTTCTGACTCCCTCTCCCCCCTAATAACTTCTGTACAGTCCCTAACAGAGAAGATACTTTGTGATACACGTGATGTTGACTTACAAATCATCACTACATGAAGGAAACTCTTTTTGACGAAATACAGCAAGTCATCTGCTTGAATTCCGCGTTTACTGTCATTGAGCAGGAGTCAGTGTTTCTATTTAGAGAGCATACTACAAGATTACGACACAGAGTCGACTCTGCAGCCGGCAGTGTAGCCATGGATATGGAAATCAGTGTCACAGGGAGCGTACATACATACATGGCAATGCTTCCTCCGCTGTGATGCTTTATACATCCAATGGGGGGTTGGAGTTTCTGGGGATTCTCCTTTCGTCTTACAGGAAACGGTAGACAAATTTGGGTTGAACATGTTGAGCCAGGAGCGTCACGCACCAGCTAGCAGCTCTTACATACTATTCACAGATTGAGAGCGCTAGAGTGAATCACAGCAGCCTCTCTCACAGCGTTCATTCTTTCCTGCCCACGGGAACAGTCTGATTGTGTGTTTGGGCTGTTTTTCACACTGTCTCTCTCACAGAAACACTTACACAGTTGCCTGTCAGTCTCAGAGACAAATAACGCCAATTAAAGTGCCAAGATGTTCCGACACAGTTATTGATAGGCGGCGAGAAGGTGGACAGCTTCCATGCAGCTTAGTTGTTCTTGAGGTGTTGTTTGGTCTTCTCACATACTAAGTAGTAGATGCACTATCTCTGTGCAGCTGACATAATCTGTGGTTATGCAAATATTCAAATCGAGATCAAACACAGTTGATAATCCAGTCACACGGTTGCAAACATTGATGCTATGTATATAGAGTGTAAGGAGTCAAATAACTGGATTGCACAACTCTATTTTGGCTCAGGGGACCAGCCATTTCTGTGGGCGGGCCTGTTTTGGCTTTTTCCCCATATTGATGTGCATGTGACTGACATGATAGCTACATTTAATGTAGGCTAATGTCTTTATTCAATCAAGAATAGGATGGCTATTTCTTTATTATATTGTATGCTGTATGCTCAGTTATATTAAAATAATTCTGCTGACTTTGAATAAAATACTATAATATTTGTTGTAACTTGGATCATAACGTTTGTCTTTTTTGTGTTTTATTGCTGTTTAAATGTAGGCAATTGTAAGGCTTTTTAGAATGTATGTCAGGTAGTTATTCTGTATCACGGAAGCACTGCTCCTGCATCCTTGGGTCCATAGAGTAACAACACACATTTGAACCCATCGCTCCGAGCCACAGTTGGATCCCAAACCTTCAACCTTTGCAGGCTAAACAAAACAAGATAGCAACTCACACAAACATGTTAACCATTTTAGCATTATTCAACAGTAATGTCATCCAACTTGCAATGTGGTGCCATTGAATATATCAGTAAATAACTATCTTTTTTGTTTGTTTCTGTTATAGGCATAGTCCCACATTGGCACTACCGTTTAGTAACGGCACTTGTGAAAGCAACGGTTAAAATGTACTATGAATGGATCCCAAATGATTCTTCAGAACATCCCCGCACCATATTACCACCAGGCATACTTCCCCTTTTCTTGTTCCACTTATGCTGTTGTTATCTTCTTTCTGTTGATAATGAACCATATTGAAACTACAGTTATAAAACACTTTGGCCTAGTTTGTTATGTGAGACTTGCTATTCTTAACTGACAGACGCTTGAGCAGACACAAAACCGGTACAGAGACAAAGGAGTGTACGTGACTGTGTGTTGCGGCCTCAGCCCCGGCTCTCTCTTCTCTGTTATGTTCTGTAGGAGCAGTATGAGCTGCCTGCAGGGGACTGTGAAAGGTGAATCACACTGCTGTGAGCACACAGCGCTGGCACAGGGGAAGTGACACCAACCTCATCTCACACCAGCCCACTGCCAACACTTATCCTGTCCTTCAAAAGGTTGCTGGATGACGTGCAAAAGTCCACAGAAAAATCCTCCGACTAAGGTCACTCTTACCTACAGGCGGCAGAAAAATATACTGGAGGCGGTGAGGAAAGTTTCCCTCTGTAACGACTTTGGAATATTAAGTAGAAAACAGTTTGATTTGAGGAGGTATTGGGTTCAAATTCAGGGCAAAGAGAAATTAGACATTCAAGAAGAAAACAAATCTGTCATAACAAGTCATATTTTAACACCAGGCAAGAAAATAAGACGTTCTCATTTTCAAATTCTTCCCCTGCCATCGTCTCGCACCTTCTCCCCCGATGTACTGTGCCTCCCACACATGACTGGGAGTGTGACTGTCTCTTATGTGTCGCACCGGCTAGCTAGACGAAAGCCATGTGCCTTGGTGCACCAGATACCCAGACAGGCAGATGGCAATAAACACACCCAGAGATTTACTCATAAATGTAAACACAGAGCTCCATATATACGTTCTATCAGCTGACATCTTGGTTGCTTCTCTTCACAGAGATCGAAATCTTCCTGCTCGAGGAAAAGAGGAGAGAGGTTGTCCTCAATAGGAGAGATGAGGACACAGGGAGACAGATAACGGCAGAAGAGGGCCTTTGAGGACAGGGGAAGAAGAGTAAAAGCAAAAAAGGGTTTATTAAAACATGTCAAACCGAGGGAGAAGCACAGCAAGCATCCAAAAGAGAGACGATAAGAGAAAGGGATCGGACAGATTGGAGTACAGAAGGCAGTGATGGATTATGGCTGGCAGAGAATAGGGTGTTTTTGTTGGGGCAGCACTTTATCACATCTCCTCTACAGCTCTCTGTCTGCACTGATGAAATGCTCTGCTGTATTTTAAATCAACTCACAGCAACCACGGAACAACAGAGGTTCTACTCTCATCTAATCCACGACACATGATGCATATTCATTCCTTCTCTTCCTTTATTGATCATCAGCTGCATTCAATTTTTTTTGTATATGACACTTAAATGATGCACATGTACTCATGTTGGTGCATGTGTGTGTTTTACAAAAGTCTGTGTTGTTATTTCTTTAAGCCACGGTCTTGAATTAGTTTTGTGATATCGTTAACATTTAAATGGATTTAATTTGTAGAATTTTGTAGACAATAAATACCAGTTTTATTCATTCTACTCAGACTGATACCTCTTATGAAATGTAATTCTTTATGGTAAAATAATTTATAGCAAATACAGGAATAAATATTCAGTAATAATTATTAGTGAATAGTGTATAGTAGTAGGCTATATAAAGTATATAGTAATTTAAAGTATCGTACTGTAAACCACAATTATAATAGCACAGTTATACTGTAAAACCTCACAACAGTAAATATATTGTGAACATGTTATATTAAAAGAAATACAGGGATCTTTCCTTGCAAAGTGCCGCCCTCTGCTGTTAAAATAGCTGTACTGCATAAGAAAATGTTTGCCATTTAGAAAATATTTCTCACTGCAAGGCCAGCCATTTTATATAACAGACACAGTTATGTAAAAGAGGAAATATCAATACTGTATATTATATTATACTATATCATTCAGATAATTCACAAATATTCACACTCAGAGTTAGAGCATCTCCTCTAACAACCCAGGGATTCACTGCAGCTGCTGTCCAATGCTAACTGGACATTTGGTTCTCTGTTCTCCTTCAGCTCGGCCTCTTCTTGGCTGCTGCTCTCCTGACTGAGCTGAGCTGTCTCTGATGCCTTTAATTGTCTCCGGTAGCGCCGGTTTTCCTCGGGGTAGGAGACCACAGACAGAGGTAGTCTGCAGATGGCTGGGATCTCAGAGGAAATGAGGAGGAAGATGAGAGTCGACAGGCAGAAAGGCCACGTGCAGGCTGGTAATGCGAGCTGAAAGGGGATGTCACAGGAGAGGGGAGCATGACACATGATGTGAGAGATATTTGGGGGATCAGATTACTTTCGTGGAGTTTGACTTGGAAAGTTTCTTACTTACCACAGACATCAGTTTTGATATCGCTGCAGTCATGTATGTGCAGAAAAGTGCTGGAAAGAAACATATGTTTACAGTTTTAATGAAAAGCATTTTTTTAATTTTATTTGTCTGCAATCAAAGACCCACTGTTTTAAAAGTTACTAAGAATTCCAAGAAGCAAAGTGTGTGCAATCAGATGACATTCAAGGACACTTACCACAACATGGACATAAACATATTTGGTAATAACAGCCACCAGTACCAGCTTCCTTTGGCAGAGAATAGTGATCAGACTCTTCATCAATCTTACCACACATTAAAGCCAGTAGATGGGTTTACCATGTTATGACATAGAAGACCCCTCCGATGGCAATGCAGGATAGAGCGCTGTTATATCCCCACAGCCCAGAGTAAATGTCCTAGTGAGGGGCTGCAAGAGCAATTCCTGCACCACAGGAACATTGAGACAAGCTCAATGTTAACTATGGAATTCAATATTAAACAGCAAAGAACTGCACAAATGTCAGAGAAAAGTTAATTCGTCGGAAAAGCCACGGTGCCCTTTGAGGAGCCAAAGCAGCCGCTGTAGCCTGAGCAGACACATTGTGCATATTTTTCTTATGCAAATGTTTTGGAATCTTTTTACCAGACAACATGCCAGCAGCAGAGCCTCACATGGCATGAAAACAGATAGTTGGTGAGGAAAGCAGCAGGGCCAGAAGGATGAGACCTCCTGTCCAAGGACTGTCGCAGCCGTACACCTAGCCAACACCAACTGGCACTGACAGGAATAGCTGCAGAAGGAAAGCTTCCATTACTTACAGTTTAAAACAAGTTAAGACATCATAACATGTGTGCAATAAGGCCACTGTAATGGTTTATATTGTGTTGAGATTTCCAAAGAGCTACTGGACCAATAACATTCCTGTCATACTTGAGAGATATTGAGGCTTTCCATGGAGTCATTAGGAGGGTGCAGATGGTCATTTGGCTGGATATCCGCCTGAAGTTGCAGAAAAAGTAGGTCACATTTTCATTTCAAACTCAAGCACCGTGTATGTGCATCTTTGTTTGTAAGGCAGGGCAATCCCACCTAGATTGATTATGTTTACCTTTTTGAACGCTTGTACAGCTTAATTAGCTAGTGAATGGCTGATCAAATCTGGGAATGACTATTTCGACAGGCACAATCGTCTTTTTACTCCACAAAATGTCTGGGATTTCCAACGTTAGCTGACTCAGTCAGTTGTCATTTCAGCCTGGAATAGTCTCTGTCTGAGAGGCTGCTTTTGTTTATCTCAGTCTGAAATCAAGGACCCATTGTTTCAAAAGTTGATAAGAATTTCAAGTGGCAACGTGTGTAAAATTAAACGAATCAGAGGACATTCAAGAGGACACTTACCACAACAGGGACATGTACATATTTGGCAATAACAGCCACCAGTACCAGCTTCCTTTGGCGGAGAAAACTGCCATCAGTATGCCGATCAAGGTTCCATTGTAGCCATATAAACCCACTGATATGGTTTCCCTGTGGTGAATGTGACAGATGTGCAAAACACAGTTAAATGGGACACACGCTGTGAAAAAGAAAGTGTAGCCGCAGGGAATACAAGTGGAAGAGACAGCGATAATGGCTCAATTTCTGTATTTGATGGTAAAGTAAAATAAGGATAAGGAGATGCAGTCTAACCTGTTTTGTCCCAGCAAAATGGCAGACACAGTGGAGACAAAGGTAACAAGCAGACCATTCAGAGCCACCAAGGGTTCTGCAGGAAGAGGCCGGCTGTGATGAGGAGCCCACTGAGAGGGTTGTTGACAAACATGACCTGGGCCACCCCTCTGCAAATCCAGTCCAGCAGTTGGATAACCACAGCCTGCCCTGTCATTGATGGAAAATGACCTCATTCTTTCATCGTCTACATTACAAAAAAGGCCTAAACTTAACCATATTCAAAATGAGATTCATTCAAATTTTATTAATTCAAGCATAACTGACATGTGACTTTGAAGATTAGACGGCATCACAGTCATAAGCATTGTACTTTCCTACATTTCAAGTTGCATCCAGAGTAAAAACAAAAAAATACACATGAAAAAGTTGCATCTGCTATAACTAAGCAGATCACCCTGGTGTGGGGCAAATTATAACAATGAAGGTACTTAATTCGTTAGTATTAGAGGCTAACACCTGTGTGTTTCCTGCAATGACAAGTCAAAAATGTCTGCTGTGAGAAAGGCCTCTACTCTCTGTTACGTTGTGACTGCAGAGCCTCTTTGAGCTCAAAATGTTTGAAAACTGTGAGGAGTGTGGTGGGGCAGTAAGGGGGCCTTGACTGGTTCTACTGGGACAGCGAAGCGGATTGGACTGTTTAATATGCATGGAGAACAACGAGGAGAGAAGGTGAACCGAGAGCAGGTCATGGAGGACTCTGCAGTGCTTATAACACTCACAGAGAGAAGTTCATGCAGACCTGTGAGTGCAACACCAAACTCTTAATGTCGTTGTAACTCTCTCCAAACTACATCAACATTGCAACGTAGCATTGTGTTTGCAAAGACTGCAGCTCTCTTTTTGCTTTAATGTGTTCATGGTTGCAGCCGCTGAAGTATGTATTGTCTCTGTTGTCTCCCATCATGATGTTTTATTCTGCTGTGAATTCTATGAGAAGTGTCCGGTTGTTTACTTTATGCAGCTTAATGATGCTTGTTGAACCCTTGACATGCTAATGCACTTTACTTTTAATAGGTCTATCATGTTACATTGTCATCATTCTAGAAATGAAACGGAACATTTAGTCTGAGTAACTCACCTACCGTTTACATTTATCTCAGTATATTTTTAGTTAGTAGCAGTAATAGCTTAATTTGTTGTAATTTTACTTTAGTACAATATTCTAGTAAACTATTCTCTGTACACATCTGCATGTTGGTACAGCTCATGAAAAGGCAAATTATGCAAAACAAATTTTAAGTAAACTCAACTTTCGACCTGATAATATCACATATTGTTATCAGCCCTTCTTCTTTTTATTTTTATAAACAGATAAATTCTCGCCTCCTTGCACACAAACTAAGTGTGAACATAAGTCCCTTCTCCCCTCAGGTGGGAACAACTCCAACCGAGAAATTTGAGATAAACTCTAAACTTCACTGTCAGTTTGTCACATCGTTTTATATTATTTTAATAATAATAAAATAAAGGTTTTTAAAGGAGTGATCAAAGCAGATTTCCGGAAGAGGTTCCCATTGTGAGCGTCAACCTCCCCAGTGCCAGTTCTCTGCATGAAAGCCTGGGTGTGCTTCTGTTGTTGAGTGAGCGGTGAACCTCTTGATCTCTCAGCTCTGTCTGCAGCCTCTTTCCTTCTATGCCACAATACTTCTGAAGAATCAAATATAGACGCTACTGAACTCAGCTCCGCCAGAACTTTTGTGATTAAATATAAACCTCTCTCTATATATATATATATATATATATATCACCTGTTATGCAACCATGCATGTGTCCAGAGGGCGTTCAGACCATGGTGCTTTTATCTTCCAAACATCATATGGCTGGGGCTTTGCAAATCTTGATTTCTTGATTATTGTTTTATCTTTTTTCTATTGTGTTGTTTCCTTTGTTTGAGCATTTTGATGAGGCCCATGGGAGTTTCTTTTTTAACTCTCTGTACTACAGACTGCTGCTGTGGCTTACGAAGTCTTGACTACCAGGTGCAGGGCCTGTGCTTATTCATTAGGATATATATATATATATATATATATATATATATATATGTATATGTGATTTTATCCAAATTGAGTTTTACAAAGTCCAGCCAAAGTATTTCCTGCTCAAGCTAAACCGTGGCCTTTGTTTCTAGAGTTTCAACCGAGAACGTGCCAATCCTCTGGGGAAGTAGAGGTTATTTTCATGCATTCAATTGGTTTATTTGTTGTATGCATGCACAGTATGTGTGGTTATGTGGTGTCTTTTAACACATCTAATCATCAAAACATGTCAACATTTTAAAGGAAAAATAAGAATGAGCGTGTTCAACATCGATGTACTTTAAAGCCCTTTTATTTTGACCAGGATCGTGACTACATAGATATGAAATGATCAAGATGTCAAGGACCAAATGATGGAGAGAGAACACATGGTTAAACTGAGCTTTAAGTTAATCTTCTACAGTAAGTGAGGCAAGGCACAGTCTGACATTTGAGTCATACAAAACTTGGTGTCCTCTTTACAAACGTAGTAGAAATACCACTCTGATAAACAAATACAACCAGTTTATGATCAAAATGTAACATCAGTATGAGGCTGATCCGAAGCGGTAACTTTCCTTCCACTTGTTTGAACAATTTTATCATGCTACACATAAGCTAAAATCTCCCGTGTGGAAGCAAAATACTGTTTAAAAATTATAATAATGTTCCCTTTATTTTGAAAATATATGGAAACTGTCCATTATTGACCATATTTTGCATTTTGTAATTTGATGTGACATGTTTTCGTTGTATTTATGTCATATCACATAGCATCATTTTCAGTAAAAATCATTATAACTTATAACCTTCAGCATAATGAGCTCAACTGGATTCATTAAGAGATAATCAAACAGTAAAAACACAATCGGGTAACAGAAAGAGACATGATAATATGCACATACAGTACGGAGATTGTGGTCATATATGCACTGAAACTGTACACATCAATACACAGACAGACAGACACACACTCACACATTCACACATTCACACACAAGCAGTCTTTAGAGATCTGGCGTCATGTTTTTCTGTCGACTTTAGAGTGAGTCGACGCCGTGCTGAGTGCTGAACTCCTGGAAATCCTCTGGGATGGTGTCTGTGGAAGTGAGAAGTCGGGTATCATGAGATGAGCTCAGAATCTAAAGCCAAAACGAGGCCAAACCAATTCTATTCACAGCTGTAGTCTGCAACAACAACATCAAATCTCAATCTAAAATCACTTTCCAGACACAAGCGATGAAAGACCGTAAGAAGATATGTATTAGAAACAAACCTCAAGACAATTGCTCCATAGCATGCAATCACGGTATTTCAAAATATATAAAAATAATAGAATATGTGGATTTGTGATTAAGTGTTCCTTCCTTACCATTGCAGCGGTATTTCAAATTGGACCAGATGATGTTTTCCTGAGAGAAACAGAACACACCGAGTCGTCCTCCTCTCATGGTCGTGTCAATTGTCACGCCAGAGTCGGCCACCAGCTCAGTTCCTTCATAGAACCGCGCCCTAAACAAAACACACGATTCAAATAAATAATCTACGTTCCACTCTCAACACTTTGGGGAAATATGCTTATTCACTTGCTTGCTGAGAGTTAGATGGAGCAACAATTAAGGGTTTTTTAAGGTGCTTTCATGTAATCAATATTGAGATTGTCCGGAACACGTTTGGTCGTACCTGATGTATCCAACCTGTGGGCGATGCTGCAGGTACCAACGGTAGGACACCTTGTCCTTCCAGCCTACATTCCTGGGGTCCTTCCACAGCAGACGCACCTGGTCGTTGGTGTCTCCCGTGTGCCACAGCGAGTTTCTCAAGTGCTCCCCGGGGCCCGATTTAGACTTCACAGCCTGATGAACAGCGACAGATAACAGAGAGAAGTAAGGGGTAGAGAAAGAGAGAGAGAGAGAGAGAGAGAGAGAGAGAGAGAGAGGAAGAAATGTGGAAAATATGTCGAGGGATTAAAAATAGGATGAGCACGAATCTACTGCCTGGGGGAGTTGATGACTTGTGCTTTCACCTTAAGTTGGATGCCGGGCTCAGCCACAGCTCTGAAGGGTGTTGCCTGCCAGTAGGTCTGTTCAGTCTGCTTCCACATCACCACGTAGAAGGAGGACGAGTCCTGGTAGCCAAAGATGAAGCCGGCGTAGTCGTCGTCGGTCACTGTATTTACGTGAAATGTTCCTTCAAAGTCCACTCCACTGAAAGCAGTGTAACCTGACAACAGAAATCAGTATATTACTTATATTCAAACATTGTGCATTTGATTCACTGATATTCAACACAGAGGAAATACTTCTTACCAACAGCAAGTCCTGGGTCACTATTCATGGTCTGGACAATTTCCATTCCCTGTGTGAGGAAGAGTTGTTAATAAGGCATTTTGCACCCTGATGCCTTCATTTGCTGCAACTTCATATTTTCGGTTACAATTTGTTTTACATGAACTGCATTTTGGTAATGGAGTAAACCTGCTAATGCTGTCCAATATTTACTCTCTTTTACCTCTGTTTTTGGTCTCTACCAACTCCTGAGGGAAATATCTGGCTCTTTAGCTACTCGTGTTTGAGAGTCATACTAGACATGCTGAAGACAGATGTGTTGCTGTGGTCAGTGGGACACACTTAATCAGCAAACATTTAAAAAGACTCCAAGGCATATGCACAGGTTTTATTTGATATTTCAGTACACTCTAACCACAACTGCTTGTCCAGATGTTAAATGACATGGAAGTATATCATTTTATTGTCAATATTTGATTTTGTCTTTCATAACAATCCGTTCCCAACAGGTAAAGGTCAATGGCTCCCTCTCAAAGGTCCAACACTGTAGTACAGGGGTACCACATGGCTGTGTTAGCTCACCCATCCTATTCACACTGTACACAAATGAATGCAGAAGCAGACAGCCAAATAATTACATCAGATTTTCAGATGATACAGCTATATTAAGTCTGCTGCTGGAGATTGCCACTTTTAAAGACTGGTGTGACAGCCACCACCTCATTTTTAACGGTAATACCAAAAGACAGAGGAAATTATATTTGAGAGATGTGGGAGCTCGTGGCCCCGTAATCATTGGTGACAGTGCAATTGAGCAGGTGTGCTCCTATAAGTACTCGGGAATACAAATGGACAATGAATTAAATTAGAGTGTCCACTTTGATTATCCGTGTGCTAGGCTGGCTCAGAGGCTTTCTCTGCAGACTCAGACTGAACTGAGATCATGTCAACATTGAACGACGCTGTGCTGGAAAGCATCATTAAATATGGTATGGCACCTCACAGTTAAAAATCAAGAATCAACAACACGGTTAAACGAGGCACTGTTGTATATTGTCTTGTGTAGTTTGTCTTCGTGGTACGATTTCACGCAGCACTATTCACATTTCTTATTGTTATTGGTTCTACTGTTAAGATAAAAATATCGATCATTGCTGCTTTAACTTGTACATGGAGAGGGAATTTTCAGCTTTTAGTAATCTCACCTGGTTCAGAACAACCCAGTTGGGGTCGATCTGGGCGTCGCCCTCAGGGTCCAGCACCACCGTCTGAAAGGCCCTGAAGTCAGTCAAGGTGACCTCAGCATTCTCAGGACAGTTGTCGATCCTGTCAATCACTTTGTCCTGGTCAAAGTCAGACTCGCACACGTCTCCAACTCCATCATCTGAGGGACAACAGAGAGGAGATTTAGACTTAAATTAAAGTAAGAAAGACCGTGAGTCATTGTTCCAATAGGTCAGAGGTGCAGAGACTTGTTAACAGTTTTTGATTACACACACTAGCAAAGATTGTGTTGTGTCATTTATTCAAAGTAATGAGCTCCTTTTAAATCCTTTTTAAACCAGTGTGTTTCCTGCGTTGTCACAATGAGGAGATTTCAGACTGGCTTAAGCAAAAATGTCAAAAAGGTGAATGTAAAACATCCCCAAATGTCCTTTCTTAAGGGGCTATTCACATTTCAAGCAAAAGAGCAAGGCTGTATGTTGCATTGGTTTAATATAGATGGATTATATCTCTCTAGTCTGCACCCTGCTGTGTGGGTTCAGCATTAGAGTTGCTGTGTTTGCCATGGTTAAAAAAGTGCCATGCTGTAGTTTCTCTACTCGGTGGTGTTCGTTTCTTGTAGTGGCATGTGCAGTTCTGATATGGATTATTAAATGGAAGGAAATATGTTGATGCACTTTTATCACTGTGAATGTGCAACAGCTGCAACGACGTCAAGAAGGTCCGACTTGGCGGTTCTTGGCATAAAAGCTTCATTCTGTGTCAATGATTGAATTGATGCTCAATCGGGCAAATGCGTGAATGTCTTGTGTGCATCTTGTAAAACATTTGGACTCAGTAAATACACTTTTTGTGTTTTGTTATATTCCAAAATGTTGGCTCCAACTTACATCACTTGACTCCCTGACTGCCAACAACAGCTGAATTGACTTGATTTGAATTGACACTCCAGAGGGCATTTTCTACACAGAAAATGTCCCAATGAGTCACCAATGGGTGCAAGCTTTTACCCAACAAAAATGCCACTCAATGTGCTCACAGTTGCTTTTGTTTGATCTGCGTTGGTGTGAAACTGGGGACCAAAATAGCTTTCAAAGGAAAGTCGGGGAACAGTTCAGGGAGAATGTGGAGATGAAATTATGAACATTTATCTGATCACCATGCTGGTTTTCAGCCAAATATATCAACAATCATATCTGATTATTACTGTAAACTGATTTGACTGTGTGGTATATGAGGAGGTGCGATGTATTTTAGACCATCGCTCACCGTTGTCGTCGATCTGGTCAGGATTTGGTACCAGCCGGCAGTTGTCTGGTCCCGGTGGCAGAGTGTCAGGGATCCCATCGTTGTCGTCGTCATCGTCACACTCGTCACCCAGCCCGTCTTTGTCACTGTCCAGCTGGGAGCTATTTATTACGAATGGGCAATTATCCTTGGTGTCCTGGTGACCGTCGCCATCACTACAAGGGAAAGTGACACGATCGCATGACGTGAAAAAAGGCTGTAGGACTAGCAGTAGTAGAAACAGCAGTTCAGATATCTGCAAGAACACAACATGAAGACTGTGACAATATCGTTACCTGTCTTGGTTTGTGTCACAGGAGTCTCCAACCAGGTCGTGGTCAACATCAGACTGAAACAGGAGCAGAGAGTTCACTAAAAACACCATTTCTTTTACACTTGAGAGACTCTGATCCTTTACATTAGTGAAAGTAACAAAGGTCCTGCATTTAAAATCTTACTTAAGTAAATTTATACAAATTTGTACTCACTTTTCAGACTTCTCTATTTTTTTGTTTGTGAAATTTTGCAAACTTTTACCCCTTTGGGTATCAAACGATTATTTAAAGGAAACCAGCTGAGAAGTTTAAAGGGGAATTTGTGAATACAACAACTCCTATACATCTGAAACACGTCCAGGAATCCCAAAGAGACACAATTTGTCATTTGAGCCACTGTTTAATCTTTAACAATGTGCTGTATTTCATAAACTTATTATATATTTTGTTGAATCTTAATCCCAAAGTAACCAGTAACTTAAGCTGCAAGATTTCAATATTTCCCACAAATTGTACTTGAGTACTTGAGTAGATGTACTCCGTTACTTTCCACCACAGCTATCCGTCCCTCCATCCCTCTATCTGGCTCTGACTGACCTGGTTTGGGTTGGGGATGTCGGGGCAGCTGTCGCAGGCGTCTCCCACTCCGTCTCCGTCCCGGTCCAGCTGGTCTCTGTTTTGGACAAGCTGGCAATTGTCCAGAAAGTTCTTCAGGCCTATGCTCGCCAGTCAACAGGAGGAGATGGTGTTATTTAGTGTTATTTATTTAGTGTTATTCAGTCTGACTCCTTCTCAGCAGGGAAAATATAGTATTGTCATGAATGACATATTCGGAGGTGGCAAGTACAGATAGATAATATTGTGCTGTAGTAGAATAAATACTCTTCTCATTGTCCCTTTTTCTGAACTCTCACAAAAGATATAAGTGAATTTCTATGATTCTGTGACAATAAGTCGATTGACAGAATATTTACCAACAACAATTCTGATAATAAATCCAAAAATACCCAAAAATATTTCGTTCCAGTTTACTAATTTTAGGAATTGGGGAATCTTATGTGTTAGTAAATTGATTTTACTCCGGCTTTTGGACCATTGGTCAGACAAAACAAGCTTTTTGAAGATTTCAACTTGCCCTATCATAAAAGAAACCAAGTTACTGCCCAGTGGAAATATTAACAAATATGGATGTTGCCAATATGAAAGAATGATTACATGGATACATAATGAGATATTAACTTTATCTATTTGAATTGAGTTTTGATCTCTAAAATCAAAGTGATGCATTAAAGTAACCAAGTCTGTCGTTGTCTCGACAAACTCTCTCACACTTAGTGAAGTCAATCAGTGAATTTATATTTGATTACTGAATGCATATCAAAAATGTAGACATTACATCCATACTACTGTTTGAACTATATCGACTGAATAATTATATGGCATGGTACTTGTAATTCCACCACTAGGTTGCACTGTTGTATTTGCTATGAAGGTGAACGCCAGTTTGTGTTCAGATGCTATTTCTTATTCATCGCAGGGAGGCAGCAGCAGCCCCACTAATGCATAAAGGTCAAGCAGCAGCAATAGAGGAGAAACCATCTTCTCTCCCGTGGGGTTTTCTGAGGTGTAGTCATGCTGGTGAATGATCAAAGCTTGTGTTCGCTCAGGGGTCAGACTGCTTTTGGCCTTAACTTTTTTTTTTTGCAGTGCTGTTTGTTATGCCTCAGCTGGCTTACAAAAACATCCATACAACTGTATTTTTTTACAACATGATTAAGAGAGATGTGTACTGTACAATCTGCATTATTTAATGTAAGAGCAGGGTGTAAATGTGAAGGAAGGAACAGAATAATACGTTTAAACGGAGAGTGCCTTCAGTGCTGGTTATATAAGCACGAGCATCGGTGTTATTTTATTTATCTCCATACCGTCTCCATCCATATCATCATCGCAGGCATCCCCTTTGCCGTCGCTGTCGGTGTCCCTCTGGTCCGGGTTCTCCACCGTGCGACAGTTATCACAGGTGTCCCCGTGGCTGTCCTTATCGCTGTTCCTCTGGTCCACGTTGGCCTTCAACCTGCAGTTGTCCTGAGACAGACGGAGAACACAAAGGCCCCATTCACAGCACATGTATTTGTTTTCAGTGGACAAGCTTGCATGTGCATGCATGTTTTTGTACGGATTAATAAAACTATATATATGTATCGTATTAGTTATGAATAACAGAGCTAGGTTAGCTGTTTTTCTCTGCTTTCAGTTGTTATGCTAAGCTAAGCTATCACTCAGGTCCTTAATTGTAGTAATGTGTTACTGTTTTTCTTTTTTTTTACACGATTGAAACACCTTTGGGTTTTTGGACTGTTGGTTGGACAAACCAAGCTAATTAAAGACATCACACGAAGCTTGTGGAAACTGTGATGTGCATATACATTTTTGGCGTAATACAGACTAAATTAATCGATGAATCTGAAAAAATAACCAACAGATTAATCAATAAATTGCATGCTTGCATGCATTTGTTAAAAACATTAACACCTACCTGCTCGTTTGGTATACCATCACCATCGGCATCGTCGTCACAGGCATCTCCATAGCCATCCCTGTCTGCATCCTCTTGACCGGAGTTAGGGACGAAGATGCAGTTATCCTGTGAAGACATGTTGCAATATAAAAAAAAAAGTTAAATAAGGCCTGAAAGGCATCAACGTTGCATTTGCTGACAATTTGCACCATGGTTACCTTTTTACAGCTCGCATCTTTGCATTTGAGTTTGTCATCTGGGTATCCGTCAATGTCGGTATCCTTCCCACACAGGAATCCGTTACCGGCCCAGCCAATTCCACACTGACGAGACAAAGGAAACTCAGACGACATGTATGTGGGGTTGTGCTTATGTGCAGTTTGTGTGTGCAGGTAGTAAATGTGTGTGTGTGTGTGTGTGTGCGTGTGTGTGTGTGTGCGTGTGTGTGTGTGGGGGGGGGGAAGTGTGGAATCCTACCAGACAATGGACTGACCCGTCCCTCTCTGCGATACACTGGGCGTTGTTATCGCAGGGGTTGGTCAGGCTGTTACCACAGCTGATCTCTGGCTTACAGCCCTTCACTTGATCCCCTGTGAAACCTGTGTTACAGCTGCCGCATTGATACGAGCCCTGTGCAGGAATGAGGACATCTAGTTTCTTTGGACAGCCACTTCAATGAAATAAATGTCTTACATGAGCCATGTGTGTGATATTGGGATAATATTCTACAGTGGTCTTACCACAGAGTTGTAACAGACGGAGTTTGCGGCGCAGCCGTTGTTGGGCTCTTTACATTCGTCAACGTCGTCACAGACCTGAAATGATGAATGTAAGATGTGAATTCATCCAAAGCTTTGTTTTAATGACAATTTACATTATTTCCCTTTTTTATGATTTCAAGGTTCCAATAATTACTGCATAAAATACACAATAAACAGCTGTGGAAATTAAGTACATTTAAGTACTGTTCTTTCGTACAATTTTAAGGTACTTATATACTTCTGCTCAACTTCATTCCAGAGGGTAATTGTTTATTATCTGATGATATAATAGGAAGCTGTTCCAGGTTCTTCTTCTGTATCCGTTTTGATCATCAGATAGATCCTACATTGGATTGCAAAACTACAATACCTGTCCTCAGTACTTCATTATAACTTAACATACACTAGCTATTTTGTAGCTACATTGTCCTCATATAGGTCACCAGTAAATATGTTATTGATCCAATATGCACGAATTAATTACACCATAATTTTACAGCTGTAATCTAAAGCATTGTATTCTCTTGTAGCACAAAAGCATGGAAAACTCTTTTCATAATGATATTTGATGTCGTTGATTGATGCTGTAATTTGCATGCATCCTTATTTTTTTTATTTTTTTATTCTAGTCTCATTTTGTATTTGTGTCTCCCATATTTTATTCACTCTTTTACCTGTTTGTTGGTCTGGGCATACAAAATGCCCACACCCTCCACTGCCAGGCCGGTGAAGCCCAGCGGACAGGCGTCGCAGCGGAAGCCCGGGGCAGTGTTCACACACTTCACTCCAGGGAAGCAGGGGTTAAACTGACACTGCAGGAAGGAAGGAGGACATGAGCTCTGTTGAAGCTGAAAAATGTATATGGTTCTCACTGGGCTTCTCCCCAAAAGCTTTTAGTTTTGACGACACTTTTGCTCATGCAAAAAAGAGAATGCTGAAGGGGCCAGTCCTTATAAAAAGAGGTCAGTGCAAACACGAGAAGACAGACAGGCAAACACACACGCACATATCTTTGTGCTTCTATCCTTATGAGGACCTCATTAAAAGTCGTGCCTTAACTTGAACTGAATTCCCAAACTTGTACCTGTGGCTTTCATTCCTAAACCCCATTCTACCACATTAGCTTCTGTGGAGTTTCATGTTATGTCTCACCTAATTATCTGTCACCTCTCTGCTGCTTCACATGGAAGGATGAGCTAGGCTGTTCAATGCTGGAGGAAGGCAGAGTGGAAATGCTACATGCCATGCAAATGAATACAGATGGCTGGAATCAACCCAAAAAATGATCCTGAGACATCGGAGTAACGTTAGCAGGGTTGATATGCCTTCGGACACAACGTTTGATAACACAACGGCATGGTTTTGGCAGTTTATTTTTTCTCCTCTTCGGCTGCTAGTGCAGTGAGTTTTGGTCGTAGAGTGACGAGACTTTTATACCGTTGGAATCTGTCTCAGCTTTCATAATGATATATTGTTTGTGCGGGTAGCATTAAGTAACAAAATGCTAGCAGCATTGGCGTATTTTTGCTGTCTGCTCATTATATTGCTTGGTACTGGAGTTGTATTTCTTTAAGGTAAAAAGGTTATCCTTAGCTTTTAGCTGAGCTTCTTCCTGCTATGTGGGTATGCAGGACGAATATGTTGCTACATGTGTAACGTGTCCATCTGGTGTTTGTTTCCATATGCGCAATGGTCCCCGGTGCTGGGGGCGCTCTGTCTGGTTCAAGAGGTTTAACCATAACTACAGTCTTTACCATGGAGATCAATAAATAGCCCTAAAATACAAGAACCTGAGCCTTACCTCGTCCACATCATCACAGTTGAAACCATCCCCAGTGTAGCCGTCAGGACACGGTCCACACTCGACACCATACGCTGTCTCTATACACATATCATTACGGAAACAGACACCTGCGGCACACCTTGGTTTCACCACCTCAGTACCACCCAGACCTTTAAACAACAGAGGTAAAAAAATAATCATTTAATTCATCATCTGCAATTTTATTTAGTTTGTCCAACAATCCAAAATTATTCATTAAGCATGGTATTTAAAGGTGAGTGATATGACTTACCACAAGCCTGACACTCTGAAATGGTGTTTCTGAGAAATGAGGTCTCTTTGACCTGGAAAAACATAAAAACAAGTTTATATGCAGTCAGGCAAGCTGTCGGGGAGGTCAGGGGTGGGGAAGCAGAGGCCTCAGAGGAGCCGTTCGTGGTAGTTACCTGCTGAATGAGGACGTCTTTCAGCTCATTTATCACCTTGGTTAAGTCCAGCATTTGATTGGACAGCTGCTTCGTGTTGACCCCTAAGAGAAAAGGACTGTTATTTTGTTAAACTGAAGAAGAGGTGGGGGATTCTCTGAGCCTGTTCTCAACCCACTCCGACAAACACTGAGTGTTGTTTTTTCCTAAGGCTGGGATTGTTCTCCTGAGGAATATTTGGCCGTCTCTGTGGACATTTGCTTCCACAGAAAGAATCTTACCCAGAGTTTGGACGGAGTCTCTTTGTTGGAAGTGGCAGTCTTGTAGTGCCGCAACATTCTCAAATGTGTCCCCAACCACCAGCTTGAGCTCGTCTAAACTCTCCTGTTAGAATAAAACGGGTCAAAGTGAACATCTAAGACATTTGGAAACCTCTGGATTAATTATTGGGACGGAACCATATTCATTATTGTATGTAAATACTGTAAGCGAGGGGTCACCTGATCCCTGGCTTGCATGGTCTTCAGCTCCACCATACCGTAGCCTGCTGGCAAACCTTGGAAGGCAGCAGGGAGATCCCTGACCGTCTCCACCAGCTTGCAGTCCAGATGCAGCTCCACCCCGCCCGGCCCGGGCTGCTGCATCCCCTTCAGGTGGAACAACAGTCGGTGTTGTTGGCCGTCTGCCAGGACCAGGTTGTTGAAGGTTACTGAGCTCATCCTCTTGTCACTCCGCAGGTAGCGTAACACAGCTTTTAGAGGACAGAGTAAGGAGGGGAAGCGGTGGTGGCAAGGAAGAGATAATGGGGAGAAATAGAGGAGGATTTACAAGGTGCTTTTACTGTAAAGGGTTGATTCATCCAAATTACAACAAGACTAAGTCTACAGCCATGACATATAGCGGCTCTGTGAGGCTGTACTGATGCACAGCTTTGCTTTGAACAAAATGGTAACATCAGCATGCTGACAGTGACGATGCTAACATGCAGATTTTAAGCGGGTATAATGTTTACCACGTTCAACGTCTTAGTGTAGCATGCAAACATTTGCTAAGTAGTACCTGTAAAACCAAAGCAATCAGCTGAAATATGAGAAAATGCTCCACAGAAGTGAGAGGAACGACAGAAATACTTCTCTGTGGGCTCCTCATTATAAGGGACTCCTTTTTCTTTTAACACATAAATACAACAAGGTTGAGTGCAGCTTAAAATGGAACCACGGCCTCTTTCATGGTCTCCTACCTCTGTTGAGCTTCCCCATCACAGTGAACTCAAAGTACTTGCTGTTGTCCCGGGGGTTGTACAGGGAAAACAAACTGGTTCCGGTCTTGGGCTGCAACTTGAAGGAGGTTAGGATGAAAGCCTCGTGCACCCCTTGCTCGACCAGACCCCCCTGCAGCAGGTCTGGCAGGCAATCAGGCGAGGTGAGCAGATCATAGACTGTTGACAGGGATGGGAAAAGAGAGAAGCGGTAATGCACATGAGTAATGGATGATGAGATATGAATATTTACAACCTGCAGCCGCTCCGATCCCTGAGTAAACACATCCTGAGTCGACGAAGTGAAGATGATGATGATGATGTTGACCCAGTGTTTGTTGCTCTTGCGAGACGCTGTGTCAATCAGTCAGCACTGACTTGGCAGGCAGAGTTGGCTCAGAGAAATCAGAAATATTTGGATTTCGAAGCAAATCAGAGCAATGTACTGTGACGGCTAGGTGTTTGGTGTTATTATCAATATTTTGTCAGATTCCCACCAAAGCTGCTCGGCCAATAAAATCTATATGTGATTTCTCTTTTTCAGCCACAGTTCTATTCATTGTTCTCACAGGCAGAGGTATGGCAGACTTTACTGAGAAGCTGCTTAGTGGGTGTGAAAAGCCAGAAGGACACTGAACACTTGCACTCCTGGTTAGAGTCCTCCTTTTAATAAAGTGACTTGGGAGCTGGGCTCCCCATGAGAGGATATGCAGTGAATCTCTAGTCCGCCATCTGCACGCATCATGAATACACAAGGACCCTAAAAGCAGTCTGCAAGGCCCACAGTCATGAGGGAGCAAAATTGCTCCCAAATGCTCCCAGAGATTAGCTATTGTCAGCCAAGATTGCGAAGCATGATCCCCAGATGACGTCTATTTTTTTCCCCTTGTAACTCTCTCCTTGTGTTTTGTTCGTCACATGCCGAATTTCAGCAAAACACAGGCCCTTTAAAAATGTTGCAGTTACATGACTGCTTACACAGTGTTGTCAACAACCACCACAAAGACGAGTCTTTTGTATTTGTGATTGCCAAGATCACCTGTTGAGTTTTACGCAAACATGTCTCTTTTTGACTCAGTGTGACTCACTGGTGCATCAAATTGACAAAGTCCAAAAATGAACAAAACAACAAGGGAACAAATGAACCTCAATGCATGTTTTTTGAGTTACTGTAACACTACAACGGCACGCACAGACACATACATAAAGCAGACAGTCCTGCTGTTCATAAATCTTCTGGACAGGAGGGCTTTGTGGGGGTCAGTGTCGTGTTACACCATCCTGAGAAAGTGCCTCATTTCCCACCCTGTTTAACCTCCGATTTCAAGCTTCATAAAACTAGTTTAGCTGAAAGCCATAAAGTAATTCAGTGTCTTGTCCTCTCCTTAACACCAGCATATATATATATATATATATCACGACTACAAAGTGCTATTAAGTGTACAAATGGTCAGCATTCTTCATTTTACTGCTCAACAAATACTTCACATTTGAGAGCTTGCATGTTGAAAGCTGTGATTTACTTTAGTTTCATGTTTAGAGGTGCCTAATCAACCATTAGTAATGATGAAGAAATGACATCGGCATGTTATTAAAATAAACAGTGAGGTCACACTTGAGACAAAAACCTTTAAACCTCCAACAACTGATTTGTTTTGGACACTTGGAAGCAGCGGAAACGAGCTGTGATTTTAGCATGACTTGGCGAACTTGTTAGCAAACAGTTGATCAGTTGAACAGTTGATACACCCAGCAATTCATGTGGAGTCATGTTTTTGATCTCCTAATCAAAAGTCCAATATTTACTCTTTTACATCTGTATTTGGTCTCCACCAACTCCTGAGGGAAATGTAGCTGCTAAATGCTCCACAATGTTCACCAGCGAGGCGCTAACTGTGTCTTGTGGGTTTTAAGAGCTCTTTCACTGAAAACAGCTGCCTGCTGCAGTCAAAAATGATGCACCGAGAGTGAACCAAAACAGTAAAGTTACGAAAGAGCTGAAATTATGATGCTCTTTAAAGCCAAGGGGACCTGCAGATTGGGCGGATAATTCTTTGTAGGTTCATCACCACGTGTGACTCCTTTGTCATTGTCATTTAATACATTGTTATTGTAGCAGTATTGATTATAGCTGCTTTAAATATGTGTTCTGTCCCTGGGCAAGGAGTCTTTGTGCCCAGCGTAGAAAGTGAGTTTTGAATTCAGTTAATCTCAGCTCCTGGTGAAGTCATCCTAAAGGACACTCTTACTGATCAATAACCCTTTACAGAGATAGAATGGCTGCTTCGTGCTACTAAAATCTTACTTACTGCAGCTTTAACCTTTCTCCTTCTGAACAATTCCAGTCATGCAGGCAATGACTCATTTGCAAGGGAAATGATAGATGATGAACTCCATTTAACTGGACTTGTTTTATACATAACATCAGGCAGCTATTGCCCAAACATTGTAGGGATTAATGGGTGCATGAAAGGTATGCCATCTATCACTGGAGTGATTTGCAAGAAGCTGATAAACTATCAACACCAATCTTTCTGCATGTCGTCTGCAGCTTGGTTTGTGTGTGACCTTGAATGCATTTCAGTGCGACTGAGAGAGAGAGAGAGAGAGAGAGAGAGAGAGAGAGAGAGAGAGAGAGAGAGAGAGAGAGAGAGAGAGAGAGGAGAGTTTGTGCGTATGTGTGACTTGAAGTTCAATATTGCTCCCAGATCACCTCTGATTGTTCCCATGTGTGTGACCGAGCTGGGACTTTGTTTGAATTAATATGAGCCAGAAAGCAGAACCTCCTGAAGCTGAAGTAATCAAGCAAATCTGTCTGGATGGATATGAAAAGCAGAGTGATTTTACTTTAGCAGAAAGATATCTGCTTTTATTCTTTATCTTTGCCTTCTTCCTCTCGCAAACACACAAATGCATTCGGCTGCCTCCTCTCTTCTTGAGCTGACGGGATATTTAGCATTTTATTCATACCTCAGTGAGTATCATACACCATGTCTAATCCTTTGTGTTCTTTATGCATATGATATTCTCTTTCACAGTGTCTGCTTTATCCATTATGCATTGAACTCATACATAGTGTGTTAGAATACCCAGTGCTGGAGCCATTAAATCTTTTTTGACAGATAATGAAAACAGACAGAGCCAGGAAGTCAGAAAAATGTGGCATTCAAATAGAATCAAAGACATTTATCTTTGTGTGTGTCTAGTTAAAATGTAAACGGAGAACCTGCAATGATATTTTATTTCTTGAATTGCTGTCATCCCCAGCAGCAGCTATAGTTGTAATCGGTTATTGCCAATCAATAACACATTTTGTTAAAATCGTAACGACGTTTAAATATCTGATATGAAAAGGAAATTATAGAAAACTTCAAACAACACTCACCTAAAGCCTGGGCTTCCACGTGTAAGCTCAGTTTTAATAGCAGCTGCGAGGCCAGAATCAGGGCTGTCCACACACCCATTTTGTCCTTCCAGCTGGTCCCTGATCAGCACTGTCTCTGTAGTGACTTATCAATATGTGACACGCAGTTTCACGTATGTCTGCTCCTGCTGTGAGTGGTGCCTTTTGTGTCCTTGCCTCCTTTTTTGAATCAGAAGTGAGACAAGACTGTCATGGTGAGCCTGATAGAAGCTGCTGTTTTTGTGTGTGTGTCTGAATTGGTCTGGGAATGTGAAGATCGAAGGAGTCTTACTAAGGGAGGAGCTTCAGGGCCAGAACCTGCTTTTAAAACCTTCCTCAGACGGCCCCATGTAGAGAAGGAGTGACCTGGAGAATCTCTTTGCATTGGCTCCTGCTGGCTGCTGCCATTTCCCACAGGCTCTTAGACAAATATGCTGAACGCGATTAATCCAGCCTAGGAACCCATGTTTGGCCACTGACATCATTTTTCAACTCAAATTGAGCTTTTTGACTCTTGAGTTCATGCTTAAGGTGAATTAAAAAAAATTAAAAAAGTTTCCCACTTCCAGCAATTAGACTTTGAGAATTTATTTCACTTTCCTTCCAGGGATCAGATGTGACACCTTCCCCATGTTACCATCGTAATCCTCCTCATTCCCCGGGCAAAGTCAGGAAATGAGCGTTCCGCAGCCCGCACCTTAACAAGCCGTGTTAACCGGCCAGCAAAGCTTCAGAGCTGGCTCTCGCGGCCTCCAGCTCGTCAGCAAGTCTGGCACCATGCAAGTTGCCACATTTGGCAGAGATGAGGAGGCTTGGGTCTTAATGATTGTTTGTTTTTTCATTCCTCTACTGGTGTTGCATCTTATTTTCAACCCAACAGGGCCTTATTCCATGATTTAAGAAACTGCCATTGAGCATAAAAAAATACTGAATCTGTAATGATGTTTCACTAAATCAATAAAAGCCAAGTTTCAGTGGCTGCCAGATGATGTTCCCACTTAAAAGGACAAACACAAGTATCTATAGCAACAAACGGCAGCAAATGAGTCATAGTTTCCATACGTCTACCGCAGGTGTTCCTTGTGGTTAGTCTGTACACCGCTGCTCCGGTATTTTGTTGTCTACCGATATGGATTCTAGCCAGTCGGCAGCAGGACACCCAGAGTTTTATCTGCCATCTGATTGGTTTTTAGAAGGAGCCTTTGCAGGCGTTTTGGTTCTGGATCACAGAAAGCCCCACAGACCTCCATGCATGGTCTGCAGCTGCGATCAGGAGCTCAATAGACCTGGGCAGAGTCACATCATGGTGCGGTTAATGAGGTCAGACAGTGAACGCTGCAGCTGGCTCGGACATAAAACCAAACCCCAAATGTCTCTGACACCATCTCTGGACTATTTTCGTTCGTGATACCAATATGACCGAATCCAGAGACATTCAAACACTTCGTAACTCAGCTTCTCCTCATATGGTCCGTTGGCAAATGACCCACAATGACAACAAAATGTACTGTGTTACCAATGAAGCCGACCTGAAGCAGTAGTTTCGTTCGGCATAGCCAGACAGTAACGACTGTATGTGCTCTCAGCGGAGGTCTGACAATTAGCATTTTTCAAAACCTCTGAATCGTAGAAGAAAACAATACAAACTGGTCAGAAACAAGAATGATTAAAGGTGCATAATAGGAAGCATGTGGTGCATTAATAGCTCATTGAAGGAATGTGTCTTGTTGTAATCCACGGAATACAAAAGGAGAAACATGCTTGACCTACTAATACTTTATTAATATTATCTATTCTCATCAAATCCACCCACAGTGGAAATTCATCCTTCTATGTTTTTCTATTATGTGTGTGTCTTTCTTACCCATGTTCAAGTTCCTTATGGTGTTTTCACACTTAACCTCTTTGGTTCGGTTAAAACAAACTCAGGTTGTTCGCCCGGCTAGTACGGTTTGTTTGGGCTGGTGTGAAAGCTGTCAATCAAACTCTGTTTTTTTTTATCACAATATGTTTTTGTTTTTTAAATATTGAGCGATGTTGAGATTTCTGTCGGTCAAGCTGGACAACTTCCGGTTTAGCCTTCTACTTGAATGGGGATATAATAATTTAAATGCTTGTAGTGAAACTACTGAAGTCATTTCTCGGGGATCTTGATGCTCAAAACTATTTCTCCTTGTTTTACAGCAGTAGCAACGGAGCAGAGCCTACATTGTATTGGATATTCAAAAATGGATAAAAAAATAATATTTATTTTATCTCATTTTATCATGAAATGTTTCAACACAATTCTGTCTCCAAGCCCAACTTTGTCAGTTCATTAAGTCCATTAAAAGTGTGTGACAGCGATCCTACAGTAATAAGCCCTGGTGTGTTACTGTACAAGACACCTCTATGTGCTCCTCACGGTTCACCGTCATCTGGGAGTGCCCAAAGAGGCTTTTGTACAGCCCTGGCACTACCTTTCAGTCATTATTCATAAGATGCGGATTGATTTGCAGTCTAGTCCTACTACTAATGTTTATAATTGGATATTTATTTGTGCAGTCTTTGTGACAACATACATAAACATACACATCAGAATGGATTAAGTGCTGGATGAACTTCTGTCAGTCACCAGAATTTGATTTCCCCACTTCTAAAAAATCATTGGGAACAGGAACCGGACCAAAACTAAAATCCAACAATCTATTCTTTTGTTTTTCCCTTGGTCCTGACAAAATAAACCAAACCACCCATGTGAAAGGACCCTTAATCTAAACATTTGTCGTAATTAATTGTTGTTCTTCTTCTGGTACATTATTGTAGGATCATTTATAGAGCTCCATTGATTTAACCTCTTTAGCCCGACCGAGCAACTTCGATTTACTCGCATGCCACTGCAAGTATTTTGCTTTTCTTAGTTCTATACCATTTTTATTCTCTTGGTACACATAAGTATACAATACATTACAGAAAGAGATATAAAGAATTTAAAGAAAATAATTACATTCACCACATGAAGGTTCCTCCTCACAAGAAGTTCTTTCATGAAACGACTTACATCAGTGCCCTCGTGCTTGAGGTATCGACACAGACTTTTACAACACAGCAAACCACAGCTGGAGTTGACCATAAGTCTCCTTACTCCGGCGCTGAGTGCTTACGTGGTCATTACACTGTAGGACGCAATGTCTTACAAGCTCTCCACTGTCGTACCTGATGAAGTTATGTAACAGCAGCGAGTCAACAAGTCAGAGAGGGCTGATCCAACACCTCATTAAATCTGCAGCATCTATCAAAACCTCCACCCTGTCTGGCAGAAGGGACTCACTCCAAACCCAAAATTACAGCATTAAATCGCCTGAATATTTGGTGTTAGACAGACTGTGACTCTGAACTCAAGGCAGAGGCTTAATAAATGGACCCACATCCTGCAGCATATTTAGACTGCAAACTCTTGAGCCAAATTGGTATGTCATGGTGGATAATGCCGTCGAGTTTCCTGGAATCGTCTAACACAGCAGAGGGGCATGAATACAAATTATACATCAAATGTTATAGTACCCAAATTAATTAGAAAAAGTATTCTGAGCTAATAAGCAACAGAAAATCTTTAGAAATAAGGCACTGCTCCTGATAACTGTAGATGTATTTAGTTGTTGGCCTTGAGCTATTCAAACCAAATTTCTGCAAACATATTTGTTTGAGCTGAATGTGAGATGGACCGTTATTCTGGTTTGTGTACGATACAAACTGGATTTTTGTAAGCAGACGTCAGGAAACGAATAAAACCAATGATAGATTTTTTCAATTTCATTTACCTGACCGAACCGCCCGCCTTCACATCTCTCTGTAAAATCACTCAAAATGATCTCAGTTGTGGACGCCGTAACATAAACCTTATACACCCATTCTTGGAAAAACATGGCTCCTACGCCTGAAGATTGATGATAGGTGCACTGAGGTATTCTCAGAATAGCCTAAGTGCGATTACGGGAACATATCGTTTCCCAATGTGGTTTGAGTGTCTCACTACATTTCTCAGTATTATGCAAGGGTACGTGATGAAGGCCCCTCCGGTTGAAGTTGTTGTTGATGGTTTCGCCATGTGTAAACTGTGAGTTCAGTCTGCGACCATCTCAGACGATCCAGCTGCTCCTTCAGTCACTCACACCAGCTGGATGTGTTCACACTCACTCACTCCATCCTAATGCATGTCTCACCTACACCTCATAGTCTGGTTGCAGACTGCTGTAAATCATCTCGGATACTTGACGCTAAGTCAGCCACGCTGCAATCTCTCTGTTTTTCACAACACCGCCCCCGATGCAACCTTTTCCTATTTTTCCAAACTTTCTATCTTTCCTTTTACTTTTTTAGCCACGCTATAGCAGCATGTCTCTAGGGATGGCCATTTCAAATCACCACTTGGATCCAGACTGAAATATCTCAACAACTGTTTGATAGATTGCCATACAATTTTGCACAGACATTCATGTTCCCAAGAGGATGAATCATAATGACTTAAGTGGTCCCCTGAGTTGTCTTCTAGTGTGAGAATGAGGTTTTGCGTGAAAGGTTCCACAAAATTTGGTACAGACATTCATGTTTCCCTCAGGATGAATTGTAATAACTCCTCTGACATTTCATATCGCATGACCTCAATCATCGGGGTAAACTTTAAATTCTTCTTCATTAGTCTCAGCTGTAGTTTGTGCTTAGTGCTAATCGGCAAATGTTAGCCTGCTAAAACCGGCTAAACAAAGATGCATGCATCATCATTGCGTGCATGCTAGCAATGCTGATATTAGCATTTAGCTTACAGCCTTAATGAGCCCCAAGCATGGCTGTAGACTCTTAGGGCCAGGTTATGAATGAAAGAACTGTTTTGAATGATGTGTTGTCCGACCACATTGGAAAGTATTTATAGTTGTTCCGAAAAGCCACACTTGAAAGCGGAGTGAATTGGGCATAGAGAGAGAAGGGTTACGGTTATTCATACAAAAAGTGAAAGAAATAGTTGTGTCAAGATTGGAAAAAATTCAAAAGTTCAAATCCTGACTTCTTGGTTTCCCAAATGCTGACGTTAGAAAGGTGGGAAGGGGTTTCTGAAGCTGTTTGGCCATCTGACAAGAAGTTCTGATGAAGCTTACTGGCAGCTTCTGAGTTGTTTCCTCTCTTCAGCATTTATTATAAACCTACACACATGAATGTAAAAAATACTGAATGTCCCATTTTAGTCAGCTCTCCAACAACAAGCATTCTAAATAGAAAAACAGATATCAATCAATTGCACAAGAATTTTTTGAGGACAAAACACACCTACGCTATATTAAGCAGCTTGTTTACACAGTACGAACAGCGCTGCATTGTGCTCCATTGAGCTCCATTGAGCCTTATTCCAGGTGCTCTCATTAATCCTTCATAGTTCTGGCACGTTGACACCAAGTGTGTCTGGGCTAGAAAGGTCCGCCATACACTAGGAAATGGCACATAGTGGGGGAGCACACTGGGTCATTTGTTCAGACACAGTCAAATTGCTGCAGTGTTCTCAAGAGTGACAAGAGTATAAAAAAAAATACAAGGATCTCTGTCTGAAAATGTTTACTCGTGTAGGAGTGTGCTGGATCGGTTAGTGTTATTATACGTCAGATTTTTGAGTGGGAGAACATCATTCTCTCTGAAATTATGACCTACTATTTCTTATAATATGTGGTTTGTGAGGGGGAAGTGGGCCACATGTGGTAAAGTGAAGTTACTTGAGATGCTAGTAAGGCTCAAATTAGTGACCTTGTTTGAATGTCGATGCACGGACAGCGTGCCAACTTAACTGACTTTCTTTGTTACATCCAAACCCTTTGAAACGGGACTCTGTCTTTATTTCCTGTCTAGCAGTATAGGAGTAGGAAGATAATGCATTTCCCAGAGAGAGTCAGATGTCCGATCTCTAAAGTAGAGTGCAGGAAATGAACAGATTTATTCCACATTTTGTTTCAGCCTTAGTGTCCTCTACCTTCAACAGCTACAAGTTCTTACATAATGCCAAACGCTCAGACTTCTGTTGACCGCCGTATTCCATATGTATCCGAAAGTCTGCTACTTCACTTTTAAGCTCGGAAAAATCACATGTGGCATTTAAGGCTGTTTGCTGTAGTAATTGTCCCCCTTCCTTCAGGGAGGATAATACAGGGTTGACGGATCCCAACACAGTCCCCTGCTATAAAGAAGTCACCAGGTTCACAGCAACAGAGGATATAACTGTGTGAAAACATGGTGATTTACAACAGCCTGTGCCACCTGTGACTGCCTGTTTACCCCAAGCTGAGGATAAACGAGTCAGTGGGTTGAATCAGGCACAAAAAACAGCTTTAAGGATAATTCTGATCTATTGCCGTATAGCTTTCACTGTGATTTCTCTAGATTATGATAAAACTGTGCTTATCAAAGCAATCACTGAGATCTGGGAACACAGCAGGCAAAGCTAGAATGTCATCTGATGGTGAAAGAAACAATTGAACTGTTTTAGTCACATTTTAGTCAATTTCTTCTTATTATTATCGGCACCAGGAGATAATGAGATTGAGTATGGTTGTGTGTGAGTAAGTGTGCATCTACAGTATGTGTCTGTCCACGGCTAATCTCGCATACTGCTGCACCAAACTGCATATTGTTTGGGAGCTCATTTATGGCTTCCTACCCAAGGACCTCTTGGGGTTACAGTGACTCACAATTTCTCAAAACGTCTTTTATTGAGTAATACTGCCATTGATTGACTGCTGACTCCTCACTCGAACCCAATTGTGGGTTGTATTCAGTCAATCAAACATACCAGCAGTGGCTGTGGCAGAGATCTACACTCTGCTGAGTGCACCTTTCTAGTTGTTGGTCTGTTTGTAGTCAACAAAAGTCTACAGCTGTCACCATGTTTGTGTACAGTTTCCATGCTTACAGGTGGCCATAAAGCTTAAAGGTAGCTTACCTTCTGAGTGCTAGCCTGTGTTTTCATGCATCTGTTTTTGTTGCCGCCTCTTGAATAATTTTCAGCAGGACTGTGGATCCGTTACGTCTATAGATCTGTTACTTTTTTTCCTTCCAATAACCGCTAACGCACCTCAAGCGGCTAAATCCCCTTATGAAGAAGAGACATTTTGGGTGGTTGTATTTCATCATAGTTTTTTTCTAAAAAAGGTTTATGTGTTTAGTGTCTTGTCATCAAAAAATGACATCAACAAGTATTTTTGTCATAGCTTTGGTTACGACAAAGTTGTCGTAAACAAAGTTGTTATACACTGGAATTTAACCATTTTACTGAAACCCTTAATTGCAACATTACACAACATAAATGAATTAATGGCAGTGAAGGATGAATGGATATTTCCTAAGCACATTTAAACAGTACTGAGTACTTCCTGTTGTTCCTTGTTGTGTAAAAGTGATGCCAAAACATGTACTAGTAACTAGGCATAGTTTACATGTGGGTGTCTTATGTGTGGATGTCTGGGAATGGAAACCAGGCGCTTTTGTGCTCTGCCAACACAGGCAGATGTTGTTGCATCGTCAGCTTGGTGTATCTAGAAGTAGCTTAACGAGCTCAGCAGGACCCCTCACATCAAACACTGCGCTAATGGCTGATAAACTCATTGGGGTTGGTCAGGCCGGACAGCAAATGGGCACGTTTACGTTCAAGGCAGTACAGCAAAACCTCAGTTTGCTTCTCAAGCCATTCGTTCTTGATCCAAGCCAGCTATTTTCATGAGATGTTAAGAGGAAATAGCTTTCTGGTTTATGGGAAACCAATAAAATGTCAAATCCTTGACTGGTCAAGCAGCAGCTTGTTATAAAAAAGAGAAAAGACTTTTGTGAGGTAAAGAATGACAACGACAGATGGAAAGAGACAGGCTGGTGTGATGTCATGTTAGACAAGACTTGGAGTCATTTCTGGTGGAGATCAGGTTTAAAAAACACGAATGAAATGCACATCAAAGAGCTTATCAGGACAAATCAACAGAGTGATTTTCAGTAATTTACCTCATATGGAAAAGGGAATAAATTCTAAACAGATGCTCAGGTTCATTTGCATTTTGTCAACAACAGAGTGGGTTGTCAAAGTGTTTCCTTTTAGTTTTATATGATTGCCTGCACATAATCTCCAGACAAAAACTAAAAATACACTGCACACATACAGTATAAATTACTGGCCCAGGCCTAATTCAGTAAATCTTGCTAAAAGTGCTTCACTTTCCCTGCATTTATTAAACGAGATGAACATGTGTCCGGCGAAAACTGGCAGGATGAGACTGGAAGAGAAGAATAAAAGACCCTAGAGGCACATTAAAGGTTTTGAGGAGTGAAGTTTAATGGGATCATGATTGTCTTTGTCGGTGGTCAAATATTGAATTGGTTTACAGGACAAAAAGCACAACCAGAGCCACTCCTACATTCACTCAGCCAACTAAAAGTCTCTACGTTAGATACACCATCAGTGCAGGATAAAACTCCAGAACCGCTTTCAGCAGCTCAGTGTTACAGAAGGTCATTACTTTTGACAAATGACAGATATTTTGCTTTTTTCGAAGGTTGGGCGATGGGCTGCCACATCTTATCTTTCTCACTTCGTCCGAACACACGGTTCCCAAATCACCGTTTTCATCTCCTCCAATCAAAGGGATTTATTGTTCTAGCTGGCTAAAATTCTTTCTCTCCTTTCTCTTGTATCTGGGTTATCTCTCCTCTCTGATCATGCTGGTTGAGATCAGTGTTATTCTCCGGGAGAGTAAAAGTGACCTCAGCCTGACTCATTGGTCTGGGCTCTACGACATGCAGAGGCTGACAGAGAGACAGACTGGCAGAGTGCTGCTGGGTAGACAGATGGACAGAGAGACGGAGGTACAGGCGGGCAGGGTCCTAAGGTTGCCCCATGATGGAGAAGGAAGGAGGCATATTAGTGCGCTAACAGTCCGACCTTAATGGCCGGACTGTTAGCGAAGGGGGGAACTGGGCTACAGCCGACGTCACAGCGTGCTAGTTGTAGAAGCGGCCAAACGCTTTCCTATGTAGATCCTAAAAAGAGAAAGTAGGAAAGAGAAAGTTGATCATTTGCTAAACCCCTCCCAGAAACAGCAGTTGTCCAATCATAACTTAGCAACTGTAACTAGCTTCAGAAGGCCTGTCATGTTTTGGGTTTCTTGATAAGTTTTGCTACAGATATTGAGTAAGTTTGTGTGTGTGTGTCTCACCCGACTCCAAGTGTGAGCAGGTGTGAAGCCAGCAGAGAGGGAACAAGGATGAGGAAAACATCAGAGGAGAAGATTCCTCTCTTCATCACCTCAGTCTTCCTCACGCTGAGGGAGCTTTGCTGCTTAGGGTGCTGAAACACAAACTCTCTGCAGAGAAAGTAGAGTGATGCAGGCAAAGGGAGGATGGAAAAGGAAAAAAACAGAGGTAATGAGAACACGAGAGAGAAAACCGAGAATGCAAGAACGGTTGCGAAGTAGAGAGACCATTAAGAACTACTACCTGTCGAATAGACTTATTGAAATGCAGAAGATTAAACGTCAAGTGTGGCAGCGTAGAAGAAAATGAGTGTGATTCATGTGCTCCTCAACACTCAAAGGTATAATGCGTAAACATAATTTAAGGCACAGCATTGGAACATGCTGTCAAAGTTAAGAGACCCGGTGACGAAAAGACTCACTGCGCCAAGAAATAGTTGCAACACGTAACTCCCCATAAAACCACAAAATTGTTGTTTTGTACCGATTTAAACAAACTAAATACAACACGCTGATTAGTGTGCTTTAGAGGTGCTGGGAGGCAGAGAGAGGTAGGCTAGGGGTTTCCCCTGATTTCACTCTTTATGCTAAGCTAAGCTAATAGCCTCCAGTTCTATATACACCAAAGTGAGAGGTATTGATCTTCTCGTCCAACTCTTGGCAGGAAAGTACTATTCCTTTTGAACTTTTAAACACCTATACGTCTTTGCAAGTGCTTCCAAGTACTCTAATAACTGAGGGATGTTGTAAAAAAATGAACGCAAACGTAAATAACTATAAAAGAAAGTGAACTAAACTTAACCGACTTAATAAGAGCTGGTCTTACTTTGGTGGCATATTTTCAGGTCTACTGGACCAATCCCACACCCAGTCAGTGTCACCTCGCCGCTCAGTTTCCTCCTGCAACGTGCATAAGGGATCAGATAATGTGCAAAGACCAGACGACACAGAAGAGAAAATCCAGACAGAGAAAGTGACTTTAACCTGAGAAACCTCAGCACATGTATTACTGATACCTATATCCACATCGACTTGAGTTTGAACATAAATCTTAGGAAGGAAATCTCAAACAACAAACCATTTAGCGAGAAGCAACGGCTCAAAGACAGATCAGTAAAACAGAACAACTTCCATGAGATAGATGACCTATCTAAAGCAAGTAATATCTCTGCAAAGTGATTGTTTAACTTTAATAAATGGAAATGAGTGGCAGGAAAGTAGGAAATCAAAAAAAAAAAAAGGTTCTTTGGTAAGTGGTCGGCAATAATGTAAAATAAATTGTATTAAAAGTATACTGTATTTTTTGATTTGTAGGTAATGGGCTCTAAAAACAAACCACCAGTCACAACAAAATGAAATGTCTGTATTTTTCTGATTTATCTGTTTTTGATTTAAGATTACAAAAGGGAGGATGCACTTATCTGATGGATATTAATGACACATGTCAGTGTTCAGAATGAATACCTGAATGGTGATACAGTCACTGTCATGCTCACTACTGGGTCTCGGGGAACCGGTGGACCGTGGAGTCCCCTCCTGCGTAGGACTGTGGACCACAAACAGACATTTACAATGTGGGTTTAAGTAACAAGATATGGACAGACTGCAGTTTCTGTTAAAACAAACAAACAAACATGAAGAAAGTAAACACATATTGTGAAAAACAAGCAAAGTTCCACTGAGCACAGAATGAAACTCATTACTGTGCAAATTATTCTTACACCGCGCTGTGCAGCTCAAACCCCCTAACAACAAAGCTGACACAAATAAACACCCACACAAACAAACTGCACCATTACCTGTCTCTACTCCTCTCACACTCCAGCTGTGCCTCCAGAAGGATCCTCTCCAGCTCCCCCTGCAGGGTGGAGGAGACGCTGTCCTGCGGCCCTGCAGGACTCTCTCTGCGGCTCACGGCTGTGATCAGCTCCTCCAGCTCGACCCAGGAGCCTGATGAGGAAACAATAGGAGCAGCAGAGTTTGTAATGATGCTCAGGCAGCCGGCAAGGAGGCAGACGGTGATGAGGCTTCATGCACATATGCCACACTGCATGAGCCAGAAAGAGAGTAAACAGGAGGAAGGTAAACAAATCCATAGCCTAATAATTTAGTGTTGAGTCACATTTTGTTTTGCTGCTGAGAGCAGACCTGTCACTGGGAATAAAATATTTAAAATATTAAATTAAATGCAGTTTCATTCATTAATATAATGTGTTCATGTTATGTGACTTACAAACACATTTAAAACAAAAAACTGGACATTAATTAAATAAAAATCAACTGAATTGTGTTTGTAATGATGTGTTTGTAAGTCACAGGACATGAAACGCATTCTATTAATGCATGAAACTGCATTTAATTTAAAAATGTTCCCCCATTACTGGCCACTGTATCTTTTGTTGCCCTGAATAACCCACTAATCCCATTATGAGGCTCAGAATGATGCATGAAGTGAACCTTCTTTCACTTGTACAATAAATATTTTTCTCTGAACAATTGCAATATTATTATTTCAACCATATCGGCCAATTCGTTTCCTTCTATAATGTTGCAGCTGGTCAGTGAGTGGACAGGTGTGTGTGTGTGTGTGTGTATGTGTGTGTGTGTGTGTGTGTGTGTGTGTTGACATATGGGGACTTATGCAGCACCACGGATGTCCTGACGTGACATTCGATGACCGGCGAGACGATGGACGCTAGATGGACATTCAGCTGGACAGCGTTGTGTTACACACATGGACACGCAAACACTGAGACCGAGTAAAGACAGAATCTGCGTCCCTCAATCAACGAGTTTGGAGAACGCACACAGACTGTGAATGAATGAATGGTCACTCCGGTTCATTGGGTCCATGAGCAGGAAGAGATTTACACAAACACGCACACACACACACACACCCACAGTCAAACAGTAGGGCAAGGCTAACTCAGGCTGACAGCATGCTTGCTTATGTAAGATCTTATTTCTGTTAGAGATTAGCCATTCCCCCTCTGCCTTCCTCTGCTTGGTTCTCTCTTGTCATGCTGTCTGTAGCCCTCTGTGACATAGGCAGCATTTACAAAATATCAACACCTCATCTGTCCTCATCTGATCGCTCTAATCCTCACTTTACACGGGTTTTTGACACTGTAATCGCACAAAAAGCAGCAGAGGGGATAGAGACATAAGTGGGCACAGAGCTGGAGGGAGGGGAGAGCAGGGGAACTGTGCCATTGCCCTAGTTATTTATTTATTTATTTTTTACAGAGAGGGGTTATGACATAACAACTGCCTTGCTGCCTGACTTATCTATCTGTCATCATTCTGCAGCACTAAATCAGTTTCTATGGTGCAATCCCTTACACATCCATCCGTGACACTGCCAAATCAGCTTTATGTAATGTGGACAAGAGCTGGATGCTAAAAGAATCAATGAACTGCAGCACAACAGGCTTGTTTTTGATTTGCTATGAATGTCTGCTTCCAGTTTAGAGACAGTGCAGAAATGTCAAAGGACAGGGAGGGGGCGAAAAGTGGGGAGGTTATGTTGTCTATGCTTTTTTTTGCTGGAGGGAGGATAGTGGGATTGTTTTGGGATAGTTTTTTCTTGCCTGGAATTTAGATTTAATTTCAGCTTTTAGACAGACTGAATAGTTACATTGTTTGCATTTACAAAGGCGCATTTTGTGTCAAATCTAACTAAATTAATTTTCATGCATCTTTTTTATGCATCTTTTCAATTTGAGGATAAAAATACACAAGTGCCAATGCTGAACATTTTAAAACAAAAGGTTCTTCTTGAGTGATTTAATGGCCCCGGACTTGAGAATCAGTACTGGACGGACACAAAATAACATTTCCTTTCGCAGATTTTGCTTTAAATTTGCGCCACATTTGGATGGAAACTGGTAATAACTGTTCATTTAGTAGCCCTTAGTTCAAAAATAGAGAGCAGCGGGAAATTTTCTGTAAACGCTACACACATTTGTTATTTTTTTGGGCAATTGCTACCTATTATGTGCAATTCAGGCAGTGTAAAAAAATATTGTCTCATTCACATGTTGAACTGGTATGACACGTTTTTCTAAAGGAGGTCGTTCAAGGCAAAAATTGATAAAGGAGCTCGGCCAATAAATTTGCCAAATATATCAGCCGATACTACCTTATTGTAGATTTATTGGTGTCAGCTGATAAATAAGAAGAAATTGCTTTACAGAAATGGAAAACTTTGAGGTATTTAGAAACCGTGTCGCCATTACATGACAAGTTAACAGAACACTGACGAGATGATTTTACAACTTTAAAATGTCCCACTGACTCTGTATCTCTGTCACAATTCTTACAAAAAACAACTCATCGAAAGGATTGTTAATATTATAAGTTAATATATACATATTTATATATAAAATCGGACTTTTCAAACTTCCAAATATTGATATTAGTATTGGCCTTAAAACTCCGTTATTGCAAATAATGGCCTATAACTGATAACCCTGTCTTGCTTTTTAAAAAGTCAAGTATAAGGCTCAACTTCACTTCCATACAGTCCTTTAGTGTCCTGCTCCGAACATTATTACCCAGCAGCCTCTGTGCCAATGTGCATGCAGCACAGTGAAGCTATAAGCGTCAGGAAATCTCCACATCTTAATTGGCTTAAAGAGATACAAACAGGTGAGTCAGGGAATCCGTTTACACAATGACAGTGTCAGTGGCAACAACAATGCAAACTACACCAGCAGTGCCCTCTTCTCTCAGTGGAATCGTCTCTCGCCTGCTGTCATTATGACGATGTCATATGATGATAGGATGTCTGCACGTCATATCTGCACTGAGCGAATGAATGGGCTCGTTATTTACCCATTTTGTTGATATTTGCGTTTTGGGAAATGAAATCGATCTGTACACGCAACGGCTTCAATAAGGATCTCGGTTATTGTTTCTACACGTGCGCAAAAACAGCCTCTACGTCACGGCCGTGAAAGGCAAATAAATAAACGTCATATAACAGAAAAAACAAACTGCCTGGTTCATGTACCACCATCACTCACCGTAGAGTCCGTCTTCTGGTGTCTGCGAGCCGGACAGAGACATGCTTGAACGCCGGGGTCTGGATGGAGAAGAAGCACAGAGCTCGGAGAGATGCTGACACTGGCCGAGGACTAGCGGGTGCAAATGGGTTTCTGCCGTGTACGCTTTTCACTCTTGAGTTTGTTGTTGTCTAAAAGAGACACCGGGCACCGACGCTGCGCTAATCCCCCCCCCCCCCCCCCCCCCCCCCCCCCCCCCCCCTCCCTCCCCATCCCTTTCCCACGTGCCAGGAGGGAAGAGGTAAACAAAACAAGCTGAGAAGAGCTCAGCAGGGTCAAAAGCCACACCAACAACAAGGTGCATGACGCAGTGTGTGCCCAAACAATTGCACATTAACCACCATTTTACTGGTAATTTACTTAAAGTTATCCATACAATTATTACGTAAGAAAGTTTGATTTATACCTCATTACTTTTTTTTATAATTTGACATGAAAGTACAAAAACACCACTTTAACTTCTATATAGGCTACATATCACGTACTAAATCTCTCAGCTCACTGTTGATGATGATCACATAATCTATGGCAGCAATTACAAAATTGGAGAGACTAAGTCATGTGATGGAGACTTCTGGCTCAGGCCCCGCTTGAAAATAACATGCCCAAAATTAATATTTCTACAGCTGCTCTGCCTATTTAAATGATTTCACTATCATAATGAAGGTAACACTTTTGTGAACAGACTGATGCTAATAAAATGAAGCAGAGCAAAGTTGGAGACTTTTTAGAAAAAAGCAAAATAATGGTTTTGGCTGTATGAAGTGAAGTTCATTTTTTCTCTTCTTCGACTGCTAGTTTAGTGAGTTTTGGTCGGAAAGACTGTTGGAATCTGGAGTCTCAGCTTCATGTTTCTGTTTTTGCATGTGGCATGAAGTAGCAAAATTGATAGCAGCATTTGCGTGTTTTTACTGTATGTTCATTTAGTTTTCTTGGTGTTGGAATTGTGTTTCGCTTTGGTAAAAAATGTTTATCATGAGCTGAGCTTCTATCTGTTATGTGGGTATGAATATGTCGCTATACATGTTTAACATGTTTGTTGCGATGACCGCAGCTGCCCCCAATACTGGAGTTATCTGTCTGTTGAATAGTGTTTCTGTTTGGATTAGGGATAAAGGATGGTTCAGGTAGAGGAAAACACGTCGATGGGAAAACAGCACTGGTGCGGGAACGCTGGGGAATTAAAGATCCTTACTTTATAAAGAGTTGAACAAGAATCTGAATATTAGAGTAGTAACTAGTGGTTTTATTGATGATAATACATCATTTTGGGTGTCCAGCTTTAAAACATTCCCTTCGGCTGGTGTGTATCCTTTTGTAATAAAGCAGTTACAGATGTTGGCAATTCATCAAAAAATACTTTCACACTGTCTAATAAGTCAACAAGTCTAGAATTATGAATTCTAAATGTTAATAAGTTAATTATTTATGGGTTTTATTCTTTCCAATATTGGTTCATAAGAGTGTCTACCTGATAAACTAAATAACTATCTAAAAATATAAGTCAAGTCTCTTTCTGGAGGACCAAACACCAGCCAGTAACCACTTCCACTCATTTGATGAAGCAACCGTTTGGAAACCACAACTTGCAAATTCCCAGAAATTAATAGCCTCAGTGTCCTCAATAACAACTAAAGCCCAGAACACCTTGATAGTAAACGTTTCTGATTTCTGGTTTCAAAATCACATAAATATCTAAAACACTTTTATTAATAAACATAAACCAAAAGCTGTGGCAATCAGTAAATACCTTAAGAAACGTTATCAGTATAATGAGCGCACACTTCATTTGTGGTAAAAGCATTTTTGTTTTAAAAAGAGTGGATATATATTCTATATATCTTTAAATGAAAGGGTCAATTGACATTTACCCACAAAGTTGGTAGTGGTAGAAGTAGTAGTAGTATTCTGGTCTGATGGTGGTACCACATACAGGGTTACCAAAACATTGATATTTTAGGTGTATTCACAGTACATTTGCCAGGAAACCATGTTTTAAAGTTGGGTTTGAACCAAATCGTCAGTCAGGGGTAACTTTATCTGTCACTAAAAACAATGGAAATCATCCTCTGGGCACCATGAATGTCCATCCAAAAAATGTCGTTCTCTGACTAGCAAAACTACAGATCTGTTCATGATCAAGAGACACATGGTTTGTCACATTCTGCCCTCCAGCCACATTCCCACTTCCTCAAACCCATTCATTGGCATTCTCTTCTTGTCCACCAGATGCCCTCTGACTATTTCCCCCGTCCCATCCAGACACTCCCTCCTGCCCTGCAAAAGCCCCTTTTCCTTCAGTTCCAGTCACTTGACCTTCCCCGACCACCTGCTCACCTGTTCCTACTTTTCCTCTCAGCCCTGAAGATATTTAACCAGCCCTGTTCCACTCTCTCCACACCTGCTCCATGTTGTGCTGTAATCTGCATTCAGTTATCTGTTCTCTGAAACCTGAAATCTGGAACTTGTTACATGTCTGTTTTGAACCTCTGAAGATTTAAATTTTAATATATATATGTATATATATAAATCTTTCCTCACAGGTATGGAACAGTTTGTACTGAACACCTACAACATTACACTGTAACCTGTTTTGAAAAACTATAGAATAAATATATTTTACAACATATATATTTCAGCTCTCTAATCCAGGGATTTCCATGCAAAATGTCCTAGTTAAAGATCTTTCTAGTGGGCTGCAGTTCTAAAGTCAAATTATTAAGGCTAGTGCCAACATCTAGAAAATATATATAGTTTAAAAGCACTCCCTTTTAATCTTTGGCAAGCTGCATATAGGCTGGAAAGTACCCTTTGATGTGTGCCTTAAAAACATCAAATGAAATGGACCAGAGAAGATCAGGATGTTCACGGTTGCTGCATCATCGGCATCATATACCTGGAGAACATTTAAGAACTCAGTGTTATATTTACACTATTTTTAATGAATGAGATCAAGCATTTGTTTAATATTTTTCCGATTGTGGCTGTATCTAATGAGCCCCATGGCCCCATCATCATCATCGTCTATTTCTGTGGCATTCCTTTAAGACGCTTGGCATCAGCGACATCAGCAGCGCACCGACTCGGAGATGGATTTCATTCATGTAGCCAAGAGCAAACAGAGAGGATGTGCACACACTATACTCTCATCATCATAATGTTTTAACCCCTTTACTCTGATTACTTACTAATAATGAACAGTTCAGTCAACACAAACAATAAGGGTGAATTGTAATGAAACAAAAAAGAAAAACAACATCACCACCTGGTGGAGAGAGCAACCAAAAGACATCCTTGTCCCGAGGCAATTCTATCTACCAGCATCAAAATGAAAATACAGCTCCATACAACTGCCTTATAACTTTTGTGTAAATCACTTTTGTAAGACTTATTTGAGGTAGACAATAAGACCAATGCATTAAGAATGATGCAATGTATTGTTAGTGCCTTTTGGTGCACAGCAGCAGCCCGAAATCTCTCTGCTTTCACAGTCTATCTTCTCAACCATTTATTATGTTGCCAAGCAGCATTTCTCTCCTGACCTCCAGCCTTGTTCCTAGACAAGAGGACGGACAGGGAAAGTCATTATTCGGCCCAGAAACAAAGCAGAAAAAGTTCCCTCATCCATCAAAGCCGCTTAAGATCTTTGACAATGTCCTGCACCCCGGCTCAGATCAAAGAGAGAGACGCCAGTTGTAGTCAGGTCCGGTAAATGACTGCCCACCCTGTTCATCCATCATGCTTGTAACTGAGATAGCAAAATAATAAAACCTTTTCAGGTAATGGCCTCAGTTAGATCTCGCCATTAGGCACGTCCCCTGTCCTGCAACCCTATGATTGATGACTTGATCTGAGCGTACATAAAAGGATCTGCTTAAAATTCACTTTTTTTTTTTGTAGCTGTTCAGACTCAGAGGCTGATTAATGAGTGCCAGTGAAACTAGTGGTGTTCTTCTGGTGGCTCTGTGGGCACAGTTAAAAAACATTATTCTGATTGGCTATATGCAGGGAGCTTATTAGCTTGATAAAAAAGATTTACAGTTTGTGGGCTCACCTCGAGTGGATGCTAAAAGACTCACGTGGACAACACAAATCCAGATAAAGAGAGAGATATACCGAGAGTCATGATGTGTGCTAGACACTCTTTACAATGTCATGTGGATCAAAGACACAAGCTGCGGTCGAATACTCCTTTTTTTTCAACTGGAAGTATCTAAGCGGCAGCCATGATGAGAGTTGGTCAAATTCTCTAAATGCTAAGGAAAGCTTCAGTGCTTCCTTTCTTTCCATCTCATTTAGCTTAGGGCACACTTTACCATCCTTTAGAAAAAGGAAGAGAGATAAAGCTGTGCCACAATTCCTTGCAGTGATAACATTTAAAGCGATGCACGTCAACAACATTCACCGTACATAATTACGTGGCCTAGTGTAAGTGCAGTGGCATTCTCTTAGCAGCTTTGTGTGGGTTGTAAAACCGATACACGGCTAAATAAATCTTGTGTCTGTCCTATTTGAGATTACGGTGCAGGGGTCTGGGGTTATTGTAAGCAAACAAAATGTGACGCAGTTCAAGAAAGGAGCTATTTGCCGTTTTCTCTGTCTGCATAAAAAGTATCTGATGGGATGGGAGCCATGTGAAGTGCGGCATAAGGGTGACATGTTGCGACTGTGGATTTTTGACCAAGCCCGAGAGCAGACTTACCAAACACATTTTCTATTGGGATCTTTCAAATAATCATTTTTTGGGCATGGGAGCATGCAAAAATATTTTATTTTCAAGGCAGAACGTCCTGATTTGTTTTCCATGACTGACTTCAGTACCTGTTTACAAAGTGTTTCACCTAGCACAGTTTGTGTTGAATGTCTACCAACAGCGTAGGAGGGAGCTTTATGTTTGATGTGTTAAAGGCACAGTCTGTGCCCCAGATGTTATGTTTTAATGTGGAAGATGGATTGCGTTCATATTTGCTTTAGCTTTGTTTGACATGCATGGAGGTGTATTAGCATATATTTGTTGTTTCGCTCTCATTATTTTATTGTTTATTGTTTGTTATGTCTGTCTTGTAAACCCACATGGGCTGGGCACCTTTTGGTGCTTAATGATTTGGAAAAATACATTTACCTACTTATTTACTTATCACTACAGTTGTCTTTTCCTAAGTCCTTATGAATTATCCTTCATATCTTTCCTTGACCTCATGACATTTTGATCAAAGTCAAGGAGAAGCGGTGCTCTGTGCAAAATGCTAACACCAGTATGCTAACATGATGATGCTATAGGGCACATGTATTTTGTTAGTCAGTAATCTAAGTATAGGTTACCATGCTCACCATCTTAGTTTAGCATGTTAACTTGCCAATATCTAATTTGTACAAAACACAAAGTACAGCGAAGGGAATCTCATTAGTTTTGCAGTATTGTACAAATCTAAGTTCTGACCTCATGGTGGCGCTAGAGGAATCAGAGGATCAACAAAAATAGTTGGTGAGATAATCCATTTGGGTTTATTTAGCCTGGGAGGTAGGAACATTACCTAACCCTGGGAGGTAGGAACACTATATTAACCCTAAGTAATATAGTTTTTTTTACTATTAAGTTTTTCTAAAACTGCTTCTTTAGCTCTTCAAAGATGCTTTGAGCCTCACACATCTCCACTATAATCACCAGCAGGACAGTTGAGTTGTGGAGAGCTTCAAACACCGACAAAATAGAATGGATGATTAACTAAACACCACCTATAAACTCTGCCTGCAGAAGCTCTTTGTCGTCTGTAAACTCAAGGTCCTGTCTGAAGCCGATAGACTGCTCAGCCTCTTTAGAAGACGCATCTGTCCTCCTTCCATTGTCCTCCATCTGCTGCTTCACCATGCTGTCATGTCTCCAACAGCCAAAAAACATGCAAGTATTTTCACATCACTCGCCTTTCAAATTGTCGCAGACGTCAAAGTCGCTGCAGCCGAGTAAAAGCAAAGCTCACAGTGCAGCACATTGCCCTGCACACCCTTTTAACCAGTGCGTCACTCTGCTTCAACCCAGCTGCAGGCGCAGATCCTGGGGCCTGTTCCTGAGTTATCTGGTTTGCACGACAGATTTTAGTTTATATATTTGTCCATGTTTTCGATTTGGGGTCCATGTTTGTTACTTCCCAATGATATCCAGCAAAGTAATCCGGCTTTTTGGAACAAGTGGATCTGCAATCAATCAGTCCGTCATGTTGTTTATAGGATTGTTTTGATGCCACTATGACAAAAAATATTTCATCAGTTTCTTGTTACGAGAAACTCATTTTTACAAGATCATGTATAACAAGATATCTTTTCATGTTATTACTAGATAAGCCACCAAATTGTTCTGTTTTAACATGAAACATATCACTAAACATCCTCGTTATTTCCTAGAATCAGCCCATAAAAAGACTAACTTTTATCATTTTAACATGGTATGCTGTTATATAGAGAAACGTGTGGAGGGTCTCATTAAACCCTCTGAAGATTAATTGAATCACTGTGCCCTTGGATAGGTGCCACCATTATGTGTAAAGATTGCATATGTAAAACATATGCAAAGTTGTGCATGTACTGTATGGGATAATTTAACTGCTAAAAGACATGCCTCTTTATTCATATATACACTTCATGTATTCCATAGGTATATCCCCTTATGTATCATGCCCATTCATCTCCTATTACTGTAAAATGCGCAGAAGTAATTGGGCTCTTTTCATGAAATTATATTCGAAATCCATTCAAATGAGGATTCCCAGAAATGAGGTCTGAAAGTGTAGTGAACATCTGAGAGATGAAAAAAGAAGATTCATGGGATGTTAATGTAAGTCTGCTAGCGAGAGAGGAGATGGGACAAGATAAGTGATCAGAGCTGATAAAATGGGATGAGATGTCTCAGCCCTTAAGGCATGTAAGTGCAGACTTTATCTCTATCGCCGCTGTATGGAGTGGTTTCTACTAACCAGCCTCAGGTAACAACAGCCAGTGCAGTGATGATGGGGTCCACATTCAACAATAAGAAAAAAAAATCAATTTGTTATAGTCATCAAGCCTGGACACAAACAAGGGGCTCAGAACTACAGACAGAAGACAACAAAAAGCAAAAAACACGTGATTTATTTCACACAGATTGGTGTTTTGCCTTCTTATTTGCATGCACAACACTTCCGCATGTTGATTTAGAGCGGCCTGAAAACACTGGATCGGTTTAACCTTCGATGCCTGTGGATCTGCCTGTGCATCAGAGGGCCATTGTCCATGTGTCTCTATTATCCTGCTGGTCACGGTTCCCCGCCCCTGCCCCCACTCATATGGGAGATATCTGTAGAATAATTCTACCTGTCTGTTCCTATATCCTTCTCCCTCCTTCTCTCCCCCCTTCTTCCTCCCTCTCTCTGTGTGCATGACCTTTCTGCATTCCTCCCCAGCTGACCTTGGTGTCCTGTCAGCTCTTTCCTTTTCCCCACCTCACACTACTAGCTGGTCTTTACCACCACCCCCGTTAACCACCCCGTGCCCCTCATTTCCACCCCTTCTGACTGCTTCTTCCCTCTGTGTCCCTCGGTTCCGCCCCCTGGATCACTTTTGCTCCCCTCTCTCCTCCCATTGCTGTCTCCCTCTTTGCTCTCTGCAGCTGTACATACTCTGCTTTTTAATTAGACCGACTCACTAGCTCCACCTCCGACTGCCTTCTACTCTCCGTCCCACCCCCCACCCCCGAGCCCTCCCACCCTCACTTTGCATACAAGGATACAGGGGCTTGCATGGCGACACAGAGAGGAGGTCATGATGGAGAGACGCAGAGAGAAAGGGGGAGAGAGGAAAAAGGAACAAGACAGGGGGAACTGAGAAGAGCATCTGAGAGCATAACTGCCTGTTTGCTCACTCTTGTCGTCTTGCTCCCCCTCCTGTCCATTCACTTCCACTCGCAGCACGAACGCTCAGACAGTGAGGTAGGCACAGCGGAGCTCAGCGCTCTGAGGGATGGATAAATAGGTTCCCACGTGAAAGGCATGCATCCACAGAAGAAGAGCAGAGTGAGATAGAGGAAGACACAACCAGAGAGGAAAGGAGAGAGAGGTGAGGAGGAGAGGAAAGGGAGACAAGAGAGAAGCAGATGGACTCTACACAGAGGAAAGGAAACGGTGTGAAGCTCACCAAGCAGCAGTGACAGAGAGGTGGGAATAAGAGCAAACGATGAACGCCAGAGGGATGGAAGAATGGGCTGAAGAGACGTGAAGGAATAGCAGAGAAGCGGAGCGAGCATTTGTGGGAGAAAGAGACAACACAGAAGGGAATCAGGAAGAGAGAGATGTGGTATGTGTGACTCAGTTCTGTGTCCTGATGGAAGATAGTACAGCAATCTCCCCATCAGCCCTCTCTCAGCATCACCATAGAGATAACGGAGTGAGAAAGATCAGAGCTGAGGACAGATTTAAAAACGCACAAGTATCTGTTTTGTTTTTGTGCAGTTGACGTGGGCAACGAGTACCTTTTTACTTTTGGCTGTTTTTACATTCTGCTGAATTGCACAATGAAAAGAAAGGCAGTGTGCGTCCTTGCATGTGTGCACACACGTGCGGGCATACATTTTGTTTATGTCTTTGGCAGGTGTGTGTGTGTGTGTGTGTGTGTTTGCCTGTACGTGCACATATTTATTCTGACAATGGGGGTGTGTTTGTATGCTCATATCGTGCCTGTGTGTGTGTGTAAAATCTAGTGAAAGGGATATCGTACGTGTGTGTTTGGATACTGGGATTTGCTTTACTGCAGGTGTGGGAGTTGTTTTCCGAGATTGTGCAGCTTTATGAGAAGCTTTAAAGAGTGAGGAGCTTAGATTGGTCTGTCAGTGATGTAGCTTTGCAGATTCCAGCAGCGTGCTTTCATTGCATATTTGTCATGAGCAGGACTGTGTGTGTTTGTGTGTGCAGTGGGGGGTGTACGCAGAAAGTTTGAGGAGGAGGCACTGAGCGAGGGAATTCCATTTGTATGGATCTGTGTGTGTGTGTGTGTGTGTGTGTGTGTGTGTGTCTTGGCAAGATCCAATGCGTAATGTTCTGGCATTTAATTTTCAAGTAATGTGCGACATTGTTACTGCATTTCAATAATACTAGTGTGCTTCAACATTATGCATCTACATTTACTTTGCATTATCCTTCCTGTTTCTCAATTAACTTGGCTCACAGCAATCTTGTATTGACAAGCATCATACTAATGCAATTGCACATGCACTGTCATGCATGCATGTGCACCATCAAATACACATGCATGCACTCACCACACACAGGTGCACATTGCACACACACACACACACACACACACACACACACACACACACACACACGCACACACAGTTGCAGTGTGAAGAAATGCTGTGCTGTTAATCTTGTCTGTTGTCACACAACTCTTTGCTCCTGTTCTCTCACTCACTCTGCTCTCCACTACATTGTATTTCCCTTTTATCTTATCTCATCAGTGTGTGTTTTCAGGGGTCAGCAATCTCCATCTCCCAGCCATCACTTGCCTACCACTTAATCCTTTTCTCACATTGCTTATAAATCTGTCTTCTGACACCGCCACTTCATTTTCTCTCTCTCTACCCAACAGAAGTTGATGTAGCCCTCTTTTAAACTTTTACTGTCTTCTGCTTTCGCCATGCTCGGGGAATCTGTCTGTCTGCTGGCCAGGTATTTTCGTTGGACTGACGGCAGCTTGGCTTTATAGGTAATGCACTATGATGTACTCTTGGGACATTAGTTTGGACAGGGACTTTGCAGCACGACAGCCTAGCAGAGAGTAACCCCCGGGGAGCGGACTGTGCTGCATGTACATGTAGCTTTTGTGCACTGGACATGTCAATAAAGTCACTTGTTGTGTTTGGCTGCTGATTTCTCAGACCTTCGGATTATTTCACCTCTGAATCCCTTCAGAGGTGAAATAATCAGGGCATAAAAGAACTAACCAGCCAGAGAAACCAGACAATTAGTTCTGCTGAAAGAAAACAATGTTTACTATGGCTGTCTTTCCCAGATAGCCAAACATCATCAAATTTGTTCACAGTTGGCTAAATTTGCTTATCACAATCCATTGGCCTAGATTTAGGGATTTCATACTAGGCATAGGATTTTGGTCAAAAGAGGACGGATGAAACAAATCATTTCTGGCAACCGCACTCTAAAAGTTTGAAATAATCCGGCCACCCTTTAAGGAAACTTGAACAAGAAGGGTGGCCGCACTGTCGTCTTAAGTGACGCGCTAGCCAGTGGCTTTGCAAGCCGACATTTGTGTTTGTTTGTGTGACAGTGCAAGTAGTGTTTAACCTTGAAATATTTGCATCCTGTGTTGTTACTTTCATGAAGATCATTAGAGTAGAGTGTTAAAATGTCGCAAACCTGCAAACACCAACATAGTTAGGGAGTCTGACGAACAGTCCTGCGATTAAAAAAAAATCAATGTTTTCACATTCCAACAGCTGTCAACACAACACTGGCATATCATACATTTTTAAGTTCATGGCAAACTTACTAGCAAATTCTAGCTTGTTTACACATCCAGCAGTTACATAGCAACATTATAATTTATTTAGAGCCGTGTTTGTGGCCACCCAGTGAATCTAAGTCCAACATTCACTCTATTTAAGCTCTGTTTTGGTCAACAACAACTCCTGAGGGAAATATCTGGCACTTTAGCTGCTAATACTCCACCGTGTTGACCAGCTGGAAGCTCCAGTAACTGTGTCTTGGAGCTTGAGGCGAAGTTCACCTTATGGCACCTGCAGGTTTCCTTCAACTCTCTGCCATGGTGATTACCACTTGTAGGATAACTTTATTTTGACAAAACAAAAACACTAGAACCTTCCAAGCTCTCTGTGTGTAGATGCAGAATGCTGCAGCTATAGTGTCGGGTGAAATATGGCTTGCCGTGACGGCTTGACTGTAACTGGCCAAGCTGAATGGCTGTGCACAAACAATCCAGCATTTACATCTTGCTGCTACAGTTCTACTCGAGCGTCTGACAGGAATACCAATGGCTGTGTTCACTGTGTTGCCTCGGGTTTATAATGAATTAAAAATCGTAATTTAATTTGTGTTTGTTTGCGTAATTTAATTTGCTGTTAAGCATGATCAGGCTTAAGATTGCATCAGTCAGAGGCAGCTGCATCAGTTACACTGTTTCAGCTTTGGGTATCAGCAATGAAGGAATTCATTTTCTCAAGAGCAGATCCCAGACTTTTACGTGCTGCTTTACTTTACTTACTTACTTTGCTTATTTCTAGATACAATTTCTTTAAAGCTATGCTGTGGTCGACTTCTGCTTCAGCATCGCTTATGAATGCATGTAGATCTGTTTACATACCAATCTTTGTCGCCACAGAGTCCTTTATGGCGCTTACATCTGCATTTTTTCAATGTGCTTGCTGGTTTTATTGTATCAAATAAAACTAAACATCCCCCTGTTTGAGACATTGCTGTGCTGTGCTGCACACAATGCTTACCTAACAAAACTGTGTACAAGCAACTCTCAAGGAGTTGTTCCTGAATTTGAGATTTCTTTAGACAACAATGCAAACGGCACAAAGGCTCCTGCACTTTACATCTGTTCTGTGAGCTGACTGTGTGGTGTTATTCCTCTGAGTGCAGGTACCCTTCCTTTTGCTCACAGGGCCAATAACTGATCATATAGCTTTTCTTAGTTCCTCTCCAGTTCCCCCTTAAATGCCCTGACACGCTGATGCTCCTGATTTACCACTTCACTGAACCCTAACCATGACATTTCCTCTGCTGCCAGGGGTTGTTCCCTCCTGCTTCCCCTACCTCTGCCTGTCTGTCTCCCTCCGCCCCGTCTCCCTCCTACTTATTCAGATTCCTACTCCTCTCAGTTTGCTATATGTCTCATAGCATCTCTAAATATAACCAAGCATGTCTACCTCCTCTCCTTCCTCTTCCTCTCTGTGCCTCCTCTTTACCCAGTCCTGTCTGACAAATTTAAGCGTGCCTAGACAATCCGATCTGACATGCCTTTACATAACAATTCAATCCACAGCACCTTCCACCTCCTCAGCACAGTGAGACCCAAAGGTGTTTTTTGGCGTGATGCAATTCTCAACATCCCTGAAAGAATCAGAATATTATTAGATCTGCGAAAGCAGACTCGTGGCTTCTTGTGTTTTTGAATACATCAGATATGTTTCTCAGAGTCAGCACGGCTTAGCATAGGGAGATCAGATGTGACCTTAGCACACGCACAACCTCACACACACACATATACACATCATAAAACCACACACACAGGAAGGCAAGATGATAGAAGCCTATAGTCAAAGTAAAACCTCCTCTGAGAGGTAGGCAGCACGGCGGCTGTGGTAAATCTTAAATAATAACCGAAATGAGTTATGACCCTTGCTGGCATTATGCTGTTGCACACCTTCCTCTTCCTGCCTGGTGATTTATCTCTTGTCTGCCAATAAAGCTCAACATGAAAATGTCACATGTGGTAAAGAGCTGGCCTCAGCCATAGGAGTGAGCTTGTGCAGCATTAAGAGGGGCTGGATTCATTAAAGTGTCAGCGTAAATTTTGATCTGAAGGTAGTTTGCAGTCCGAGATGCAGGAACTGTGGCGAGGAGGGGATGTGGGGCAAAAAGAGGCAGCTGGGGGAGATTGCGGCGGAGGAAGGAGGAAAGATATGTGCCATTGGTGGAAAAAAGGAGATGGGCCAGAAGGAAGAAAGATAGAAAGAGGGTAGGATCAGGATGACACCCCATAGAATGAGTTAAGGTAATGGTCCTGCGAATGGTGGATGAAACTCAGAGGAAAATCTGTCAGGGTGAATGTTTAAAGTAGAGTGCTTTTTACAAGAAATGGGTAGCAAGACTGACGGCCGGAATGAAATGGGATGCTTATAAAAAAATAGGAGGACTGGAAATGTGATTTTTATCCAGGAAGAAAATCTTCAAGGTCAAACGGAAAGTGTAGATCGATTATATGCTATAGATACACATCATCTTTTGTTCTTAAGCCTCTGTAGATCAGGATTCAGTCCCCCTTAGTCTACTATCTACCGTTTGGTCTTCTGTGTGAATCATAAGCCGCTCATCTGTATACACTCCTCATCTGTATACAATCCTCCTCTTCAGAGCCGGGGAAAGAAAGAGGGAAAGAGAGGAAAACAGTGGACGTAAATAAAAGTGGCAGCCCCTCGGGTATCTCTCTCCCTAAATAACCTGGGAGCTGTGAAGGAGTCACTAATTACCCCTCCCATAGCAGAGAGGGGAACAGAGCAACGGCCAGTCACACTCGCACACAGAATTAGCCCGAGCTTGTCAGTGTCAGAGGCTATCACGAGGAGATAACAAGGCACAGATCCATAGATCGTGTAAGGCAAACGACAGCATCACGCCCGACTGCCAGTTGCAGGCAGGAAGTGGAAGTGATATATATATATATATATATATATATATATATATATACGTATCAAGGCCGTAGATCTTCAAAAACAGGCCGCAGAATCAGTGTGATGAGAACATACGACTAAATACAGCGAGGCAGACAAGCTGTCACACAGTGACCAGATGAATCAGAAAGGATGTCACCATGGCAGATCATCAAGGACTGATAACAGGGCCACAGACTGTTTAACATGGAGGAAAAGAAAAATCTGTAAGACACATGCATATGGGGAATAACAGTCACGCTGTGCGCCCATGAGCAGGAATAATAGAAAGACATTTGATTTAAGGAAAGAGAATTGCAGATGAGAGGAATATCAACAGTGAAAGTATCCCCTTCAGCCAATGTGAATAGGCCTTAATTACAATCTCTTCTCACTTGTTGTTCATGGATAGCCCTCGAGTGCTGATGATGTACCCTGTGTTTTCTTTTGCCACCTACATCCTTTCATTACTTTTTTCTGAATTGATGTCTTCTTTTTCCATTCTGTGATGACCCCGCTCTCATGCATTTTTAAAATAGCTGCCTATCTAATATCTCCTTCATTACCCCGAGGAGCAAGCCCATCCTGTTTCAATGGAAATGCAATAATATGGAAACAATTACAGACTCCTTTTATTTCTCTCTTTGTCTCTCTGCTCTTTTCAGGAATTCCACGCTGTCTTCAACCATGAGAGAATGAGTCACTGAGAAGAAGAGCTGCAAAAAGAAAAGAGTGATAAAATCAAAAGGAAAGGAGGGAGAGCGAAAAAAAATTAAAAAAGTTGAAACAGATAGGCCATTATGTGGAAGTACGCAGGCCCAGCCCATACTTTGGTCATCCAATCTCCTGAGGGCCCAGGGGACAAAGCAAGTGGAGAAGGAGGGTCTGCCAAGAAGACAAGCCAATGTGATGGACACAGAAAGGATGGACAGGCTACATTTTCTTCCTCCCTGCTTATTTGCCGGTAACCTGCCCAGCCTCATCAAGAGTTTGTCTCCCTGTAAAGAAGCTGAAGTGCACAAATTCAGAAGAAATGTGAGGGTGTGGTCATTTCTCACATTCTCATTTTAATGAGTATTTGATGCTGCATATATTTATTTTTGTAACAGTGTAAGATAAATGCTAACCCAAGGAGGTTAGAATTTATCACAGTGATCTTTACTTCATTTTTACTTGCTTTTATTAATATACATCTTGAACTGTGGATACGGTAACCCATCCTTTCTAGGGGACACTCTTCGTTGCAAAGGAAGTCCTTGGTGTATAGATTTGAGATAACCTAAGCAGCTGCACACAAACCTATAAAAAATATATCTTATATGGTCTGTTCTGTGATGAAACTCAGTCAATCTATTGTACAAATCGCTCACTGTTATAATGACTATAAAGCAAAGGGGGGGTCTCTCTCCTTGTTGAAGTACTGAAATAACTAGGCCTTCACAACATCAAACTGCCTGCAGAGCCTGTGGATGTTGGGGGAGCGAGAGAGACAAGAGAAATGGTGAGCAAAGAGCCCAACCACTTGCTCTCAGGCCAAACCAACGGCAAGAGCACCTTGGCGGACAAGTTGCCCGGGACAATGACTGTGCGCTCTGTGCTGCTCAATCGAGACTCCCCAGATATTGAGAGCCGCCTCAAGCGGCGCCGCAATCGCACCCACCAGGTCCGCTTCAAAGACCTGGAGGATGGCAGCAGCAGCAGTGGCAACAGTGGGACAGGAGAAAACAATAGCCATCAGAGGCTTGCCACGGATTGTAACAGCCCACATCCTCTTCGCAAACACAGCAGCAGGTCCCCCAAGCCATGGACTGACAGGGATGGGCCACAGACTCAGAGTCTACCTGGCCAAACCTCTGTGGTGGGGGCTGTGCGTGGGGACATGGCAAGGACTATAGAGGTGGTTGCTGCTTTCTTAGCCAGGGCCCCTCCTCATCCATTAACTCCGGGTCCTACACGTCGATGCTGGGGACCACCACAGACTAACTCCTTGACCTTGCCAATGACACGCAGGCCCAGTACGAGCACCAGCACAGCCATCCAGACCTCCCCATGCCTGAAAAAGCCCCAGTCCCTCTCTTCCACCCATACACGTAGCCACAGCCTCGGGGACTCAGTGGGCATGGATGGGGATGACGAACATGACTCTCAAGATGAGTACCTTACGCACAACCATGTGTTGGTATCTGGGTCCAAAGACCAGAATGGTCCTCCTGGGCCTGGGGATCGAGCTGTGGTGGAACGGAGGTCTAAAGCTTCCAGGACAGACATTAAATCAGCTGTTAGTTTGGTAAAAAACTACAGACACAGCTGTCCCCCTTCAGTGCTTCACAACACTGAGCCATTTCCCTGTTCCTCTGTATCCTGTCGAGATGGCCCCAAGCGTCAGGGAAGCAGCACTCCCTCAGTGGTCAGGAGGAGAAAGCGCCTTAACAGGACAACGAGTGATCCTGGAAAGGAAGTGCACTACTGCACCACTCCGACTCAAACTGAACGCCCCAGTCCATCCCCGTCACCCTCGAACACCAAACTCTGCACCACTCAAGTTCAAACAGAGAGCCCTTCCCCATCTCAAAATTCAAAGTCTTGCACCGCCCAAAATCAAACTGAGAGTCAACTTAAATCTCCACCTTTGAGTGACAAACAATGCACAACTCAAAATCCCTCCCTACCTCCAAATGCTGAAAAGTGCACCATTCAAATACAAACAGACTCGCCATGTCAAGCTCCTCCAAATCATGAACCTTGCACTACCCAGACACAAATGTGCAGCCCTTGTGTTTCCCCACCTCTGACAATATCACTGAGTGCATTGCAAACTCAATTTGAGAGTCCTGTTTCCCCAACTGCAACTAAAGATCCACCCACCACCCAAATAACTACTGTGCCTTACTGTACCTCTCTCCCACCTGCAAGTGCACCAACACAGACCCCTGAACGCTGCGCTAAACCACCTTGCTCCTCTCCAGCCAAGCCAGCTTGCATCACCCCACCTCCAGCCATAGCACTGTCCATTCCTTGCTCCACTTCTGCACCTACTGTTGCCCAACACCCTATCCCGTATTATACTGTTGTGTCACCACCGACAACCCCCAGCACAATTGTTGTCTGCTCCAGTCCTTCCTCAACTGCACCATCATGCCCCATCCAAAACTGCACCTCCCCTATCTCAAGCATAGTGTCATCAGCTCCCCTAACCTGTTCCACCCCTACCCCAACTGTAACCCCCAATATAACTCCTGTTGACCCCATCAGACATCCTACCACTGCCCCAAGCGTAACTCATGAACAACCACACAGTGCATCAAACGCCACACCATGTACATTTGTAACTCAAACTTCCCTGTCATGCACCTCCATATCATATTACTCTACCACACATTCGGTTAGTGCCCATGCCCCTCAACCAAATTCTACTTCACCTTCTTATGCCACTCTCATACAAACTGTGTCTCATTGCAACATTCCATGTCAAGCTCTGCAAAATACCTCTTCTGCCAACACAGGCATAACCCCCTACTCCTCCCCAGTCCCCAAATTAAAATCTTGCACTTCCCCGCCTCCACTTGTGAAAACATATGCGTCCACTCTTCCAAATGCACAAACGTGTGCAACACCAATTAAAGCTGTTCCTCTTTATTCTTCCACATTTCGTGCTGCACCACCATACACTCCCCCCTCTCAGGCGCCCAATAACGCTCAGGATAAGAGGGGGATTCGACTTCCACCTCCACCCCCGCCACCTCCACCTTACACACCACGCAAAAAGGGAAGTGATCCACCAGGTCCTGCAATCCGAACACCCATGCTCAGGGCAGACAGCAAGGTCGGCAAGAGAGATAAAGACGGGGAGAGGGAGAAAAAGGAAGATATAAAATGTACAGACTCACCCAAGCTCTGTGAGAGAGCCAGCTCTCTGAAGCACAGAGCTCAAACTCCACCAGTTGCTGTGATGAAGGGAGAGAAGCAGTCCTCCTCCTCCTCTCCTGCCAAGGCCTGTTTTAAGTCCAGCTGTCTCAGCTCAGCCCAGGCTCAACTTGGGGTGCTACACAAAATGCTCTGCTCAGGACCCAACGCCAGGCCCAACACCCCCAACAGCCAATACCCTCCAAACCAGCAGAGTTGCTCTGGAGCCAGGGGCTGCTCTGCTTCTGGGGAGCGGCCTACAGCTGGGCCCCTGACTGCCACCCAGGCTGACACACTAAGACAGGTCCAGGAAATTCTGGGAGGGTTGGTGTCTGGTGCCAGGTGTAAACTGGACCCAGCCAGGGTGGCAGAAAAGCTCCTGGGTCCCAACGGACCCCTGCATGATATTCGTCACCTGCAGACTCAGCTCCAGAGCCTGGAGGGGGTCCTGGAGACCAGCCAGAACACCATTAAGGTCCTGCTGGATGTCATTCAAGACCTTGAGAAGAAGGAAGCCGAAAGAGACGGGTGAGGCGATATTTCATTTTGGTCTGCATTGTAGGAATTAAAAAGGAAATGCCTGTACACTGACTCCATACCACAAATCTATTTTAATCAACAAGTGTTTTTAACTCAATCAGACCTTTGTCAAGTCGTAATACATACCACATTACACAATAACATGCTTCAGTTTTTACTATAAGATCATAAACATCCAACTACTGACGTTAGCAGCTCTGAAGGCTTTTCACTCTTGCATTTATTAATTAGCCCTCGGCTGACCTATGGCCACATTTAGATGGACTTCGTCCAACCCATCGACACAGTGGAGGTGCCAAGAGTGCAGTGTTGCAATGAGACTTAACCCATCAAATACATGCTTGTGCATGTTCATGGTAAATTATTTTGTAACGTGAACTGCGTAATTTTACCATCGTTAAAGATAAATAACTGCCTCTGTGACTTACAAAATGCCATTTCATAGTATTTTAATATGCTGTTCAGTGTTTTTGTTCTGATAAGTCTTCACATTTAGGGATCTAGTACTCAAACAGGCCATTCTGGATTGTATTTCATTATCTCACCAGTACCTGAAACAACACACCCGCACCAATGCAGTCTTTTGTATTGTTTTGATGCTCGGCTGTTTTCCACGAATGACTGAAGACTGAAACGTCTTCCAGGGCTCACTGCACACAATGTAGGCACGCAATAACCATGTTGCAACAATTTCATTGGACAATGAAACAAGAGCCATCTTTACTGAATTGATCTGAAAACTGTTTTAAACGCAATTCACAACCTTGAAAAGTGATGTTTAGTATGAGACTTCACACTCGCAAGTGTTAACTTTGGTGAGACTTTTTCCTGGCTCAATTTTCACAACACATTGAACATATCAAAGGTTAAAAACTTCAGAATTTCACATCATAGGGTAGATGACCCAGGATCAAAGTATTGTTTTTTGCAATTCATGTTCAAGGTGCTGTTCAAAGGTAGCGTTAACTGCACTGTGAAATGTTGCACAGCCCAGGGGTTTTAAAAGGGGTTTGTCTGGGTTTCAATGTTGTGTGAAAGCCCTGGGCCAAAAGAGAAGTGTCCCATATTTGATGTTGCAAATGTGAAATGTCTGGAAGCCGTAGGCTAATGGAGCTGTAAACCCAGGGCTAACGGGGTTCTCAGCTCAGGGCCAAGTCAAATGTAGTGTGAAAAGCCATCTGGTAGTCTTTGGCTAACTTTAGCATTTAGTTTTCTGTTAACCCTTATTAAATAGATGTTGTATTGCCACATTATTTTCAGATTAATACTAAACGTTTCTAGAAACAATAAGATTTACTGTCACTTTTGAAAGAAAACATAACACACACACACACACACACACACACACACACACACACACACACACAGTAGCTTTTAGCAGGCTAATGTTAGCTGTTGTTAGACAACTTTAGACAAATTTGTGTCTAACTGACATTACTAAATGTCACTGACCTTATAACTCGTCTCTACTTAAACCATTGTTTTGGAATGTCACAGAAAACAATTTGGAGTCGTGTTTGAGTCCACCTGAAACATTTAAGTCCAATATTCCCTCTCTTTTAGCTCCATTTTTGGTCTCAACCAACTCCTGAGGGAAATATCTGTCTCTTTAGCTGCTAAATGTCATTGACCTTTTCATTGATGGATGACATACAAACAAACAGACAGACAGACAGACAGACAGACAGACTGATAGAAGGATAGATAGATGGATAGATATATAGATAGACCTAGAAAACAGGGAAGGAGAGAAGAACAAACAGTGAGACTACGTTAATTATAAGTGCATGGTATTTTGGAGACCTGGAAAGTAAATGTCAGCATGTAGCCTAAGTGCCTGCTGTTTTATTCCCAGATAGTTAATTTCTCAAGTGAGAATCCAGTTCTCTCCACACAAAAACATAAGAGGGGCAGACATTATAATGTGATCATAGCTAAAAGATGCATTCTTTCTCCTGGAGTGGAGTAGACAAGTGAGTTGTTGTACGCAGAATATTCTTCAAAAAGGGAATATCCACATCCCAGCAGTGATAACCTTGCTATATCATGTGCTGTGAATATTACAGAGAAGGTCGTCGTTCCTAAGCTTTGCTGGGATGCAACTCCTCTATTTATAGCCAATCCCAGCTTTGTAAGCATTGTAAATGCTTTGGCAACATGCGGACTGAACACAATGTAAATTTGGTGAGAATGAGAAGTGTGTAAAACAGCAGGGCAATAGACGGAGAAAAAGAAACACCAGTTTGAACACAGAAGGCAGGGGAGCGTCTGTATTTCTTTTCATGAAGTCTCATGTCAGTCATTTCAATGTCAGCTCTTGATCTGCTGAAGAATTTATGTCATGTCAGACCACAGGGAACAGTTTGGTCTGTCAGTTGCACCCATTTCGCAGCAGTTCTTTCCTCATGCATGTATGCAGCAGGCAGGGATAGATGGGAATCAGCATTTGGCTGTCATCATGTTGGTGGTTTCAGATGCGCTATGCCTCTCATGTAAACCCTTTACCGTTCTCATCAAGTCTTTAATTAATCTGCTTGCGACATTGTAAGCTGCTTAGTCATTTCTCCCGCCTTATCACACCAAAATAGTACATGATGTGGGGACGAGAGAACTCTTAGATAGGACAAGATAGACACGGATGGATGTGTGTCTTTGGATCCATGGAAAGGCTTGACTGATATCTGAGCAGCGTAATCCAAAACACACTCCTTACACTAATGACAACACTTTGCAGACATTTTAAACTTCTGTCTCATTAAGTGGCATTTCTTGTGTGTTCCAGTATAAGAATTCAGTGATGGGGCTAAGTCTAATGCATGCAGACTTGACTTTTACCTCATAAGCATTATTTTATGCCTGGAGTGATACAGTGACTCATGGTTTACGTAACAGCCTGAGCCGGTTGGAAGGGGTATCGTTCATTAAAAAATGATCAGGGGTGATTTCAGAGAAGATTAGATTGGGTGTATTTGCAGAGATGTGTATGCCAGAAATTTGGTTCAACAAGGGGAATGATAACCTGAACATGTTTTTGTGGGCTCACGCAAACACACACACACACGCAAAACATCACTTTTTTACCCCTGATATGTCATCTATATGCTTTTCAACAGAAGACATTCATATAGGACCGGACAGGACATTGAGAACTGTGGGACCTGTAGGGACTGCGCCTGCATCATCTACAGGTATGTGGATGGATGTATCCTCTTGTGAGTGAGAATTTCGGCATATTTATCGTTTGTTTTACATGTGAGTACCAAGAGCGCAGTGCGTGTCTCGGCGCACAGTTATCTGCATCACACTGTCATTTCGAATCACGTCAGTTTTGGGATTTCAGTTTTATGGCTCGGTGGGATTGTCGTTCTGCTCGGTGTGACAGAACGGCCGGGTACAGCACTTTGAGTATGGCCACTCATCGCAACCATAACACCACTGCAGGTTTGATCACTTAACAGTTATTATTTATTAAGACTCATCACACGCATACACTCTCCGATTTAATGAGGTGATATCAACACAGATCGTGCAGCGGTGTGCCCACTTGGTTTCCTCCCTCCTCCTCTGCTCTTCTCATTTTTTTACTCTCATTATCTCTCTTTTACACACACACAGATGCACACAGTGTCAAATACGCAAACACACACACACACACACACACACACACACACACACACAGTTACTGCGTAATCATTCCGCTCCGAAATTTGAATTGAAATCAATCAATTAACAAACAGGATTTCACACTTTACAGGAGGGTGAAGAAAGGCAAAAAGGAAAGTGTGGATTGCTATGAAATTGAAATCCCTGTCTCTTGGTTGTAAATGTCAAAATTGCAAAAAAAGAAGAAGGGGTTATTAGCAGAAGAAGTAAATCTTGCAGAGGGAGAGGAGAAAGTAATAGTGGAGAGAGAGGAGGGATGACATTCGTTGTGCTATAGCCTACATGCAGAAATATAATTTTATTATCACCGGATTAAACCTGTAAAGCCTGAAACATAAAACAAGGATCAGAAAATTCTATATATATATTTTAATTGAGGTGTTTATTGAACCTTTTGACAGAATATGAAGATAATGTATGTAATTTTCAGTGGCAATTTTGGTATGAAAATTCTGGAGGGGCCACACAATATTCAGACAAGGAAATTTGATGATGCAATCCAAAAGTACCAAAGATATATCACATTGAACCATACTCTCACAACTAATAAACTGTGTGCGATTGAGAGAGGGGAACACTGCGATTGCTGTGACCAATGTATCACCAACAGGAGTCATGACAAAATTCCAGTTGAATAATCACACAATGTCAATATCTAAAATCACACAATGACGATCTAAAGTGCTAAATCGTACTGATCCACACGATTCATCCCTACTGTTGTAATGTTAACGTAAGTACAATATCGATCCCTCTTTAGCTAGCTAGAGCAGTAGGGCCAGTTCTGCAGTGCCCCACCAAACGGAAACGGGCAAGCAGCATCAGGCACGAAGACCAATTTCACACACACTACAAAGCAATGTGTTTCTAGAGAAGACATTTCAATCAGAATATGATGACAAATTGACAGAGAGAAAAGCCTATAACTTCGTTTTTACAACAGCGCCCTCTGGTGGTGCCTAATGCAAAAACGCTGATGGTAATTTAATTTGCATATAGGATTTTCAGTTGTATCATATACATCCGGCTTTCACAGCAATTTATTTTAACTAGGCTTTTTTATTTTTAAATCATATTTCAAATATAAAATATATAATTTACGTGTATATAGTATTCTCATATTAGATATTATATATGAATACACGTGCATATTATATTTATTATATCGATCTGCATTTTTCTGCATCAACACGTTTAACATTTAGCCTAAAATATTTGTAAAATTACCAATCTTACCACAACTTTCTCAATATTTGCAAAATGACAGGACAAGGAGGCAGCCATTTTGAATTTGGTAAACAAGGACTCTCTACTTCCTGCATCACTCTAATAATCCTCTAGGGTTGTACGCCATGTTTGGCAGGTAATTATTGATCTCGTTGAGGATGTAGAAGTCTCAGAAACAAAACTCTCATGTCAACCCCTTAGAGGGGTTGTATCACATTATGTCATAAATCTGAGGCACCATAACCCAATTAATGGACCAAGATTCATCATCAGTCTTTTTAATTGTGGATTGGAGCTGTGAAATGTTGCGTGTATACACCCAAGACTGATTGCTTTCAGTGATTTGATTGTGCATGCTCACCTACTCACTCAGTTATTATTTATAATTCTGTAGTGCTAATAGGGTGTTTCCTGTAGCTACAACACAACCTCGACATTAACCTGATTGTTAAACAAATTATATTATTGCTGAAGTTTAAATTACTGTACAGCACATAAATGATTCAGCCTAATCTGGTTATTTTCAGTAATGTATTTCTAGTGTGTATGCAAACCTCCTCAATCAAAATACAGAGGCAGAGAAGAAAGGCAGTGGGGGATATGAGGGGAAAAAAAGATCTGTGAGAAAAGATCTTACGCTTAGAAATGGAAATGGAGAGAGAGCAGATGGAGAAGAAGCCCATAAAGAAAGGGATTCATTCGGAAACTAAATACTGCTTCATCTTGAACGACATTACAGTGCGGGTTACTGCTCAGGAATGTCTGCATGAAGCAGCGATAGTTGACTGAGAGAGTAACATGAGAAAGTGAAATAGTACACTCATACATCACTTCTCAGTCGACATCCCAAGCCACTATTTTTATGGTCAGCTGAGGACTTATCGCTCAATCTACCGCTCAAGTCGACATGCTTCTTTCATGTGTGACAAGAGGATTTTCCTCCTTTTTAAAAGTGGAGGAGATTTTCTTTTCTTTGAGGCTCAATTTGAGCTGAGTCTGAAAGAGAATTTGGCAGCAATAGAGAAGGTGGTGTTGGAGGGAAAAGACAGATAAAGTGAAGCCCGGAACGGAGTGAGTGATGGAAAAGCCATGAAATCTGACAGGACAGATTCCATCAATTAAAAAAGGCTCTTGAAGAAGTCTTAGCTCTCAAAGAAAAGCACAGCTCAGCACATCACATGACAGTATCAATCTAGATGAAAAGCCCAGACAGCAATATATATATAGAACATTTTCATGCAAGAACATCTGTCCAATAAGCCACAAAAGAAACTTGACACGAGTAAATCTAATGTCACACAACTGTATTTTAAAGCTGCTATAATCAATGTTTTCATATTGACAATAGATGAAGTGTGTAATGTGAAAGAAGTCGCTCGTACAGTTGTGATGAACCCAAAGATATTATCATCTGACTCTGCAGTTCCCCTCCTCAGCTCTGCAGAATGTTTTAGTATCTTTCAACTCAGTTTGGTTTTCTTGCCCAGAAACAACAACTCTTTAAATTGACTCACTGCTCTCGTCCTCATTTTTGAAGATAATAGTTGTAAATTTCATCAGGGCTTCCTCTCATTGTAGACAGTGTTTTTTTTAAATCATGCACTACCCAAAATGCAATTCTGATTTGTAATTTCTCCACTGTTAAATCATCAAGACAGTTTTACAGCTTTTAGTTAGGTCAGGCAAAATATATAAGCATGAAAGTTTGGCCAATTTTGTACAAAATTGTGTCACAATACATAGAGAATATTTAAACTAGTTGTAAAGAAATGCATTAAGAAACATGCAGTTTGAACGCGTGTTCCGCATTATAGCTTTAATTAAGTGAATAAGCACAAATGTATGCAGTGTATGATAATATCAATATTTGTTTGTTTGTTTCGGGTTTCTTTAAAGTCGATAAACAGCAGGAACATTTCTTCAAAAAATACAGACAAATAAGAGTCTAACAAAAACAATAATATGTTAAGTACAAAGCTACTTTGATACATGTGTGTCTTGGTGTGTTTGCACACAGAGCTTTGTTTTCAGGGCAAACCTTACGTAAAAATGCTAATGACACTTTAAGCATACAAATGTAAATACTAGTGACTACAGCCTGTAACATTTTGAACATTTTGTACCCAACCAAGACTTATAAATATACGCTTCATTGGTTCTGTTTTTTAAGGGTCTCACATTACACGAAGAATAATGCATGATGTATCTGATGTTATTTATCCAGCACCAGTGGCACATTAACTGCATGTTAATACGTGCATCTGAGTGTGTGGCCCTACAGGAGTGTTAATTAGTGGGTGGAGTTGTGTTATTCTTTTTGCTAATGGCGAATGTGCTGTGTGGAACAAAGTAGGTCTAACAAGGAACTGTTGTGCTTAATCCCAGAGGAGTTTGCGGGGACGGCAGCCTAATCAGATCTGTACTCTGCTGCTTTATCTCTGCTGCTGCTCTGTCTATTGCTCGATCACGCATTTCGCTGGAGGAACTCGATGGGCTGCTACTCTGAGATGGATTAATGACTCTGCCAACACTACCTTTTTCGGCTAAACTATGAGTGCACAGTTTTTGCTTTTTTCAAACACAATCTGTCATCGCCTTCATTGAACAGCAGATAATTGAGAAAAGGCTTGCCGAGGAAGCCTTCTTGCTCTTTCTTCCCTGCTGTTATCTGTGGGGATGCCACTCATGTTTGTTTGATATCTGTACTGTGATATCTGTGGCCTCGTTTCACAGTCGTATTGTTTTCTCTCTATTCCTCTCATTCACAATCTGTGGTGACTCTTTTAAGCATCTTATTTGTCAATGAATGCCTCTTCACATCAGTGATATGCATATGAATGCCAGGCGCGATGGGGGTGGTGCTGGTGCTGGGGTGGAGGATTCCTCTGCTGAGTCTCCAAGACTCGTGGGACGAAGGCCGCAGACTGATCCATTGGGAGTGCTTGAGAGGAACATTTTGTGACAGCGCCTACAGAAACAACTCATCACTCGCCATTCTCACCACACACCCATCATGAATCAGCGCTTCCTGACACACATCTCCGCTGACGCAACATTGCATGATGGGACCTGATACTCGCACGCTGTCCTTCGATTGCGTTAAAACAGAGAGGGAGTTGGTGGAGCATAAGAGACTCTGGGCACGGGAAGGGAAATGGGGATGACTCTTCATGCATCTCCATATCTCCAACTTTTCACTGTGTATTCACTCTCTTTTTTTTTTTTTTTTTTTACAAATGCCTAACTCCAGTGTGCAGTAAAATATTCATCCACATTAAAAATGAATCACAGTGGCTTT